ACATGTAGAATGTATAAAATTTGTAATAAACTGGCAGTTCAGTTAACATACGTGCTTGATAAATTGCGGCGTGCATTGAGATGCATGCGTGGTTAGAAAACAAAACGTAGCTCGAAACACATGCATAGCACGACTTTCACGAGCGATGGCCCGAACGAACATCAGACTCACTGTATAAACACGTGTCAAACTCGAGACGCGTGGAACGCAGTTTCAAAACGAGAGCGGAAGAAGGGTGAAGCATTTCAAACCTTTACTATCGAAGGACATTTCAGAAAATTACTCGATATTTAATATCGTTTTTAATTTGATTTATCATCTGCTTTATAAAAGATTGAAAGCTGTATCTTGCAAAATGATAATTATTCATTTTTTCAACAGACTAAAAGAATAATAAATTCTAAATTGATTGAACTTTTTTAATAATAGTATAATCGATAGATTCACTTAATATATGTATCTCTTTCAACTTTTGGATTATCATTGTCAGCATATAAATACAGAGATCACTTTTGTCTGTTTATATACGTCGAAATACAATATCATCAAAGTTTTATCAATTCTTAGATGAAACTCTAATTTCGAATGTGCTCGAAAAAGTACGAAACCAGGATATATCAAACGCACCTCAGCACAAAACTGTAAAAGGTTAAATCACTCGAAAACGCACAATTTTCCACTTCGTTTGCTACCTATTCGAGCATCGGTTTCGCGTCTAAACCGGTCCCAATTTAACCCGTGACTATTCCGACAAAATCTTAAGTGCTAATGGCCCCCAGAGCATCCGACAAACGTATGTAATTTCATTAGTACTCGGGACTTTCTATGCCTCGCCTTCTATTTTCTACGCATTCCCCGCAATTTGACGATAGAAAGCCTGTTTGTGGAAATTACATTTAACTCTGGCTCGCTAACCGGTGTTATCAGCAAATCCAATGTAATTTACAGTGCCAATTTTTAGTCTGCGTCGCGAATTTTATATTTACATTATAAATAAAATTTCTACAAAATGTTTTGCAAGAGTTTGCTTCAAAACCTCAGAGCAATATTTTTTCAGAAAACTGTATATTTTTTACTACAAAAAAAAGCTTTGTAAAAATATACAATTCTAAAACAATATAAAAAAAATTTTAGGGTCTTAAAAAAAGAAAAAAAAATTGAACCTTTTTCAGAATATAAGAAAATAACAAACTTATAACCACTAAAAACATTAGTTAATATGCCGAAAGTATCGTTCCTAAAGAAGAATTATTCCAAAAGATATGACCAAAAAAATGATCACAAAATTTCTTTTTAATTTTTAAAAATAATTTCTAAAATAATATTAGAAAAATATATATAACATATTTCTCATATATATCTCTCTCGATACACATAGTCTTTCAAAATTATGCAGAGTATGTTAACGTTAATTAGCGGCAATTTCTCGTCAAAGAGAGAGACGTCTCGACTCGATTGCATCGATTATTTTAGAAACATCCTAATACACGTAGTAATACATTCCGATGTTCAAATGAATACCGCAATAAATTGTAAGACGCATTCCTCCGCAATCCTCTATAAGCGGAATAAAAGGACAAGATCACAAGTAACATTCTAGCAGTTAAGCGGTTATGCTCTCGCGAAGAAAAGATCGGTCGCGGTGATACCTCTAAAATTAGCTCGCCGCCGCCGCTGTGTATAACTTCCTCTCTCTGTGCGCGAATGTCGTGCGCGTAAATTCCTGCGTGCCGACGTGGACTCGAAACCGCGCGCGAATTAATTGCCGTCGAGCTTCAGAAAAGCTGCCTTGAAAAGCGCACTTCGTGTAACTAATACCGCTCGGTGCCATAAATTTCCGGCTACCCGCTGCTTTCCCGGCATGTTTCCACTCTATCTCCGCAAGGCGGTTCGATAATGATTTTGCCTGCGTACACGCTGGCAATATTTACGCAAAGTAAGAGTATCAGCTTGGATTAGAAGTATAAAATGTTTTCCTAGAACGCAACATCCGCAATGTCCGATTTTACGTGAAATCTTGATAAAATTCTTATGAGAAAGATACAGAATTAGACGTCGTTTCTATAAAAATTTTATAAAAATATTTTTATCTTTTCAAGTAAATTTTTATAATTTTTTTATATGCTAATTATTATATTTATTAGAAAGGTAAAATTTTCTATCCAAGTTTGTAAATCCTATTATATACTTTGCTATTTCATATATCATATTTTTTATTAAAATCATTTTTAAATAATTTCAATTCTTTTTGTTGAATTATTCAAATATTGATTTATAATAAATTTCGAAGAACAGAGATTAAAAATCCAGCTTCTAGTTATTAGAAATAAGGAATTAACAAAGAGAGAATTAAAGTTTATTTTTTGGATAGAAAATTTTACCTTTTTATAAATATAATAATTAGCATATAAAAAAAGTCATGCGTTGCATCTGTGCAAAGAAAGTAAAACATCGGTAGGTATTCTATCGATCCATCGCGCAGTAGTAACTCCCGCGGAGATTCCAACGACTTTAATAAAGCCATGATGTATCTGCTCCGGGTTATCAATTAGCGGCAGACGCGATTATAATCCACGAAAGCATCATCGATAACGCGCGAGCTAGAGATGGAAGTCTTAATCGCGGGCTGCGCGCTACGATGTTCATGAGAAAATTTATACCAACGTGTCACACACAGTTTCTCGTGTTGCTATCGCGGCGCCTCCGGTATTACCGCTTTTTCCACGTGACGTCTCGTTTCGCGCGACGGGGACCTGAGACGGACATTAATTAAAGGCCCGGCGCGCAGCAGGTGTTGTAATAATTCCATCGAATTGGCCTCGACTCAGGCTCATTATGCTAAGCTATGCAACACGCGGTAATACGTGATCACATGTGTCACGGCGTGGCGTCACCTCGTCCCTCGCACGGAATTATTTATCCGACTGTCAATAATATTGCTCGATGCATTTGCGCGGTGACATCAACCGTTAGCATAATTTATCACGTATGAATAAGGATTCGCGTTGATTGCGGTTATTGCTTTTTTTTTAAGACGCTACATGACGTATTAATCCCTCGAGAGGCGATATAAACCCTGACAGTTGCGGAATCGCAACGTCAATTGCAATGTTGACGCGTTGTCGATATGGCCCGTGACAGCCGTTTGATTCGCTCGTCTTGTGGCGATGTCCACGAGCAATTATACGCGCGTCACAGTTATATATTTAGAATTGTTTCGATAAGTATATACATACACATACATACATACATACATACATATATATATATATATATATATATATATATATAAAATCTAAAAAAATGATAAACTAATAAATTATCTCGTTTAAACGTCAAGGCGTATTAATATCTTCAATAGCATACTCATACAATTAATATCAGAAGAAAAGTAACATGAGAACTTACATGCTATATAAGCCTCTCAAAAATCAAATTAATCTACTCCATTTTTTATATACAGGGTGTATGTCTCCTAAAATTTGTCGCACTTATTAAGAAACACCCTGTATATATCTTAGTACTAGAGCACATGATATAGAGTATTAATTAATTACTGTATTACTGTATTAATTAATTACTGTCTATTATTAATTAATGTATTAAAATTAAGAATACAAATGGACTCGATCAATTTATAATAGCTTCTGAGAGAGCTACATCAACTACATTAAGAAAAAATTATATGCTTATAATTATAAGCATCAGTTATAGCATAAATAAATTAAATAATAAATAATATTGCAAAAAATATATACGCCCGTAATATTAAACGGAAATAAAATTGCTTCGCCGTATGTGGAGATATTTTTAATTGCGATAAAATGAGGAACGATTAATGGTTACGCTGGCGTTTCGAATCGTTGCAAAAGGGACGCCATTAATAATCGCGTTAAAAATAATTTCCAGCACGATCTACGCTTTAAAAAACGAGCAAATCTGTTGATTGTGCGAATCGCTGTTGTAAAATACGATCCCATTTTAAATCATTTTCATTACGTCGCGATATGAACAGTCAACGCGCCCAAACGAATGTTGGTCCAAAATTAATCGACACTTTTGATTGGCCTAAGATTAATTCCTATTTCCGAAAAATAAATTATTTCAAGCAGAAGAACAAATTATGCACAGATCAATGCAGTTTTTCTTTCCATCATCTTTCAATATATTATCTTCCTGAACTGCTCCAAAAATGTATATAAAGAAAATAAAAAATTTCAAATAATTTATAAGGAGCAAATAAAATTTGTTTTTTAAATAAATTAATTAAATCTACATAAAAAATAGATTCGCTAAAGGATGCTTTAAAAAAGAACACTGTTAAATTTTATATTCATTATCTAATGTATTAATTAAGAAAAACTCCAAGAGAAGTTAATATTGAATTAAATATTGAATTCACTTCGCGTGATTCTTCAGATGGAAAGAATTTCTGATTATGAGAGAAAGATTATTAATCTTCCTCTGTAAAAATCTATTGTTTCTTACTTTCCATTCTCTCTTTTCTCTCACATAAAAAGTATATTATTATTTAATAACCTAATATAAAGAGTATTTCAATATCAATACATAATTACCAATAGTTAAAGTAAGAAAGTATAAAGTAAGAAAATCAATGTATAATATATAAAATTCATAAAAACGAACACAATTATTATCAAACTTTAAATCGGATAAGCAAAAAAAAACCGTGCAGTCGTACATTTAGAATATTTATAAAGCTTGCATCAGTTACATACATTTGAATTCAGTATTATAGTCTTCTTGATTTCAATAATATAATCTTCTTAATACATATTATAATTAGCGATTAATTATAATTAATATTATAATTAATCATTATTGTATCACACGTGCAACATTTCTTATAAATATATTTTTAACAAAATCATGATCTTTTTTGATTATCCGATATAAATAAAGGATTTATTCATTTATATATTTCCTCGATATAATGCGACATAATAAATCAGCAATGAGCCGTGATTATGTTCACTTACCTTTTTGATGGTTTCCAGCGCCGCTTCAGCATTCCCAGCATGAGTAAACCGATGAGGATGAAGCCTAAGCGCTGACGGATCTCCGATTTGTAGCTACGTATTAAGCACCAGCACAATCGATCACTACCGAATCACACAATAACCGGATAATCTCGTCGATCTCCCGGGAGATCTCTATCGATCGCACACGAGTCACACCATGATCTCTCCCGGACGAGAGAGTTTTTTTTTTTCGCGCGGTCTTTGGTTTTCCACGAAGTTTGATCGATTTCGCGATGATCGGCGTTCACCGTTTATTAAATAGGTCGTCGTCGTTTAATCCCTTTGCGGAATCACTTTTGGTACACGTGAATCGCTCTCTGCGTTTCTCAAGCTTTTTATCATTCTCTCGTTATTGCTCGTCCTTATTTACCGGTATCTGAAATCATAACAACAGAAATGCAATTAAAATTAATGTAGAATTTAAATATAAACCAAATGATTAAAATATATCAATATATTATTAATATATTATTAATGATATAAGATTTTTTCGAAAAAAAGAAATGTTAAGATTAATAATTTTTTTTTAACGCGCGAGTTGAACATATTAAATAACTAAATTAAAAATTTTTTCTAATATACTCTTTTGTATAAAAAAAATGGCTAATATATTTATTACAGAACAAATTTATACATATATAAAAATTTATATCGTAAAATTATATTATTTATTAGAAACATTCTTTTTTAAAAAATTATAAAAAAAATTTATTTCCAAAGTAATATGTTGCAAATACATTCTTGCAAAAAAGTAAAATTTAAATATTTTAAATATATAATATTACAGTCATAGCGATTGTTTTTAAAAAAGCTCTTTAAAAATATATATTATTTAGATTCTAAATAAACTTATCGCATTTATAATGTCGTCGAAATGTAAAAAAATATTATTCCATCTTTAAATCATCACGCGTTACATGTAAATAAGGAACAATATTATTTCTCCCGTGCAGAACATATATAAATCCTGATACTTTGGTGTATACTATGGTGTATACTATGTATTATTCCGCTGGCGGAAGTTTGTTAACGAGCAACACAACAATTCTGCGTGAACCGTTAAATATACAGTTTACATCAAATGTTACACGAACACTACGATCTATTTTTTTTTTCGTTATTGCGCTGCAACGTTGTATTGCGTTGTATTTTATGCGACACGACTGTAAATTCAGGTAGCACGTAACGCAGCAGCGAAGATTCTATTTACCATTCACAAAGGATCGCATAAATAATAAAGCATGCTGCTTTACAAATGTTTATCCTGCTTCCGGGGCCGCGGAATAATTTATCGCCCTTCGAGAGAGCGTCACGTTGTCATCGTCAGGAGGGACAGAATTAATCGATATCTCGAAGGCTTGCTCAAAATTGCACGTTCAATGTGCTTTCATCAAAAGTCATTTTTACATCGTTGCTTCGATTGAACGAGAAATAAGATCGAAAATTCTCGCTTCGTGAGGAATCCGATGATTAAACAACGAATAATAAATCATGTCCCTCTAATTAAGACGATAATTAATCGACAGCGTCCCCGGGGATGTAAATTTTTTGTCGGATACCGAGGAAAATTGGTCTTGATTGATCTATAAGAACTGCATCGTGTTTTTCTCTGAACAGAGAGCTTAGCCATGTTTTCATTTTAAGGTAAGTTATTAGCTCTATTAGTTCATTTACCTTATAAATTGTAAAAAAAATGCTGTTATCTTATTACACGTAAATTTATACACACACAATAAGCAAGCATTATAAATGCAGAAATTAAGGCACTTCATTAAATAGTTTAATTAGCATAATAAATGCTAATTAAACTATTTAATGAAGTGCCTTAATTTCATATATTCTTGAAAAGAATTTAATTGAAATCTTAATTAAGTAGCCTCCTTAATTATCTCGAAATTTTTTATCGTTGTACATCTCCGAAAGAATACGAATCTTCTCAAATTAAATTTAGAAAATCAGTATTTACCATTATATGATGTTAAATTTCTATAGATATAGTCAAATATATTTGCGTTCGTTTATCATCCAAATTTTATATTGCAATGTCCATTGTCAAATATATTGATATTTGAACAGTCAATGTCGTAAATAGAAAATAAAATTTTATTTTTCACTGCAAAAATCAAACAAACATGATTATGTTTTGCAAATACGAGAGCAATACAATCATTGATTTTCGATTCTCAGGAATAACAGGAGGAAATGACGTTTAGGCTTGTATTAGAATGACCTTAATCTGCTTTCTGAGATTATTGGTTTGCAAGCAATCACGATCAATGCGGCTGAACATCCAATTGCCACGAAATTGCATAATCCATGCTCAAAGGTTATTTCGAGCCTAACCGCAGTCGCGTGTAATGTACAAATGAATGATTCGATCAATATTTTATTTGTTGTACATTTAAATTATTGACAATAAGTTATTACAATGTATTTACGTGATACACGGACACAAATAATATGATTATAATCATTTTGTCAAGAAATGAAAAATTAAAAGACCGTCATGGAATATTAATAGTTATTTCGCTGAATATATTGTTACGATTTTAATCGCCTTTGTAGTAAAATACGTATGCAAGTAATGTATCACAATTATTCGTATTTGACTGTAGAGATAAATTAAATACAAAATTATTTAAAAATATATATCAATATTTTTATAATTAACACGTTTTGTTATTATCAAAAATGATTATATTTTGCATCAATTTTTAATGGAAGCAACACAAATTATATTTTATCATTACAATAGTTTCTATAATATGGTAAATTAATTTATTAGTAATAATTACTTAATTTATTATTAACAATAATCAAATCAAAATTAGTTTTAATGATGACCTTAATTTTGATGACTTTAATGACCTTTATTCATGACTTTATGAAAACATATTTTTAAAGCGAGGTTCTGTGTTTTTTAATGGAAAAAATATTTAAAATATTTAAAAATATCTGTCCATTTAAATTTACTAGGTCTTATTTGGAAAATTAATTTATCAATTAATTCCGATTTATTACCATTTAAATAATACTAAATACTCGTATATGTTTAAGCTTACATAATAATTTATTAGATTTTTATATTTCTTTAACAGTTGCTTATTGTGTGTAAAAAATTGATAATCCATCATCATATGCCAGATTGTTAATGTATTCAAATTTAAATAAATTGATATTTAAAATGCTACCAATTAGTTATTCAAATATTAACAAACATTACAATATAATTATTTATATCGAAAGAAATATCTTAATTAAAGAGATATCGTAATTAAAATATTCTACTTCTGAAAATTTAAACAATTTATCGCTCGGATATTCGATTTTATATTTCGCGTTACATACTTCCAAAGCATTCACGATGCGTGCATATTTAACGGCAGCTCCGTTCGTAACACGTATTAATCGCGCGATTGCATCGATATTCAAGTAGTTCGAGATACATCTCGAGTGTAATCGTAGAAAAGCCGCGATACAACAGCACGATTTGACGTCTCGCTTGATTTATGTCGAATAATTAATATGGCATGTTAATTAGCGGAAATTATATTCCGCCGTAATAATTCTTCGTATTCTAACACGTATCAATCGATAATAATTCTCGCGCTTTGGGCTCGTCGATTGCTCGAGCTTCCGCGTGAAATTCGTCAATAAATCCGAAAAATAACGACGCCATGAATGTCTAACTCACCGGTCGCTTGCCTTTCGAAGAAGTCGAATTGACAATTAAAAATCGCACTCGCGTCTCGAAGAACGAGCTCCCAGGATCACAGGACGATCAATAATCGCAACGCGAGTTCGAAACTAGAACATCGGCAGCCGCCTCCTCACATTTGGAGCAGATATCGCGCGCTCCGAATCGCTTGAAGTCCGTCGCGATTCGCCCTTTCTGCTCACGTCGCGTCGGTATCACGTGATTTTCGAATCGCTTGAGAAATTAACGCGAGCAATGAAATGGCGGACGAGGAGGCAAGGAGCGAGGAGAGAATATCGATCGGTTTACTCACCTCATTTCGCCGGTTTCAAGGATAGCTTCCGGTCCCACTGTCTCACGCGATCGACGATTCCGCTGCTGGCGGCTTCCTACGCATTTCGGCTGTCTTCGTCCGACTTTAGACTTCAGCGGGCGCGGGACGAACGACGTCTCCGACGAGACCCTGCTCTCGAAATTCGACCCGGTGACCGCGATTCCGCGCGACGTGCGGATGAGCGGACGACGGAAAACGGAGAAGCGATGCAACGCCAATATCGATGTTACATCAACGCGAACGGAGAGCGCATCGGCGGGGAGATGTGTTGAAACTCGCGCACGCACGGAACGACGCAACGTACCAGTCGCGCGCCGAACTCGGACTGAACGGTTCGTAGAGCGAGAGACACGCATCCCGCTATCCCCTCTCTTCGTCGTGCGCACCGCGAGCTCTCCCCACCACCGCGCAGCTAAGTTGCCCCCGCCGCGCGTCCTAGGCAGCTGCGCCGCGAGCCGAGCGAATTCCAAGAAATGGTAAGTGATATTCGGTTACGTGTTTTTTTGGTGTTTTGAAGCCGCATTGTCTTGCCCGATATTTGTTTTGGCTAACGCGTGCCTCGAGTTCAACGATGTGGAAGTTTACGAGCCATTAGACAACGACGAGCAGCAAAGAGAGGTACGTACTTTTCAACTAATGAATACTCTGATTTTCGCGCGTAGAATAATTGGTTAGGTAAGAACGCGTATGTTATAAGCCATTTTAAAATCTTATCGATGCTCTCTTATATTTTTGTTCGAGATATAATAGAAATTTTTCCGTTTTTCCTCTTATCTTTTTTTTTCAATCGAACATCGAACATCCGCCACACAATTAATGCTCATGAATCAGTAAGCATATCTATGATTCAAGCTTGAAATCAATTAAAAAGTTACGTTTAATATTAAAATATTGAACGTTTAATATTAAAATATTGATATTCTGCGTTCGTATTATCATAATTATGTGAATAATAATAGAATGACTACATTTTTTCACGCATAGAATGTCGAAACAGATTACATATATTATGGATTATTTAAACAAATTACATCGTAATTCAGAATTTTGATTAAGGTTAGATTAGCATTTAGATGCTCGATATATTCAAAAAACTTATGCGCACATACAAGCTGTAAAGGTGAAATAATTTCAAGAATATTAAATTGATTAATATAAAATTATAATTTTTTTTTAATGAACAGTCATGAAGCATGAATATCTAGATACGAAGTGTCCAACCAACAATGTCTAGTGATGTGTATAGAAATGCTAACGACTAAGGCATCAATAAACCCTAGTATACAAGATTTATAGAGAGTTCTAATGCATCATTTATGCATTTATAGGAAACTCTGTGTTAATCTATCAGGATGACGATGCAAAGCACGATCTTGAACATGGACCCAGGTTGAAGCACTGACATCGAACGTTTCCACGATGCAACGGTATATTTTTTTCGAATGACAAGATAAGAAATGCTTCTGAAACACTCACAAATTTCATTAATGCATACAAATATCGTGATCTTAAAGTGGTGCGAAGATAGTGATTTACGAACAGGTATGTTAAAAAAAGTAATATATTAAACTCGCATAAAATGTAAATTTCTGAGCTAATCGATAATTCGATCAAAATAATTACATGTTGGAAAGATTTTATTGATACATTCAAATATCATAGCTTTAAAGCGTTGCGTAGATAATGACCTTGTGTTGTTGATGGGCAAAGTTACGTCTCTTTAAGAAAATTACGCAATAATAATTTCTAATTCATATAAAATATGCGTTTTTAATGCGAATTGGCTCGATGAAAATTACTTGTGCGAGATATATTATTATTTTAAGACATTTGAAATGATTAAATTTTATTATTTAGAAAATTTTCAAGAGTTTACTTTACCGCAAGATTTTTATTAATGTATTTAAATGTTACAATTTTAAAGTAGAAATAATGATTTTGTATTATTGATAAAAAAGATATGTCTCTTAAGAAAAAGTTAAATATTTAAATATCAAAGAAAAAAGAAAAGTTTAACATTTAAATACCAAAATATAAATTTCTAGTGTGAATAAATCAATTTGACAGAAATAATTATTTGCTTGAGAGATTATTCATAATTTAATCATTATTTTAAACGATATATATATATATATATTATTATATATATATATATATATATATATATATATTTATATTTTTTCATTAAAATTTTATAAGAATATAATAGTATACATATATAAATATATATATATATATATATATATATATATGTATATGTATACTATTATATTCTTATAAAATTTTATAATAATGGAAGGCGCCTTATTATGCAATAATTATATGTATATAGAATGCATACAGTTTAACCATTCAATCTTATTTGTTTATGATATATTTATATAATTTAGCTTGAAATTTTATTAAATGATGGCGATTCTCTTTCATGCTATAATATATTTGAATAACAAGTTGTTAGAAACCGTTTGCGATAAGATAACTAATGTACGTCATATTTGAATTAATCAGAACCATGTGGTTAAAACTTTTTATAAAACCGCATAAAAGATATGCTACTGAATTGATCATTAAATTAATCTTAGGAAAAATGATAAAGTACAATGCCAAATGAGATAAATATTTCTCTCTTGTGTGTTCCAAAGTTTGATTTACATAGTTGATATTATCGTATTATCATTAATTGCAGACGAATTATAGCGGAAACTCGTATGCACATGCAATTACGATATGTTGCACCGACTATAAAAAAATTTCTTGGAATATCTTTACGAGATTGACGTGGTTCAATGCGAGAGTAATTGCAAGTTGCCGCTTCTTTGAGTACGACTCTGTGCGCGCAATTTGTCGGATACTTATAGCAACCATTTATCACGGAAGCAAAATTAATTTAGATGCGTACCATGTTGCATTGGCGGCGTTCGTGCCGGACATTTAACATCTGTCTACGCCATGCATATGCACATGCTTACATACGTGCCTATGCAAATCCATGTGTTTTACCTCTTCGCAGCATTCATTCGAAACAGAGCAGTGAAACCGTATGCAAACGCCGGCTAAAGTAAATATATATTTTAATGTATACAGTACAATTTACCTACGGTAATAACTGGGTAGAAATGCGCGGAGAAGCGTGCTCCGCATTTAATCTTGAACATCTCGTGTAAATTTTTATAAATAGATTATTCATCGTTATCATTATGAAAAATATGTCACAATGTTAGAGTAATACTCATATCACATTACATAATAAAAGTCTTATTCTTTTTCTTGTATCAAGCATTTCTGGAATAAAATTGCAATAAAAAGCATTTAATTAAAAGTGAATGTCGAAAAGTTCCGCTTTGATATGGTAACTGGTCCAATTTCGACGACAGTAAGAGAATGCAGTCGTTCCTTAATACAAATGTGTATGCATGAAGGTACGCGTCAAGTTTTCCGAGATATTTCGCCGCGAACGAGAGCGTATTTTTAAATTCAAATGAGATTTAAAGAGGACCCGCGTGCACCGTCTAAATTTGCACGCGGAAACGTAGCCGTTGCCGAGACGGCTAATCGGGTGTGCCAATTGTTTCAACCCCGACGTGTTTCGGTGCCGTTCCGTTCCGGATTCGCGTTCTCCGGACACGGCCGAATTCCCGAGCGACCGCGCACAGCTGAGCGGGCTCTCGGCGCGGATGCATCGATTTTTCTCTCGTTCGCTGCACCGCTGAGATGCAGCTCCGCCCGCGGATGCATCTCCTCGCGTGTGAGTTTGCCAACATCTTCTCCTCTTCTTCTTCCTTTCCGTTCCGATTCCGCATCCTTCGTCAAGCGAAAGAGTTAAAATGCTCCTTCGAAAACGTTGGCAACAAAAAATATTGGCTCTTTACTGTCTTTGACATAAAAAAATATTTTGAGAAAATAATTAAAAGAGTAAAAATAACTCTTATTATTTATTTTACTTTTGATCGAAGGTTAACGAGTGAATTTTGTGACCTGAAAAGAGTAAATCTTATTTTACCTTTGGAAAATATTGAAAATGTAGCTCTCCTAAAATTATATTAAATGTAATTCGGGATTTTATAAATAACATTTTGTAAAATTTTAATAATTAAAATAAATAATTTTGTAGGAACTTCATGTAAGATAGAAGATAAACTTTCGCGTAAACTTTTGCGGTAAATATTTTTTTGCAAACATGAATTTTCATAAGAAATATAATTTATTATTTATATGCATTTATATTCTTAATATCATATATGCACATTATGGAACAAATTTCTTATCGTAAATGCATGCTACGAAAAATCTATGGAAAAAAGAGCAGGATCATTTCTCATTGGGAGGACCAGATCAAAGAATTCAGGGTCAAGTTCAATCATGAATGATGAACCGAACGAAAGAAGCTGCAGATGAACGTCGCCGGCAATGTTAACGTTGTAGCAAGACTGGTTTCTCAAGATTTCACGGTTCTTTGAACAGGTAGTTCCCGCAGGACATGCGCGAGTGGCAAGGGTGGAAAAAATCGAAGGGATCGAGAGCTCGGTTGTGAACCCGTCATTGAAACTGATCGCTCTACGCGGGTGGTACATCACTAATTGCGTCTTATTCATAGGCAACCATCTACTTCTGAACGATCACGTGTATCGTCTTTCGAGCCCACCTGTGGTCTCAAAATATTACCGTGAAATTGTGAAACTATGAATCGTTTCCGAGATACATCGCGCATATTTCTTAGCTTTTAAATACAATGCACATTATGCTTGATATCGGAGTTGAATGGTAATTTTCCGGGAAATTAATAATCTTTAAAAAAATAATGAATCGATTTAAACATGTATTTACGTATACATTTGGAAAAAATTAATAAAAATTAATATATATTTCTAGACAAAAATAGAGATATGTCATTATATATAAAACTAAAATTTAATACATAATGCATGTGTACACATACATACACGCATAGTAAAATTAAGAAAACATTTTTTCTTTCTTTATCTTTTTATTTTTTTAAATAAGATTTTTATATTTTTTAAATTCTTTTTAACTATTATTGTTATATTAATTGTTATATAATGTCATTTCAATAGAACTTTATGTATTAAGAAATGATTGATTTCTTGTTTGAAAGACAATTTCCATATTCAATAACTTTATTATCGAAAGAATTATCGAAAGAATATTATCGAAAAAATTTTTCAGAGAGCAAAACTTTCAAGTGAGCAACTATTAAAAGTTTCATAGTCCATTTATGCTCATTAAAGAATTTTATGAGAGTGGTTTTCATCTCATCTCTCACATAATAAAACTTTTAAATTAAACAATGGAATCTTTTATATCACAAATAAGAGAAAATATCGCAAATAGATTCGACTCAATTAAATTTCTATTTTTTAAGATTGTTATTTTTAATATTATAAATTTTTATTGAATGCTATAAGAATCCAATTAGAAAGAATTTTGTAAAAATTTAATTCTTTTGAAAACCACTTCTTTCAAAATTGTTTTCTGTCTTCTATTTAATAAATAAGTAATGTAAATTTTGACATAAAATTAAAAATTTCATCAATTTTTCACAAATTTAAATATTTTGACGAACATTTTGAAAAAGAAAATGCTATTTTGGTTCCACATTAAAATACGATTTAGAATCAAATTACATCGAATGAGCCTTAATTCAATTTATACGTCTCGAGATCAATCGATCATGTTTACATAGTTTGAGTCGCGAGAAAAAGGTCAGTCGGTTAGGTATTGCGGAATTGCGACAGGAAACCGAAATTGATATTCGTCTCATACACTTGCAATATGCGTCCCATTCATCTTGTCGCATTCTTTATGTTCAACTCCAAGAGAGAAGGAAAAAGAGAAACACATTCTGGTCTTTCATTCACTGTCCCCCTGTCCCGTACCATCTGGTCTTCCACCTGCGCTCAGCCAACTGTTTCTTTACCATTGCAAGCAGAGCAGGTCCGGTTTTTTCATTCCGACCGTTTTCAGTATCTTGTTTCTCGACGACGAGATATGGCGAGCGAGATAATATCGATGCATATTTAAAGTCCGCGAATTGTCTTTCTCGTTCCGCCATATGAACTAAAATTTCGCACTTTAATACCGAAACAATCGAAGATCCAGGCATGTGAGTTGAGCATATTTGTTTTTCTCGGTGAAATTTTACAAGAAACAGATACAAAGTCACAGATTTGCATAAATGTTTCACGTGGTGAGATTGTTTGCAAGAAATTTTTTTAAGACACAATTATGGAAACCTGTGTGTGTCATTTAAAACAGAGAGTCGTGACTATATTTGTTGACTTGTAAAACATAAAAATTATAACTTTGTAATGAATTCTTTTTTTCGCAAATTATATGATGTTTAATCTGCTACTTACGTAATGCTTAATATACTTACTGATGAAGTAATAATTAATCATTATATATATTGCTTTCGTTTTTACGTGTACTTAAGTATCACATTGATTCAATCTCACGCAAATTAAGGGTCATAATAATCTTCCAAATCTTTGTTGAAGACGTCCAATACCGCACGTCGTTATTACAGCGTGATTCTTATCTTCTTAAGTTTTAAAAAATTTTCCTTTGATCTTTCTTTTGATTTCTAAAACAAAAGAATATAAGGCAAAAAATTGGAAAAATTCCCGCGTTCGTAGTTCTCTCTTATAAAAACTTTCTTATAAAGACTTTTATAAAGATTCTTTTAATTATAAAAACTTTATAATTCTAATATTTTATTAATAACATAATTCTCTTAGAGAAATATTTTAATAATTTTAAAAATTATAAAATAATTGCATTATACTAAAAATATAATATTTTGTCTCTCATGTTTTTATATTTTAAGATATATTCTCTTACTATTCTATTGCGTTTATTTTCAAACTTTTACATTTTTTAATCGACATCCATTAAAAATCTTCAATATAATTGCAAAAAAATAAGTGGTTCCGGCCGGGATCGAACTGGCGACCTTCTGCGTGTAAAGCAGACGTGATAACCGCTACACCACGGAACCTTGGTGACTTATGCTTGTCATTATAACTTTGAATAGGCACACACTTTTATATATGTACAATTTTTATTTTTACATATACAATTTTATTATTTAATATTAAAAGGTTTATGAAAAAATTATCATATACGAATTTTGTAATCATATACATATACGTAAGGTATAAAATCATTTCATATATTTATTTACATATTATTTGTACTCACAGTCGATAAATTACACGATTTTGTTTCATGTTATACAGATGGCAACTGTGATCTAGACATATGTATATGTATCAAAAACAAACCAGATTTATATCACAAATTTTATATCATATATATGAGTTAGATTTATTCTTTTTCTGTTATGTATTTTGAGTTTAGATTTTTTGAATTAGTAATTTTAATATATATCTTTTTTTTATTTTACTTTTATTTTACAATTTAATATAATATTTTATATAATATTTATTGCTTTTTACACAATTTGTAATATAGTATAGAAATATAAATTAGAGAATTTACAATCCAAATTACAAAGTTTTTAAATCTATATTTTTTTGTTTTGGCAAAATTTTAATTTAATAAAGATATTTTTTCTAAATTTAATATAATGCTTAGAGAAAGAAAGAGAGAGATTTGGATAGTTTTTTTATAATGCTGCAATACATTATAATGTTCTAGAATATATTACAAATAATATAGTTTCTTATTAACATTATACATCACATTTTATTTTATTTTATTCAACCTTTTAATGTTTGATAAGATCTTTTAAAGAATTATAAGGTCTTATTCGTTGCTCTGTGATTAATTTTTTTCTCTTCTTGATATTTTTTTAAATCTATTTATAAAATTTCAAACACACACGAAACTCTTCTCTTTCTCTTAATTATACATATAGTGATTTTATAAGGAAAATTGCTTTTCAATTGTTCGAAAAAGAATTATAATGCAGAACAATTGTAAATTGTAAATACTCTGACCAAATTTGACAATTTCAACGATTAAAGCTGTTGTATCATTATCAAAGAATAAATGTTTATGTTTTCTTGGATTATTTAACTGTACTAGTTGCAATTGGTTGATCATTTCATAGGCATGAGAAATTGCCATAAATCAATTCGCGGTAGATACGTTAAATCCCTTGATGCCATACAATACGCGACGCATTTATTATAATTGCGAATGTATTCTATCACTCTCTGCATGCACGATTTACAACCAAATTGGCAACATTAAAATTACATATTGGCAAAATTAATTCGTCGAAACATTTGCGTATTCACGAGATGCTTTAATTTTATTCGATTCGACAAATCAGATTCGCATATATGGAAGAGTACATTGAAAAATTAATTTTAATTATCAAAAAACAGTATTACATTTTTATAGAATATAAATATGTATGTATGTATGTTTATATATACACATATCGTATTTTTATTAAAATATTATTATCGCAAAATATCAACATATACATTATAATATTTTTATACGTTATAATATATTAACATTCGACATTTTATTATAATATTGCTATTGGAAATTATGCTTCAATTTGTAATGTTTGTATTAGAGAATGTATCATCTTTTTTATACTTTACAGAAATACTATAAAATATCAAGAATTATAATTTTTTTATGGAATGAATTATTATTAGGATTTATACTATGATTTATGGTTTTCTACGACAATTAATCATGAACTATATGCCGATTATTATTGTATCCAATGATTTATTATTAAGAAATGAATATCAGATATCTATGATAATTTATTTAAATTGTCGTTTTTATCTAAAATTATTTAAACTGATAAATATTAATGTATGAACGGTATATAAGTATTAATATTGCGATTTTTGAAATTAGATTAATAGCAAAACTATATAATAATAAATCAATGATTGATTCACTAATAATTCCGACTTTATCGATAATACGAATAACTCCGACTTTATCGATAATACGAAATATGTCAGAAATATTTTATAATTATATGATACATTGTAAATATAGTCGTACAAATATAGCATAATTATTACATATAAAATCCTTATATTTATTATATTTTACAATATTAAGTACTTTAAAATTTGATAGGCAGTTATAATGTTTGAAAAGTGAGTTGTATGTCAAGTTCCTCGGTAGTATAGTGGTTAGTATCCCCGCCTGTCACGCGGGAGACCGGGGTTCGATTCCCCGCCGGGGAGATTTTTTTTTTCAATACATTCTTCCGTGTCATAATTATACATTAAATATTTAGCTTTTCTATAATCTTAATTTTATCACATTCTTATAAAAATCTCCAAATTTAACAAAATTTTTTTTAACCGAAGCATTCCCATTACACACATACACAAATTCTTAAAATCATTAGGCACATACATACACAAACATATAATTTTACATAGATTAAATTATTCTCTCCATCAATTTATAATTTATTTTTCTTCAATAGGATTTTACTGTATCACGTATTTTTTTTTTTAATATATCTACTTTTAAATATAGTTTATCACATATACATGACTTAAATTATTTTTATTATTTTTTTAATGAAAAATATTTCGATATATTTAAATCTTTTTTATTAAAAAAATTATCCTGTCATTATATTTTGTTGAGAGTTTAGCATTTTAAGAAATAGTATAAGTTAGTATTAGTATTATGGCATAAATTAGTTACTATTATTATTTTGTGAATGTGTTAAAGTTTCTATAAATTATGTAAAGATTTATATATAATTTAAATACATGAAATATAAACATCAGAGATAATTTATTTTTGCAAAAACATATTATTTTGCAATTTATGTATTTATAATATAAGAAATATAAAACAATATAATAAACAAATTAAATAAATATATCAAAGTAAAATATCAATAATAATTATAGATAAGAAAATGGCATAAATGATATAAAACTTATTTTCCTTAACGTACTGTAAATAAAATAGTTATTGTAGGAATATATATACAAATGTATATAAAAAGCAAAAAACATACTCTTATACAACCTACATTTGCATTAGACACACATTTATATAATTATCATCACATAAAGATTGATTCTTTTATATATACATACTGATATTTTGCTTATTAAAACAAAATATTAGTATGACATAATAATAATAATAATATAATGTTAAATATATAATAATATATTGATAATATTTTATAATTTTAAATATATAATATATGTATAACACATCAATTATATTCATAATTATTCTATATTGTAGTACTTGCTGTATAATATACATTATAACTAATTTAAATATAAATAATCATTTTCAATTAAAAGCAATTTTTTGTATGCAAATTTAAAAAGTGGGAAATATATATAATAACTTTTTCTATCTATTCTAGAAATATATTTCTCTATTCTTCTCGAGAACGAATACTTATTGTTTATATATATAAAAGCAGAAGCACGGTATAGTTACAAAATGTGATAAATATATTGATTAAAGTTATCAATAAAGTCTGATTAAAGATTTAGATTCGTTATTATGCTGCTAATTCTAAGAGATGAGCGCGAAGAACGAGTAGAAAGTCAATGCGCAATATTATATTATAAATGAAACTCATAATAATTAGTTCACGATGTTGATTCTTTATCGATGTAAATTTTTCAAGTGTAAATTTTTTAATACCGTATTACTATCGGAACTTTTAAGTCGTCCAAACAGTGGATTTTGCAATTAATTTGACGTAATATAAAATAAAATTAATACACATTTTATTTAGGATTAGTTTCCCTTTTTATGGCAACAGCAAGACAGCAAGCAAGAATGATACCGGCAATCTAAAAAAGAAAATGTATTTTTATATTTAGAGATATATTTATAAAATATTATTAATTTTGAACACGATTTTTACTTTAATTATAAATATCAGGATATAATTCTTTAATTGAATGATGTTTTTAACACATTATTTTCACTTTTCCTCTCTCTACCAGATCCGGATATTTATTTATTTTTATTACGCTCTTGATTAAAACTTGAATTTAATTTCAATAAGAGCGAGGCAAATTCTGACACGATATCGACTTGACACATTTAATTAAAATGTCTTGTAAAATAAGCAAAACGAATAATTTACTTGCCTCTACGAAAGCTATCCCAATACCCACGCCGATCAAAACTGTAGCACCCTTGTGGACTCGCATTTCCAGTTTGCTGAAGCAACCCTCTCGATACGCAACATTGTCAAGGCGACAATTAATTAGCTGGTCATCTTGTATGCAACAAGAGGACGGAAAGTTTGACATGAATCCATTAGCCGGGGACCAATCATTGGGACCATCTACGCCGCAACATTGCAACTATCATATGAAAAGATAAGATTAACGAATTAATGGGATTTAATCAATTAAACAATTATTAAAAATCAATTTAATTTAATTAGAAATCAATCATCTTTTTTATGTTGCATATACATTGCTTATTTTAGTTTTCCAAAATAAAGAAAAGATATTTAAGATATAGGAATATCAAAAAGTAATATGAAGTATGGATTATTATTAATGTAGCAAAGCTATGAAATAGAACACATTGTAGTGAATTCGCAATAATGAAATGACTTTAATTGCTCGCTGGTTATTTGCACGCGATGATCGTTTCATGTAACATATCATCATTATGGGAGTTACCGGTTTACCATTGTTTTCTCCATAACATGAAAGTATATTGATTTTATCTCGCCTTTGTATTGACAAATCCATTAGTGCACTGCGTTCCAGATTCAGTATACTGACCTTTTTCTGCACGTTATCCCAGGCCATTTTATCAGCTTCTGTATAATTCTTCATCGATTCCTTCAAAGTGTCTTTCATCGCCATGCTGAAATCGTTCTTAAACACCGCCGCCGCTATGCCTACCGCGAACTCGATCACGAAAATTATTAACAGCGCGGCCGCAAACTAAAAATTATGTTTGACAATCATTTCATTTATCTTATTTTTTTACCACATTAAAATAATTATTTATTTAAAATTATTTATTTGGTTTTTCGCAAAAAGAAGTCTATTTTTTAAAGGTATACAAAATATAGATAAAGATAGATTAAACACATATGTAAATTTTTTAATCTTGAAATCGAATAAAAAATAATTAAAAAATTTATAATTAGAATTAATATTATACATAAAATTCTGGACACTACAAACATAAACAGTTTTTTGAATAATCGATATTTTTTATGAAACAAATTTTTATATTATTTATTTTTTGTTTCAATTATTTTTAATTATTTCATGTAGATAAACTGTATCGTTTTAAACTGTTTTTATTTTACGCGGAATTGATTTTTTAACTTACGGCGATTAACAAATGATAATGCTCCTTGATCGCTCCATAACAGCCTAGAAAAGCTATAACAAAAACGATAGCTCCCGCAACTATGAGTACTACAGGTGGTGCTATTATTCTGCCTTCTACAAAGTGACTGAATTCACCAACATCCGCTAATACGCACGCACCAGCCGCGATGATACCTATACCGGATATCTGGAAAAATCATCGAAATTCTTCAAAGAATTAAAAAAATGAGAAATATGCATATGTATTTTTACATCATATAAAAGTATCTCTTATTCAAATTTTCTAAAAATGATTTCTATTAATATTTAATAGACCAAGAAATGAATGGAATTACTTTCTCAATATATACAATATATTAATTGAAGCAACATGTATCACAAATCATCAAATTCTTTTACGCGCAAGAAATCTGAAAATATCTTACATATTTCTTAAAAAAAAAATCAATAAAAATTCGATAAATTCTCAGAACTACAAAAAAATTACCACAAAGACATAAAAAAAATGCTTTTTAATTATTTTGAAAAAAAAAAGAATTTTGCTATCTAAATTATTCTCAGCAAGATCGCTCTTGCCGTTTCGTTTTACTTACCGCGAAGACTAGATTGAAGATGAAGAGGATGTACTTGATGACATTCATTCCACAAGACTCCATGGTAGCAATTTGTCTCACAAATTGATTTTATTATCTCGATTTTATTATTTTAATTTGGAATTGCCCTTACGACACTTCGCGGGATTCAAAAAGCCATAGGCATAATCGACTTGTGTTCTGTGCGACGGCCGTACAGTCAATGGAAGCGATCTAGGTGGTACTTACCCCTCAGTCTAGGCGACGAAGGGCTTCGATCGAAATCCTCGGCCTCGCCAGTACGATAGACATGCAGACACGATTTCATTGGTTGTTCAGGGCGATATACGAGATCCTTTCGTGGCTGTTCCGTTTTCAGCCTATCATTGGTCGGCGATCCTGAATAGAAAGTACTAGGTGGTCGTCGATGGTAACCATGGTCACCTTGCCCACTACTACCCCGGGTCAACCCAGTTCTTCAGGAAAAGCGAATAAAAAAAAAGGATGCTTGCTGTTTATTAGCGTATATAAAAGCACACTCTGTCGTGTGAATCCATTCTCGGCTTTGGGTTCGGTGTCCTCTTCGACTCGTACCTCTGGCCCGAGCCATCGATCCAAAGACCGTCAACAGACAACGCGCGAAACCGTGAAAAGTCTTTGTCGATTATGTTTCGCGTATCGATGAAATGTTAAATATTGACCTCCCTTTCTTGATCCTTCGTATTCGAATATTTAAACTATTTAAATATATGACTTTTTCAATAAGTCTTTTCAATAAGTTCTTTGGATATTGATTTAATACGGATTTACCTTTTGAAGTGTTCAGATTAATAACAGTTACATATTTTCATGGATAAAACGATAAAAATATTGATCAATTCGCGTGCGAGAAAATAGTTTAATCAATATGTCGTTATATATGTATTATTCAAAAGTAATATATTAAAACAGAGATAAAAACATTTTAAAAATAAAATTACGTCATGTTATTTTTGTACATTTTATTTATTTTATTTATTACATTATACATAGAATTTGTTAATTTGTGAATAAGTATATATTCTTTTACATTTATTTATGACTGTTTTAATATTTGTTCTATTTAACAATACAATTTTTTTTGGCAATATCATACGTGATGTATGAGTGGCGTTGTAACCATACTATTTTACCAATTTGTAAAATGGCAGAATCCTGTTTCAGTGGACACTTTAACTCCAAACGCATTCGCGCTGCATTGCGGCGAAGCGATAGCCCGATACAAACGCAAACCACCACAATTTTATCGGAGATCAGACAAACTGTGAGCACATCGCATTAAACGATCATCCCTCTCGGCGGTTCAATAATGTCACATTATTTACATGCCCGCTTGTACACACAAAGTGGGTCACAAGCGACGTTTCACGTTTTCGTTTTCATGATTCGACATTCGCGATAGGCGTCTATATAATACATACGCAGTAACTTTCTTTCGAGGAATTTCTAGAAAAGTCTTAGTGGCTTGTTCACATGCAGATGAGATTCGCAGGTAAATCCGCCCCTTCGTGCCACGCTATGAATATGGGTTAATAGGAGCGTGATAAATATAGCTGACGAGCTCATTCTTCAGGTAGCTGTACGTACACGTAATAGTACAAAATGATAATATGCTTCGATTTAAAGTTCACCGCCACAAACATTTTTTTCCAATCTGCCCTTTGCATAATTTGTATATATTTGTTGATATAAGGGTATTAGCTATATTACTTCGCTAATAAAGATTTTTATAATTTAATTTCTTAATTAATTTTTTTAAAAGTTCGTATGTCTTAGACAGAAGCGCTGATAACAGAGAACAAGAGCGTTTACATCAATTCGGAATTTTATTTTAGCACAAATTACTTTCTTATTACAAATAATATTAACAATAAAGAGACTTAGCTAAAAGAAAAGTACACGGAAGAAAATGTGCAACTTGATAAATATGTATGTGTTCAAAATATTGAAGAACGATAATATACTTTGTCTCTAAGATTCTTTTTTGCAAAAAGTGCACTAAATGTGACTATGAATAAATAAATCGTAATATTATATTATATTATATTTAAGTATGCCAGTATGCCGTTAACGAAACTATATTACTGACTATCCTATGATAAATGACACTTATATATTGCTCAATTACACATCTTACATAATTAATTAAGTAGATACACAATATTGCGAATTATCAAGTAAAAATCATTTTTCTAGCTCAGATTAAAGTCGCACGCACGCACAAATTAAATGCTTCTGGGTAATATTAAAATTTGCTTAATATTGTGAATGATACGAATATAAAAAATTTCATTATTTCAGATATTGATGTATTAACTTGAGCAAGTAATTTGGTATTATCGCAGGTACATAATAAATGCAATTACTGCGTCGCATCTTTCGTCAATGAAATTTTATCAATGAAATTTAAAATGTAATCAGCTAGTGCTTTTAAGTTACGTTTATATCAAGACAAGAATTGCTAACATCACGCTATTTCGTAACATTTCAATTTGTTAAAAATTCTTATTATTCTTCATTGTTGATATGCTGTGTTGAACAATCGATGGTCATAAAGCTCTCGCGCTGTTTCCTGCTTTAAATTGCGCGCGGACACAATCGTAGCTAATTTATTTATCTTCGTACAAGATGCGAAATTATACTTCGAACTTCCGCGGGGTCGTTAGAACTTTAAATGTTGATAAGCGATGACGAGGAAGAATATCACGAAAATCGATGCATTCGGCGTGGTAAACGAGCCGGAATTCCAACTTTCTGTCGGCGATCTGAAAGCAGCAATATTGAATCAATCGATAATTACATTCTTAACTGAATTGCGCTTGTAAACATCAGAAGAACATTTTGCGCCGCAAATTATATTGTATAACTTTCCGCGAATCTAATTACGTAAAAATGTATTAATGCATAGAGTGATACGTAAGATTTCTATCTACATTAAACTGCATTCTAATGCGTTCTATATTTTCACGTAATATGAATTGCAAACAAATGTGATTGTGAATTAATTATAAGTGGACAAATGTTCTTGAAAGCGTTAAAGTGTATGATACTCGAATACACAATTAATAATGCGTAAGAAGTATATATGAAATGCAGAACAAATATTAATGCAAATGAGATATTGTGCTTCTCTTACAACATAAACGATACAAGGAAATACAAGGAAAATTATTTTATTATAAAATATATTTTTCGGCTTATTATATTTCTTGAAAGATATATTCTTTTTTAGTATAGTTCTTAATATATTAACAACTTTTGCAATTAATATAATGATATAACTTTTTGACTTTATTTTTGAATAACTTCTATAGAAATAATAACAGGGATATATAAACCTTTTAAACTTTATTTATATATTATCTCGTAGAGGAAGCTCGTAAATTATCAAAGTATTATCATTACACTGCTTTATTAACGTGGAAATATAATCCAAAAGAAGATTAACGAACTGCTCTCTTAATTCATGTATGTATAATATTCATATCGTTTAGATATAAACGTACGTGACTATGAAATAATTTATAGAAGTAGTATTTTCACATTAGAACGCATATTTTTTTTTATTGTTGCAATCTATACTTCTTTACGGCATCATTACCACAGAAAAGTTATCAGATAGATACAGGAAAGATATAAATGTGAAAGGAAGGATACATTTGGGAAAATAAACAGTAAGGTAAAATACACACTTGTGTGTTAAAATACTAGGTTCACATATAAAAGACGAACAGATGTAGAATAACACAGTCAAGGGAGAAAATTACATTAGATTTCTATGGTGTAAAATATCGCTCCTGTATTAACTCCTATTTTACACACACGTCTGCAATTCAATTTATTAGACACAAACGTCAAATCTTTTTCTTATAAAACATATAGGACATACACAAGACATATTTAATTGAAGAAGCGTCTTATATATAAGCGAGCAACATTACAACACAACATCGACTTAACCCTAATATATCGGGACGTATTTCTAATTAGATCTATCAAGTTGATGGATATTGATCCTTTTCTCTTGTCCCGTCGACCGCTGACATTTTTCTTCAAAGTATTTTAGATTTTTCTGTAATGTGCAGAACACAATGAGGCGTGGCAATCCAATTTTATTTTCAAGATGCGTACAAAAATGCAAGGAATTTAATAAAATAACATTAATGTCATAAAATTTGATAATATATATTATATATTATTTATTATATTATAACATTAATATTGTATATAAAGTAAAATAGATTAATAAATGATACTAAATAAACAATATTAATAAACGATACTAAATAAACAATATTAAAAAAGCATTTACTACATTAATCAAAAATATTTGAGTGCTATTTGTAATTTTTTATCTATTTATTATTATATAAATTTGCAATGAATATTCAGCAACAAATAAAAGAACGACAAATAAGCGTTAAGCGTAATAAAAATAAAAGAACTCAATTTATTAATTTACTAAAAATATGAAAATTGTTTATAATTATTAATTATAAATGACACACAGATGTTATAAAAAGCACATTATATTTTAAAAATATAAATACGAAGAATTGCCTGAAAAAGAATAGAAAGTACGAGAGAAAAGAATAAAGGGATAACCTACTGGACACCGATGACACCACACGCCCAACGGCTCCCGGAATTTCCGGTTGTCGAAGAGAGAGTGTGGTTACCCTTGCCAAGATCATCTTCGTCGGAATGGACTACCATAGATCTACCCAGGATATTGTTCGGTCCGCTGAGCGAAATGATGTTGTCAGTGATATTTACTGCTGCTTCTCCCTGAGAATTGGCTTGGATATTTCCTAAATCACCGACATGTCTGACAGTATCTTCCGGTGCACCGTGAGTTACCTAATAAATTAATAATGTAAGCAGATCTCAAAATATAATCTGTGAGATTATTGAAGCGAAGAAGCGAGATAGAAAAACATATCATTGAATCATTGAATTTTTAACATAAGATATAAAAACAATCGTGACAAAAATTAAAATTTTATATCGTAAAAAAAATTTTACGCAAGTGCAATAATGGGATTAATTATAGTATAGCAAAAGATTAAAAAGCAGATTGATCGAGGGCTCACATTCTCGGGATTGAAGTGGGCTCCAGCGGATGTGCAACCGTCGCTCAAATCTCCCTTCTCGTGTACGTGAAAACCATGAAGCCCTTCTGTAAGTCCATAGATTGTACCGGTGATGGTGACAGGCCCATTCGGGACGGACTGAACGATTTTCAAGTTACCCGTCACATTCTGCACCTTAACGTCGTGCGGTGTTAGGCGTACGACCGCCACCATCTCCTAATCGAGCCGATTCGATGCGATCAATACGATTATCAACGGCAATGCCTAACGTGTTTTTCGAAGAACAGCAAAAAGTTTCATCCAAATCGCGAGCGAAGTTTCTCTCAATGGAAAGTTAATTGGATGTCAACTTCTCTCACAGATTCTTAATTTCCGACATTAAATCTTTTGAGCCTTAAGAATCAAAGACAAAAAAGTGCTATTGAAGCGTAAAAAAAACAAAGTTAAGTTACTTTCTTGTTTATGTCCTAAAAAATTGATTAATTACATTCTGACATTTGTATATTATCGTGCATGAAACTTTTGATATTACTCAAAAACACTTCATATTCTTCTATTTATTGTATTATAAATGCATTATTATTCACAGATATCATTAGACATTCCAATTTATGGAATATGTATACGATCCATAATTATCACAATAATAATTTGTCATACACTATATTGTATTTGAAAATCCGATTGATGATTTATTCAATATTACGGAAATGGATTAGTGCATAATATTCGGATTATTATACGTACCTCAGCTGTAACAACAGCTACAGCTGCCAATAGTAATAATGCGACCATTCGACTCATCGTGTGAACTGTAAATAGAATGACAGAAAACTAATCATGTGTGTAAAACTATTATATCTATAATAATTTTTTCTTTCTTTTTGTTCAAGGTAATTATATAGTAATAAGCACGATTACTCTAAGTCACTACAATCATTTATCGCTTTCAAATAAATGATTTTTTTCTTCGATTTTATCACAGTGTATAAAAATATACGCTGCGAAAAGTATTTTTATAATCTTTCATGGCAATTTTTCACGAGATGTATAATTCTTATGATAAGCGTAACTTTGATAACAAATAGAATATTTCGTCATATAATTTCAGGTTTGTGAGAGAAAAGCGGAAAGTTTGAATAATCTTTGGATCGAAAATTACAGTCGGATGACCAAGTAATTGATTCCAAATTAAGTCTACCGGAAGATTTCACGTTTGTCTATTAAAAAATGATTAGTAATTTCTAATTGGTAGATCTGGATCTGAATCCATTTGCGTGTGCCTCACGTGCACAAGTGTAATTTAATAGGTGTGCATCTAGATCAGACGAACCTATTAACGTTCAACCAATGGCTTTGTGTTAGAGCATGTTGCTCGTCGGGTGATAGACTCGCACGGAAAAGACTAATCGATATATTCTTGCAGCGCAGTTTTTGAAGCGCGATTCACAAATAGCCGTTTTTTTATATAATTTGTACAAAAGAAAATACGTAGAAAAAAAGCTAGGTCAACGAAAAAAGTAAAGCCTTCACGTCACTTTATATTATTGAGTGACATTATAATCAGTCAATCATATATCATGTCGTTTATTTTCCCTCATTACGCGCCTATTAGATGTATGAAATGTACTATCTCTTATTGTACTATCTCTTATATTCCTGAGTTGTCAGATGACCTTCGAGATATGTAATAAGTTACGTTGTAGCGGCGCGCATGAGATTTTTATTAATAGGATTATATAATTTCATAAAAAGCAATAGCAACATAAATGATATTATGTCGAATTAAAAATAAGGTTGTTTAATACTTCAAATCTGCATTTTTAATTTTTATAAGTTTCACGGAAGATTGATAAAATTATATTAAATTTGATTGATAACTTTATGTGTGAAATGTATCAAAAATTAAACTTATATAATCGAATATTTGGAAAAATTGTTATATAGAATTACATTGCAGAATCTCTTTTAGAATTAATTTTTTAATTTTTGATTTTCTTAGGTAAAGTTTATCAATTATTTAAATTTATAAGTAATGTAAATTTAACAAAATTACTACTACATTATTATCATTACGTGTTTGATAGAATTTATATATTATTTCTTGACGTACACACACATATATATTATTATTATTATTATTACAGTTTGTCGGCGCTTTGGAAATACATGCGAACGATTGCTGAGAAGTTTACGGTCTAGAAAAAAAACAGCAACCGGCTTGGGAAACATTTCAAGAATAAATCATTGCGGAATTTTTCTACAGTGGACCAGATATTGTAAAAGGTGAGTGAGAAAACATTGACTAGAACTCGACAAGCACACGAACAAACTCACGAGCGAAATAGTTTCCGCGAAACATCGATCCATGCTAAAGGTGTTCATCCACAACACCTGCGCGATTTCATCGATCAGCTTTATTCATGTGTTTTAACATATAAGCGCGGCGCGAATTAATGTCGCGTTTTGCGGACACCTAACAAGCACATAGTACAACATATTTTCATTTCCCCCACAGAAATGACTCTACATATTACATATATATATACATACTTGAACACATTATTGACTCTACTACTTTACGTTACCTTTACATTACTCAGGAGAATGTCTTACATATTATACGTTTCCATATTTCTTAGCACTCTAACTGTAACTTGAAAAAATTTACTAAGTATTTAAAGGACGTTGAAATAGACTTACAGATACTATATTTAAGTAAAAGTTAATATTACAATTGTTTATATTACTAATAGAAGAATATAATGTAATGCAATTTTGTAAGAAATAATATGAATGTCCAATCGTATTCGTAATTAATTGCATGATTTACGATAATTAAAAGTATTACCGTGGAAAATCCATGAAACTTCAATTTGGGAGCCGTTATTTCCAACGTTAAGCCCCGATAAACTGCGCAATTGACCACGTAATTACTGAATTTAACATTAGCATATACGCCATGTATATGGGTATATATCGACATTATGGATTAATGTATCATGCTTATGGACTATTTCTGCCTAATGTACGAGCCGGCTTTCCAATGTAGTTTTCCATTGCATTTCCGACAACAATGTATCATATTTAGTAGCTAGATTTTCTACAACAAGATAAAATCGTAATTCCCGGAAAAATCTTCTATATATTAATACTGCGATTATTTATTCATTTTCTATACTTTATTTTTGTATGTATATATATACTAGACCTTTTATGCAATAAAAATTTCGATTTGAATTATCGATTTTAGGTATAATAACTAAATCGAATTTTTTTGTCTTAAAAATTAAATATATGTCTATGCTAATTTTCAAACTTTCGAATTTTTGGATTCGTTTGAAGAAAATGAATACCGAGCCATCCTAAATAATTTGGTCGACAATACATGTAGTTGTAAAGATTTCACGATAAGAGATAAAAGCGATAAAAGAAGGAAAAAAAATATCTTACGTGACGATTAGCCACGATCAGATAAATTATATTGGATAACGAAACGTTTATCGTGGCAGACATAGTACGGGATTTCAACGCGATAAGATAGATTGGTGACGACGATTGGCGAGAGGAGCATGCACACGAAAAGTGAAAGGGGACCTACCGGGCGCGGGCACGATTTTATCGAACACTGAATGACCGAATGACTGACTGACTGACTAACTGACTGACTGACTGACTGACTGCAGTTGCTGGACTGTGTTCCTCTTATATCGGCTCGGATCCCAATGTTGATCTCCCACCCACAACTCATAGACAAATCAGCCGCGAAGTATCTCGTAAATGATTATGCTCCAACGCCACCGGCGACCGGACGATCATCGAAGATGACGGAAGATTCCGGACCTTTCGACCAACCCCGCACGTCGTCTTCTTTTGTACAGTCAGAAATATGAACGATTCACATAATAATTTAAAATATGCTATAATATGATAATAGCTTTTAAGAAAATGTAACGCGATATGATATTTTCATATCGCGTTACATTTAGCTATAGATTATTGTTATTTAAAAATAGGTTGTCTCCCTAAAATTATTATTTAGTTTTCTAATGTTATAAATTAATTAATTAAAATAATGACAACTCACTGTCGACGATTAGTACGTTAATTTTAATTCAATTATCCACAATGATTTAAGCTAAATAGAATGTAATATTTTTTATTATCTTATAATATCTTCTGAAAAAGAAATACTTGATTTTCGTAAAGTACATTAATTTATAATATTGTGTATGTTATTATTGTGTAATGTTATTATGCTAATAATAAAATGCTATTATGCTAATAAATTATTAAAACTGAAAAATGATGCATATAAAGTGGTTGATAATATCTCTCATTTAGATTAATGTTCGATTTAAAGATCGAAACGTATACATAATGAAAATTTTATCGTTGCATAATATCTTAAAATATTTCTAAAACTGATCATTGCAGCTTTATACTTTATAGTAAAAAAATAGAAATGGAAACTTTATATATTCGTAATGCGAAATGATCGCTTTAATTAATGATCGTGTAAAATCATATAATATAGATTTGAGTGTATTTATTACCTTGAGTGTTAGAAGCTTACTTTTGATTGACGCTGACTGTTACAAGGAAGGTAACAACGCGCCGCACGACATACGTGCCATTTAAATTAATAGGATAATAGTGAAGGATATTAGATATTCACGAACGACTGCTCAACGAATCCGTTGAAGTAATCACCTGCAGTAAGTATGTCACCGACAAACGTATACGAACTTACGACGTCCTGAATGCGAAATTAGCGTTGTTAGCAATATATTAACGCCCGCGAAGAAACTGCCAACTTTTAATCTTTTCGCGTATTAAGTCGATCGATAAACTCGACATATATGAATATTTCATTCATAAGATGAAGAAAATATATCCGCGAATAAACTGATAGCAACGTATAAAAATGTTTTAGAATTCGAGGCTTACTTAATTTATATATTTCGTTGACTCATTTGCTTCGTTTTACAATTCATAAAAGACAAAATTACCATGCACCCATTCCTCTTTTATCGCATAAGTGTAGGGAAATTAAAGTGAATATTAACACGTAAGCGATAGCATAGACTAATATTGGTTATCGTGTAATTATCCGTTGAAGATAAACGTATGACTCATGAATTCATTAACAGAAATTCGCCTCGTGCACACACATCTCCTCAACAAAATCTATTACAACATCTATCTAATACAACTCTCTTCGGTGTAATATTTTTCCCATTAATTAATCGCACGATAGTGCTATTGTCATGTAATCGAGCTGCTTCGAGAATTATTTTTATCGATGAATGTTATTATTATTTTTCAAGATTTTCTTGTTTCACATTTTGCAAATTTTTCAATATATCTTATGTCGGAGACGTATAAATAAGATTTCTTATTTTATATAATTTTATAAATATACGAATAAATATATAATGACACAAATAAATACACATTTTTACATAGAATTTACATCCTTCGTTGTGAAAAAAACATAAACATATCTTTTTAAAATCTTATTTAACTTAAAATAGCAATTATATATGTTCAAAGACACAACTTTAAATTTTATATAAAATAATTAACTGCAGAAAACGGAAAAATGCAACAGAGATGTCAGAAAAATTTTAATTATAGGTTTTTAATGTTTTTAATATCTCATATCTACACTAAAAAAGTCCTATTGTAATTTTTGAAAGCCATTTATAATAGTCAGAATTTTATCACAATCGAATCTTAAATCATATTTCTAGGTAAAAACCGAATTATCGAAAATAGATCAATCGATCAGAGAAAATTGCCGTGCTTCGGTAATCATCACAAATTTTGCTGTTGTTACATTAGTGAAAATCCGAGCGATCGTGATTTCGATGATCGTATTTTCGAGTGAATCGAACGAGATTGATGGACGTTTATGGTGCATCCTGGCGAAGTAGGGATAATTATGCTTCGGATTGAAGTCTCCTTTGTGTGTTTGGATTCTCTTTATAAAGGAAACCGGATATTGCATTTGCAGAGCTCTGATTGGCAGCTCGACTACGCAGTAACGTTTTGCACAATTGGGACTTTGTAATTATTGTTTCCGACTAAATGTATACATAAATAGAAAATTTAATTATCATTACTTCCTGTAAAATAAAAATTGGGAAATATCGCATTATCATTTAGATTCGAATATGAAATTGACAACGAGCGATAAGAACGAAAATATTGCAAATTTATACATGCATCGTGGGAACTATCACTGTAAATTTTAACGGAAATATGTAATACTTAATTCGCGAAACAAATATATAATTGTGACACATCAAAAAGTACATTTCGAAATGATGTCATATTTACAAAATTATTACACTAAGATTTGTTATTAAAATTCAATAATAATTTTTTTTAATTTGTATATTAAAATATTAATTTCTCTTATTTTCGATATTAAATTAATAATATTAAAATTGCGGCTAATACGTTAGTTATTGCAATGTGATATTTTTATGATAAAAATATAGATCTGAATTATATACTCGATAATTTTTGACATAGAGTGAAAATTATGTATAGTTCGATTTTATACAGCCTCATCGTTCAAGAGAAGTTTTTGAAAAATCTACTTCGATCTTTGCGCTATTATAAAAAACTTATCTCTAGAACATTATGATAGATGTGATATAATGCCTGGTGAAATTGATCGAAAATTGTGCACGCGCAATCGTTTAACAATTACAACCAGTTTTGATTTCGGAAATATCGCGAATGTAAGGATACGCACTCCGGTTGCGCGCAACGTGATATGTTGCAAAATAAAAAAGTACACTTTGTAAAATGACGTCGACGTCGAATACTAATGTGGCTGTCGCTCACAGGTACAGCGTTAGACAAGCTGTAAATCAAAAAATAAGAAAAAAAGGGAAAGCAATCACTCTCGACACGAAGATTATGATACCATTTTTATTTCACGACGAGAAGAATTTTTTGCCGAAGTATTGCGATGCCTTATTTAATTTCATGAGCCCCACCTAAAACGTTATTCCGAACAGCTACGTTTTAACTTCCAACGTGTTTGGAATCGTGAAAATATGAGCGAAAATACGTAGAAAATATTTTTAAAGGAAAGATTGCGACATAATTTTTATATTCGTAGAATGAATATATTTTCCCGGACAATTTTATAGATGTTATTTAAATTATCGAATATTTTCTCGAATTATTGAAAGCATGTATGAAAATGCAAATAAAAGACATGTCATGTATTGCATATATCAACTCGATAATATATTCAATTATGAAGCTGTGAGTCATCGCATAACCTTTCTTAAAGAAAAATCAACATGTTTCGAAAAATAAATTGGGCGTACGTAATGTTTCATTAAAATACACAAAATATCTTTCATCATTTTGAACGCGATCGCGTTACACTATAATATGCAATGTCCAATGCCGCTTAACAATGAGCGTTGCACATGATAAATAAGTCACCAACATAATCGCTCTGACGTTGCACATGCGCTTGGTTCTCGACGCGAAACTTACCTCTTGTAAATCCAATATTCGCAGAAAATTGAATAAGAGATATACTGAGAAATGTCACAGTTAATAAACATGCTGCAAAGAGATTTTATGCGGTATTTTTTGAAAGACATTAAAGTATTATTTAAATTCAACATATTAAGTTGACAATTTATTAATCTGACAAAATTAATTAATCAGCATTAAATAAAATTGAATAAATTTATTCTTGAAAAATAAATAATTAGAAAAAATGTAATAATATGAAAAGGTAAAAATATTAAAATGAAAATTTATTTTTTTTACTCTTTATTTTTTCGTTTTTTTTATTTTAATTACGACTATACTAATTCTGCTCAATGTTCTCTTTTATTTATTTTATCTTATGTCGTAAGATAAAGTAATCATTATGAAGGAAATTAAAGGCAAACAATTAATTATTTAAACGGTATTTATCTAACCGTTTTAATATTACAAATTAAAATTCACGTGAAAAATATGAAAATGTGCAACCAAAATATTTCATTGCAACAAATCGATTTCACGATCGATTTATAAATGTGAATGTAATAGAAGTAATTACATAATTAATAGTACATTGTTAATGTTTGTTCCTAGTCTTAACATACTGATATTTTCTTAATATTTGCAAAAAAGGAATAAATAAATATTCGTAAAAATGTTAAGTGTTTAAGTGTTTCTCGTATATTCAATATACGAGTATAATAAATAAATAAATAAATATTCGTATTAATAATATATAATAAATAAATATTCGTAAAAATGTTAAGTGTTTAAGTGTTTCTCGTATATTTCAAAAATAACTTATCTCGTTCGATCACTGTAGAAGTATAAAATATAAAATGTACCAAAAGCGTTATGGAATAAAGCGCTTCTTTGATTAATTTAATTATACAGATTATTTCACAGAAAGAATATAAATCTTTCTGCGAATAAACAGATGTTAATCTATTCATTTTATGAAATATATTTTTCATATTCAAATATTAAATAGAAAAGTTTTAAATACAGAAAATATTTAAAAATTTAAAAAAAGAACTTATTAATCAATATAATTTATTTATCGTAATTCATTTAGCATTATTATTTTTTCTCCTGATATACTGATTAAAATCAATCAATCATCTCTCTCTTTTCAAGCATTTTCTAAATCTATATAATATATATATATATACATATACTGTATACATAATATAAATTTTTTGGCGAATTTAGAAGAAATATTTTTGTTCTTACCTTGCGAAGATTCTGCTGTATTTTTCACGTGACTTGTTTACACGGACAACTGCGTGACTATTTTTCTTCAATATTGCTTCACTCTGCGGCACACGTTATGGATGCACACTGAATCGTGCGATTTAAACTGTCGAACATTGACTGCGTCTTACAATGAGGAAGCTTGAAGAATTGAATTCGAAAGAAAGAAAGAGAGAAATGAGAGAGAAAAACCGCTACTTTACTGCAATCTTTATCGCGATTACGCGACTTTAATGTTGATTCTTTCTTTTCAGAGAGAACACTGGTCTCGCGTATACCTGGTCGGTCATCGACCCCGATCCCCTCTTAGGATTCTGGTGTGGACCCACGATCTTCTTCCCAGCAACGACGATACCACTCACGAAAAATATTTCGCGATATCTTTCAATCGCAATTTGACGACTACCTGGGAAAACGACGACGCAGTAAGTAAATGTACGTTATCTTTTTGACGACACGTAACCACAAACGAAATGGAAATATCCCGTCTTCCCATGTAGTGATAGTATTCAAGGTTCTTATATTTATTTCATGCGCGCGGCAAGAATGAAAAAAAATTATGAATTTTTACAAGAGACTAAATATAAAAGTTATATAACACATTATCTGACAATGAGATAATCATATAATTACATATATAGATTCTTTCCAGTTTAAAATATTTTGAGAAAAAAATTTCTCTTCTCTTGAATCAAGAGACTAACTTTGGAATTTTTAATGATCTTCTTGGTACAAAAAAAATGTTATAAATTTTTTACTAAACGAATACGTAATAATGCATATTATAACGCGCGACGGATGAAGATAAACCTTTTTTATATTAAATACATCAATGATTAACAAGTTAGAAATAGCACAAACAGGGAAAAACATAAACGTACGCGTCGACGGTAGCACTGGTTAGAAGAAACTGAAACCTATGGAAAGCACCTATGACACTTGTCTTCCTTGGACGATTACGGGCCTTGGACGATTACGGACCGCTTGTATTACACATACCTATGCGTATACCGTGTGTCTCTTAACTCCCCTCTTCTTAGATGTTATGACATCAAGGTTTTACAAGCCTTGTGCATCAGTTTATACCCAAGCTATATTCAATCGCTCTATAATGTATCATCTAGCTTCCGCTTAGAAACTAGAATAAAAAAAAAATTCGTTATAAAAAAACTTCATGATGAAAAGATAATGCTTTATATTTATTCCGATATAATAACCGATCATTTTTATCATGAAAGGAATTCCGGAAGTTTTTAGATTCTGTATATTTCCCTATAATTTTAATTAGATAACTTTTTAAATAATTTTCTTATTGAATGCTAATAGTAAAAATTAAAATTTTTGGAATATTTATAGCCATAGAAGAACTATGAATAAAAAATTAGAAGATTTTTTTCGGTAGATATGGATTCAGCGCTCTAAAAGAATTACATCGGACTGACAGTTCGAGTGATTTAAACGACGACAATAATGAAACGACATCAATGACAAATGCGATGATTGACAAGGTTCTCTTGCGCAAAAATTCTCGATCAATGCGAGATGTAAACCATTGCTCCGATGCCGCCGCGTGACTCCTTTCATTGACTCGATACTGCGCTATGGCGATGCGTGGTAAAATGGCAATGGCGTAGACGTCTCTCTTTGTCATGAAACGGTAAAATTATGACGTACTTTGGCGAGTCGTCTCCTTAATCCTGTATAAACAAAGGAACAATTTCTTTTGCTGCAACATAAAGTTTATCTCGGATGTTCCGAGATGCGAGCCTCTATAGCTTCGAAATGCATATCGAGATTGTCGTGAATATCTCTGAAGATAAATTTCAGCAACCGATGATTACGTTATGTTATTTAAACAGAGATAAATACCATCTCTTATCGTAGAAAGATCATCATATCTTCCATAGAAGAAATAAAAAAATTTATAACCATGTATTATTATCATTAAATCCAACATGTAGAGGAATTTATATCTGTGTCAAATCATGACGTAATTACGAGGGATTAAGTTATAAAAAAATTTGCATCAGAGAATTCACAAAAAAATAGAATCTACATCGAGAATTATCATTGAAGATGTAAAGTTTATATAAATAGAGCATTTTTTAATATTTATTTTTTAATTCTTAATTATAATTATATTCTTAAATATGGTATTAAAATTATATTTTTCAAGTTTATTTTTTCATTATTTTCATATTATTATTTTCATTTTTTAATTTAATTTTCAGCTAAATTGTACTTTGTATGTTAACGATATTACCATTTATTGATTTAATAATCGCTTTAATAATTGTAGGATTAACTACAACAAACTGGAAATATTCGAATAACCTTGCAAGCGCCATTTTTCATTCCATTAGCACCAAAGTACAAAACAAATTCCATTAGCATTACCATCGGTTAAGTATCTAGCACCGTTCTCTTCCGAATTAATGACGGATTTCTTGGTATTTGCGCTCCATCGACAGGTGCTAAGGCCATTTGTCTAGGTCGAATTTCGCCAATACATTCAAAACTTGTTTCCATTCTCATCTAGAATTGTATTCTCGAGACAGTCGAACCAGTACAACCACCTTGAAGTGGTACTATCCAGCCGTGCTTGACCTACCTATCTATACTCGGATGTATACCGAGGGATTCTACAGCCTCCGCCTTGTGTCTCTCTCACCGCTATCACTCATTGTTTTCCACGAGAGAATTTTATAGTCGCGCATAATTGTAAATCATTATTTGAACGCGATGAAAAATCCAACGCATTGCATCGCGTATTCCTGGGAACGATATCAAATTATGGCATCATCAGAATTAAAGGACGCGAATCGTCAGCGCGTACAATAAATAATGCGATCTTCAGGTTTTTATTCGCGTATATTAATTACCGTAATTATGCAAATAAAATTTATACCGTGCTTCAAATCTTCGGAGAAAACAAAAGTTTGAACTCAAAAGTTTGAGATCAGAAGTGTCTGACTTATGTACAAGTCCACCAAAAACAATTCAGTAAAATTTAATAAAGTGTCAACATCAACGAAAAAGAACTAAGAATTTAATATTCATGATGAATTTTAATAAGATATAATCTTGATATTCAAATCTGATATTCAAATTGCATTACTAGCATATGTTTTTCGTAGTTTTATTAATATAGCATAAAACAATCCTATCACTTTTTTCACAGAACCAGTATTGCAAGATGAGTCGTGTAATTTTTATTTTATGTGTAAACTTTTAATTATTTATTCCTTCGTTCGTTTTTGAAAATTAAAGGCACAATTTCCTACAATTAAAAGGAGTCTACCAATTAATAGATATACATTAATGTTCGCATTCTCATAAAATAATAATAGTATTTTTCCAAATATAAATTAAGCTTCTTATTTTTAGGAGAGGAAAGATTTAGCATAAATCATGGCGCATGAAGTATCAGTAGAATTGGCGATCATTTATTCTCTGATGCAGCTATTAATAATATTCTTAGTTCTTCTTCAAAAATAATCAAGTATCATTCGGGTCAATTACCATTCTCCATGATAGCGAGTAATTCGCGCAACAGCCATCACCATTCCGGTTGGATAACCGCGAAAATTGCGCGTCCTGGTTTTCGCAGTTTTTAGCGTTCGCCTAGATGACTGACCAGATTAACCTGCGGTATCAACGGCATCAGCCCATAGCGAGAGGCGCCCGCGGGCACATCTCGCTTTCACCCGGCTGGTCTCTCGCCACGTGCATGCAAGTGTACGCACATCGAGTCGATGCACCGATCTGACGTTTCAAGAAGAAGGGCCAACGCGTTTCGCATCCGCGGATCGAGTTAGTAATTCGAGATTGTGTCTAGTCAAATCGATATCGCTCGTCCGTGCGATCAGGACTCCCCGGTGTTTCGGCTTGTCTCTCGAGCTTGGTGCCCAAGAACCAATCTACCTCGTCCTCGTCGTGACTCGCCGATGACGTAACGTATAAATACACGCCACGGGGGAATCGAACCGGTGGCTTCTACCACTTCTTCGTCTTTTTCTTCTTCTGCAAGAAGGGCAGTCTTCGAAGAGCGGTGGTCTCGAAGGCAACTCCCTGATCGGTACAGTGCGAAGATTGTTATCGCGGGAAGTGGATGAATCTCGAGCTGCCAGATCGAATCGAAGAAGAAGAGGAGGAAAAGCGGTAGCAAGGAAGAGAGAAGGAGAAACAGCGGCAAGTCTTGAAGACGCCGTCGAGTTCTATCGTCAGACCCGTTTTATCCTCCGATCGACTTGGAGGATTCGTCACGAGGACCAAATCGTTGTTAATTCGTCCGGCTTCCCTAAGCTCGCGAGATGTGGCGACTGTCGATAGTGATCGGTATGATCTCGATCGCGAGGGCTGGACTGTACGACAGAATGATGGTCTCGATGAACGACAGAACATTATTCATCAGGAGTCTACCCGGTTATCCTGGGACCAGAAGCGATCTTTACGAGGTCTACATGGAACCATATTATTTTGTACGTATTGATATTTTTTTCTTGTTATTATTCGATATGTTAATATTCCGATATTAATTACTGAAAATCGATATCATTTTCGATGATATTTTTTTATATACATCTAATTACACATGATTTTATATATATAATTTGAAAGAATTTTATTGTTTTTATTGAAAATAATAATTACTGAAAGTAATAATTATTATATATTAATCGCTTATGTATTATATTATATATATAATATATTAATAATTATTTAATATTAATTATTGAAAATAATAATAATTCAATATTAATCGCTATTTCTATTATCATTGAAATTTCACGATGAATCTAATCGATATATAATTTCATTCTATAAATATAAAATTAGAATGAAAGAAATATTATTATAATAGACAATGCTAATCAAGGAATATTCGTAATTTCTACTTTTTCACTTTTGAAAGAAAATTTTGGGTAATCAACCTCTAGAGTTTTAGTCATATTTTACTTTAAAGTTCTTGGTTTCTCCGGTCTTGGTTTCGACCGGATAATTGCGATCAATTTTCTCATTTTACATCATTTCAAGTCTTATGCGAATCTCTTCGTGACTTGAAATGCATTATATAATCTCATCAGAGTTCAACGAAAATGTTCAGCTTTCATCCTTTCACTTTTTTAGCGAAAACAATTATTCCGTATTTATCGATATTAATACAAATTGTTGATTTTAAACTCGGTAATGTGTAATTTCTTTTGTATATAGTTATTATTTATTATCGTTTTAATATTTTCAATAATCGATATCGTCATACTTAGAGCCTCCTTGCGTGCTAATGATAATAACCATGTTGATGTTACAAGCATCTGTTCGAGTGTTATTGAAATAGCAATTATTTAATATTATTTATAAGATAGTACAACAAAATAATAATTATTTTATTATTAATATTATTAATATCTACATATACAAACATATACATCAATTGCATCAACTTTTAACTTTGGTATCAATATATAAATGTATTTATATTACATATATATTATCATGTGTGTATATGTATTTTTATTTTACTCATAAATTAATAATAAATAATACGAATAAATACGAATAATCAATTCGAAAACAAATAAGAATATTCACTCATTATTTATTTTTATAAACACTTGTGAATATTAATCGATTCTCTTTTCTAGAAGAAGATACAGGGTTTCCTTCAATCTTATTAAACCGATACATCATTTCAAACGACTATATCTATTTTTTCTCTCTCTTCGTGTATTTTTAACATAAACATTTCTACGCGCGTGACTTCTCCAACCTTCGCGACACTAAGACAAACGTGGCGATACAATTCGTCGACCCATACACATGTATCTCGCGCGCGTCTTCCATTATTAGTCATTAACCACATAGCGCATCATTAATACACGGAAATTTGCATAATTAGCCATCAGGTTATTTAAACGTCACGCCGAGGACGTCGAGTAACGTCGTCGCCCTGTCGACGCTTTCACTAGCGTTCGTGCAGTTCTAACGAAGTCGGCGATTCCCTTTGGTCCGACCTTGCGCGTAGTTTTTACTAGTCGTTTCATCGTCGCCGTAGATTACACCCTTAGCCGCGCACAGTAATTGCTGATTTCACCCATGAACCGCGCAACTTGATCTAAAAAAAAAAGAAAAAAAAATACGTCCATCCGAGTCGCAGAGGCAAAGTCGTGGCGCGACTAATGCGATTCAGTGGATAGATTAAATTAGATGGGAAATACCGTTCACGCGAGTACTTTATAGTGTATCACTCGATACGCGGACGTGTCATTATCAATTTCCGCTCTACGTGTTCCTGCGGGAATTCTTCGCTCGCTGCATTCATGGATTAATCGACTTGTAACAAATTGCTTCCGTAAGTCCTGTTGCATAGGTTTTCGTTCCGCGAAACTTGCAAGTCCATGGATTATCGATGAATCGCGAGATTGATAAAAAATTGAATCATTGAAAGCTAAAAATATTCCCAAAATTTATTTATATTGTGATTTTATTTATCGAAATGATGCAAAATAAGTCTGAAGTTTCTTTAAACTGTGCCTAAAGGCAATCGGTCTGAAGGCCGTGGTGGAGCTGAAAGCTCTCGATGGGGATGGTTCGCCGATAAATGGACCCCGAGGAATCCTAACACTGGAACAATATCCCGAAGGAGTTAAGGTCACGGGCACAGTCTCGGGATTGAGCCCGGGCTTGCATGGATTCCACGTGCACGAGAAAGGGAATCTGACGAAGGGATGCAATTCGGCCGGGCCGCATTTCAATCCTTACATGGTAACAGCATCATATATTGCAATTTTAAATTATATGCTTCGCAATCAAAGTATAAACAAATTAAAATTATCAAATTATAATTATCATTAGAATTATCAAATTAACAAATTATAATTATCTTTTTAGCTATTTCTGAAAATATATTAACGACATACAAGTTTCATATTAGACAGCTTGTTTTAGAAAATTAGAAATTTACAAGAACAATGAAAAGTTGTTCAAATTACGCGAAATATTTCCAACATAGCGTCGAAAAATTCATTAATTTTCTTCCACAGTTGTTTTCGCAATAATACGCGGCAACAGAATGATATTTGCATTTGTAAAGGAAGGGTTGCTTGAAAGTGGCTGACCCACTTTCTTGAGATCTTGAAGAGAAATTCTTCTGAAAATGTCGAGGAAATAAAATTTGCACATTTTGATTCTCTCAAGTTCTTGGAAGAAGAGTATTATCTTCGTTCTAGTCGTTGCATCGAACTTTTCAAAATGCAAATATAACGCGATTAGCGCAAAATAGATAGCTTCGTGCCACGCGGATTGAGCCGCGATTTTCTCGTCGCGATAACGTATTATAACTCTCTCCATTCCATTACGGTAAACGAAGAGCGATTACGTTTCAGGTGAATCACGGAGCACCGAGCGATCCGTTGCGTCACGTCGGCGATCTCGGCAATATCGAGGTCGGGCAGGATGGAGTAGCGCATATCGATGGCATAGATCACTACTTGAGCCTAGTGGGTGTTCGTGGGGCGATTGGTAGGGCTGTGGTGATACACGAGAAACCCGACGATCTCGGTCGCGGCGGTACCGAGGAGAGTCTCAAGACTGGGTCGTCGGGTGCCCGGGTTGCCTGCGGTGTCATCGGATTTTTGTAAAGAGATTTTTTTAAACATCGAATTCGACTATTATATACTTTGTTCACTAAAGGCTGTTGTATTTAAATTCACGTAAAATGATACGCGTAGAAGGCAACATATTCGATAATAATATATTTGTATAATGAGCGAAATGATTTATTTCTTGTTGAAAACTAAGATTTTTTCTTTTTAAATTTTTCAAAATTTAACAAGAAGCTATATCCTCTCCATTGTTCTATAAATATTCAAACATTTTCATGAAACTTTTTCTTTTCATATTTCAAATCTTAAGAGAAAGTTTCTTTTAAAATGAATTATTAATGTTTTATTTCTCGATTCTTTTTCTTTTTTAACTAAATAATACAAGCTTGCAGGTCATACTACTGTGCATGTAAATTACATTCAATTGAATTAATTTAAAAAATATTGCCTATCGCTATTTCGTTCGCTATTAATTTAATTGTGTCCACCGATCAATAAATAAATATAACCAAATATGTATCAAACACATATTACATTCTTATTTAACTTTTTGTTCTCTCGTATTGTATAAATAATTTCAGAAAAAAAAATCAGTAAAAAAAAATTAATAAATTATTTTTTTTGTTTCATAAGAATGACCAGAAAAATGGCAAAAAATTGTAATCGCAAATGCTTAAATAATAACAATATATAATTATATTAAAATGATATTATCTTACAGTATATCTAAATGATATTATCTTACAGTATATCTAAAAAAATTTCTTGAATTCTCTTTATAAATTACATGGTTCGAATTTTTCACTTTATAATAAAACTTGATAAAAATGAAACCATTGCCAGGCGTACATGTAAGGTAAATCGAGAATTGAAAATAAAATTCAATTCGAAAATCGAACCGAGTTTTTTATCATAAAACGAAATTTTGTTATTTTATAGGTTTTATTACCAATACATTTTCCGATAAAATAAAAATTCGGCAATATGATAACCATGCAAAATACATTATTATATATTAAAAATCTAATCAATAATTTTTGACAAGAATTTTAAACTTGCAAATTTCTAGATCTTTTAAATATCATATGCGTAAGTTTATTTCTAAATGCATATTTTATTATACATAACTAGGATATAACTTAAACATTCCAATAAAGAAAAAGGAGAAAAGTAAGATTATAAAATGTTGAATATTTTACATAGACGAATCGTTTACTTCTATCGAGAATTCACAAATACGAGAGCCCAAAGTATTAATGAACTTTAGAGAATCCAGGTTCAAAAGATCCGAAGTCACTGAAGCTGCGCGACTCAAGGACTCATCTTCATCCTTCCTGGATGCAGCGACGATTTATTACAGGGATTCAGACGGGTTCCCGCGCATCTTCTTGATCGCCAACGGTTCCACTGGCTCGCCCATCTCCTCTAGGGCTCGCAGCATCTTGGTAACCACTTCCGGCGGCGAGGTTCTTCTCGTACCCGGGGCATCCGGTCGGTGTTGGAGATCGTTCTGCCACGGTTGCCACGGTAGCCCGAACATTTGCGGTTGGAAATGAACTGCGAAGACGTTGAACTCTTCGTTTGAATGCTCTATATTTCGCCGCAACTTTAAGCTATGCCAGGGGGTTGTAATATCGATCGATTCCGCCCCGGATTACGCCGCACGACCGAGAACAAGTAAAGTCGGTCAGCAGTGATTCGTATTGCTTCGAGAGATAATCGACCGCGGAATCTTATTTTGTATACATTACGATACGTTTTACAACGATATCATATGTTTTATGAATTATGATAAATATCTCAACAATGTCTCGACACAGTAATTTATTTCTCGATATTCTAGAATTACTGTAATTTTCTCATTTCTTTTTTCCTTTTTTTCCTCAATTTTTATAAAAATATAAAATTTTATCTTGCTGTTATATTATCTGCGATTATATACACACAAATATAATGAAATATTAGAATAATAAGAATAAATACACTATATAATCTATTTTAGTGTTATTTGATTTGATGTCTCGCTATATTGTTAAAGATATAGTTATTTTAATAGTATAATTCAACCTTGCACAGTTTTCACAATTCAATATTAATATTTTTTAAATATTTCTACATAAATATCTATCAAACTTTATAAAATTTTTTCAAATTATATAATTAAAATATTACAAATAATATTGTGTATATATATTCTTTTATAAATTATATAAAAAATTAATTAAATGATCACTTTGCATTATCGATTTGTTTTTATTACGCGGTATAGTAATCCAGTTTTTCGCTACTATCAAATTACAGTCTAGGAAAATGCATTTTTCGAAACCGCGGCGCAAAGACAATTATATTATGCTTATAACGCTGTATTACTAGGAACATCCTGGACGTCATAATTCGGTATATCTTCTAAGTCTTCAATATCGTAATTAATGCGACCACACCTAATGACAAACTGTATACAATTGATGATCAGCTTTTTTGATGATCTCCACATAATCATACGCGAACATTTTGTTAGATGAATCGTCACGAGATATGGGTTACATTGTTTGAGTTTTCGTGATTTCGCTTTATGTAAATATTGACAAAGAAGTGGTTAGGCACAAGTTTACGTTGAAGTTTGTCACGCGGATAACAAAAGCAAACTCATAATCATTAAGCAGTTTAATATACAATCGTTTTTAAATGTAATGTAATTAATGGAATATTGATTGTTTTTGTCAATATTTTTTATTCAGAAAGTCCTCATAATATTTAATTCGTACAGAAAGAGTCTTATTGATCTAGTTTAATCATATAATTAGTTTACATGATATATATACATATATATACATATATATATATGTATATGTATAATTTTTTTTTTGCTCCTCTTAAGATAAAAAATGTGTGTGTTAAATACTTGAAAAATATATTTATTATGTAATTTAATGTTACTATCGCCTGCCTCTCCCTCTACCACGGCCACCCCTGCCACCTCTACCACCTCTAGCGCCACGTCCTCTGCCACGTGCCGCACCTGCAAATGTAAGTAATATGATTAGTAGTTAAAAAAAAGAAATGAGAGGAAATTTTTATGATTGTAAAAACTTTCTAAACAAGTATTTTATATCAAATGATATATAAAATTACAATTAATTATTAATTAATGTTTTATATGCAATATATAGTATATATTTAATATACCTCTTGCAGCTTCTTTCTTCTTAGCCTTAGCTTTTGGTGTGTCGTCTATCAGCAATGTTTCTAAAGGAAGAGAATCCGGCAGAATGTAATACCTAATATTGTTCCCTCGTAAGCTTAGGGTTTCCAATTGTATCGGGTCACGATTCTTTATTGTCATTTTCACTGTTTTCAAATGTGTGTTCATTGCCACATCTACACCTATAATAGAGCAAAAATTTAATTTATGATTTATATATTCTAGTAAGAACAATAGTTATCCTTTATATATAAAGTTTCATGATTATATTTTGAACTATTATACATTAATCTTGTCCTAACTTAATACCCAGTTAAGTAAATTTCTTAAATTTATTAACGTACCTGTAATTGTACCGGTGACTTGGGTACCATTTTTTAGTTCTATTGTCACAGTCTCATGACTGAGTTTCATCAAAAATCTGAAAAAAAGCGTAAAAGTATTAATTCCTTAAATGTTTTCGCACGAGTGTTGATGGTTTAGGTTATGTTGTACAAAGAAATATCATCTTTCACAGATAAATCATTATGTGCTTGAATCACTTAATTGTATTATAATATCTCCTCTAATTTTTGCATCTTTCGATGTATCTTACTTACCTCACTAGCTTCATGATAAGACTAGTATAATAATATTACAAACAACTCGCTGTCAGCACCGGTAATGTTCATCGACAAGTTTGAATAGAGGAAGAAACTCGCGTCACTCGAGTAACGTTGAATGATGTATTTTCTCGTCATTGTAGATGGCGGTATAAACCACGTTTTCATTTCGAAAATAAGCTATCTACTTCACTCAGAAAAGAAAAGAATGAAAATGAATTATTTCTTATAAAAATAATCCATTATTCTTATATAATTTACATATAAATAATAATACTACAAAATATGAAATATAAATATATAAAATAATATATCATTAAGAGGAATATATCCCTTTTTTAAATTAAAATTGCAAATCCATCAAAGTTCCTCAATAGGAAATAATCAAATTTATAGAATATTGGGAAAGATGTTTCGTCGAATATATATTTAAATAACAAATAAAATTTCATATATGTACATAAAATTCCTCTCCTTTATTTCTTGCATAAGAGGCACAACTGGATACTGTAATAAAGTTCGCGAATTATGTACAAAATATAGAAAAGAACTTAGACGGATATGCAGTGATCGTGCGCCTTTGCGTTAATTAGCTTCAAGATGGTTGCCATTTTTCCTCCCGATCCCACATCGAACGTTCGCGGGAAACTTGTCCCCGGAGTTCTGTTATACATTAACTGCATACTTTGCTCCCACTTTACAGGAGATATAATTTGTTTCAGCAAGTATTTCTTAACTACTTTTAAATTCTCATAAGGATGTGCTTTGTAATTTGAATAAACTTGACACCTAGGAGTATCTAATTCTACTGTAGACAGCATCTTGCCAAAGGACTTGAGCGCAGGTTTCATCAATTTTGTGTGAAATGCTCCTGATACAGGCAGCCTGGTTAATTTTCTAAGCTTATATTTCTCTGCATTCTTTTCTATGTATTCAAGGGCGATAGTATTTCCAGCCAATATTTTTGATTGCGTATACAGATATATTGCCACCCTGTAAAATACAATATTAATATATCTGAATAATAATGTTTTATTTATTATTATTTATAAATTATTAGAAATTTTAATTGAATTATTATAAATTAAGATTTGTAATAATTCAAGTATCTATATCACATTCTTATAATATAATAAGAGTATAATTTACTGATACATAAAATAACTCTTACTGGCAAATTGGTTCTTCTACACCATTATCTAACGCCCACTTTTCAGCATCTTTGCATGCCTCTGATAATTTAGCTTCTGGTGTACAATAAACCGATAGCATTCCCTGAGGTGATTTCTCAGAAGCATACTGCATAGCGTTCCCTCGGACAGAGACCAATCTGATGCCATCCTCGAAGGTTAAAACGCCTGAGAAAATCAGAGCGGTCAATTCCCCTATGCTGTAACCTGCAGTTGCTACACAAGTCTCAAACACCCTGGGTCTCTCTTCGCGAAGCTGTTCCAATGCAGCCAAAGAAGTTACCACTGTGGCTGGTTGATTGTAGCGAGTTTCATTCAACTTCTTTTGGGGACCTTTTAAACACAACTTCAATATATCAAAGTCCAGAATCTCATTGGCTATTTCAAACAACTCCTTTGCCTGTGGGAAGCGCAGGTACTTCTGTACTGTGCCAACTTTGATGGTGCCCTGTCCTGGAAAAAGTACAACGCAAGTGTCCAAGGGTTCGATCTTTGGCTTTACTTTCTCCTCCTCGACGGAGGTTGGAGCATCAGCAGGATAAGGGCTGGTCGCCCAACTCGTGTCTTTGACATCGGCATAACTGGCAGCCTCTTTCAAAAGACGAGCAACATTTTCTTCACCAGTGGGGGTCTCGATATCGCTCGTGGAAAACTTATTCTGCGATTCGTCTGTATTGGACGGGCTGTCATCTCCTTTCGCAGAAACGGAATCGGAGAATCTGTTAACCCGGCTTAAGGATAACAAACTAGACAGGCCATGCATTGTTTTACCGACCAGAGCTCGCTGAAGCATCGTTACTGATGAAAACATGCTGGCATGTTAATTTCAAGATAAATATTTTCAACTACGTTTCATGTGTCACATGCAAATTATTAAATTGCATTGATATCTGTATAATATTGCGAGGTTAAAATTGCACTCACGCGTGCTATAAGAAGCCTGAGAGCGGCCATCATTAAATCCCCTGACAAGTCTACGACAACCCCATCTACTTTGAAAAATTGAAACTATTTAGCCACATGCTTTTCTACTACCGGTAAAATCATCGTTTGGTGCAGATCCGTACTACATTTATGAATCGTGTATCGTCTGCTTTAAGAGAAGCACATGTGCCAAACTACGATCGCTCGCTAAAGGACATGTCTACTTTAAGCAGCCACGCGGCTACGATGTCTATGCACTCGACGTATTCAGGTATATCTGCTTTAGACAAGTACATTACTACGCGATTGCACGTGCGTTCGATCAATTCGGACAGATCTGCTTTAAAAGCGCGATTTCTTTAAAGGTTCGACAGATCCTTTTTTTCACACTTATCTTTTTGATGCTGTTCGTTCTTTTTCATCTATTGTACGAAGATCATTTTTTTCAAATGGTATTGAAAAATTAATATCTTGAATGATTGTTCTTTCTAATTAAGATTACGCAAATTTATCTTGGAAAATAAAAATTTGAAAAAGAAAATAATAAATTTCATCTTACAGGTATAAAAGAGAAATAAACTTGATTATTTTTCAAATTTAATTTTAAAAATTTATTAATATTTATTAATCTTTTCAAATGATTAATCAATCAATTAAATCTAAATATGTTTATTAAGATTGATAATTAAATAAATAATCTCTGCATAACATTCAAAAATTGTTATTAGTAATAAATTTAATATTATGCAGAATTTAATATATAGCATCGACTGATACGCTGTATAATTGATAGCAAATTTTAATTGTTACAAGCCAATTATATGTAATTAAATATATGTATTTAATCCTGTTTATTACGCGTAAATAGTAAGTAAACCAGGGTACGATGTCAATGATATTGTTGCGAAATCATTTCATGCACACGAATCATTAAAGTTAGGCCACAGTAATTGATCTATAAATAGTAATAATTGGTTGCATATGTCAATCAAAAAAGTCCCTTGTATATTGCATGTATCAAAATTTTATATTACTTTACCGAATATTAAAGAGAATGAAAGCGAGAGTAAGAAATTATGAGAGATGTTAATCAAATTATGTATATGTAATTTATTTTGACATTTATTTTATTTTAACACTAATTTGCAATATTAATTTTTTTAAGATTTTAATATTAGATGTGTTTTTACTACAGAAAAAACTTTATAGACTGATAAAAGTTATTTCAAATCTAATGCATCAAGTGATAATCGCTATCAATACTCAAACATGGGAAACTGAAATTGATTTACTGAAAAAAAAAATTATAAATATTTCATTCTTTGATTTAACATCTACATCGGCTGTTTCAGCCAAAGGAATAACGTTAGTTTTTCAATGTCAACGCGTTCATGAAGTTACGCAAGGACGAAGCGCAGGTTAATCACGGGCTAATTGTCGACGCAAATGCGTGTAGACACGCGGAGGAAGAGGAGTCGCCAATAATTGTCGCGGATCATGTGCCAAATTACCCCCTCCCTGGCGAAATAGGGATACGTACTTTCGAAGATACGAAAGGGGGCGCAAAAGATTTCGAGGTGCTAAAATAAAAGCGAAACAACGCAAGATACATAAGAGCAGCGAGCTTGTGGCGCGCAGAAGGGTGGCTTTTTTGCAGTACGTGCGAGTGCATCGAAAAGCAGGTATCGCAAGTAGCCATCCGAAGAAAATCCTTAGCTGCATCGCGGAGAAAAATACAAAGTGAACCATAATCTTCATATATAATGAAAAGTTGTCTTTTATTATTATCTTTGCAAACTTTCTGTGCACTTTTAAATTGCTTTTTGATCTATACTACCTTATTTTTGACACATACATAATACACACATTCTTTGACTATTAAAAAAAATCTTTTGTATAAAAAAATTACATTTTGAATCTTTTCGAAATCATTTTCATAATTCCCTTATAAAATTTGTCTTTCCTCCCTTCTAAAGAATTATGATTTTGATTTACGTAGAAGATATTATAAAATGTCTCAATGCGCGCAACAATTTATATAAATATTCATATTTTTTTCACATAGTATTTATATTTTACAAATCACCATTATTTTGATTTATATATGACTTATAATTTATAAGAGAGAATTATAATTGAAAGAGAGTAACTTTTGTACGTATTGTTCGATTTGAACTCAATTCGGAGATCGGTATGACATTTAGTTTCGCCATAAATACCAATTGATACTTTAGCCAAACGGTTTGTTGTACCTTACGATGACCTGTTTCTTCACAGTATATATATATATGCAATCGGCTAAATATATCCTATTGAAAATTGAATTAATCGAATCGTTTAATCAGATGCTTCTACTCTCAAGTAGCAATAAAGAGGAAACAGAAAAAGCATCATAAATATTTAATAAATCTGATAAAATAATTAAAATTGAAAAAGTAACTAATATTATAAAAGACTCCTTAGAAAAAGGTTAAGAAATAAACTTTAATTATTTATTAAATCAATTGAGAATTGTAATAATTTCAAGATAATTGATTAATTTTGTTATTTAACACGTTTACTCGTTTATTTTCTTATTTGTTAATATTTGTAGAAGCTCAATATTGAAGTGAATTTGTGCGGAAATTATCATGTGGGATGATGAACCTGCGCCATGGGATATCGAAGAACCTCAACCCGCAGCCGAAGGTACAACGGAAGGTGCGCCGGCTGAAGGAGCCGCTCCTGAAACGCCAGTTCTAAAATTGGAAAAGCTCGAACCACCTCATTACAATCATCATTGGGTTCGACCATTATTCCTTAATTATGATTATCTTTATGATTATAGGTGAGTCGATTCAATAATTAATATTAAAATAAAGTTTAGTAAATTAAATCAGAAATTGAAGCACAGATTGAATTAAGTTAGAAACAATATCATTTTTTGTGAAGAAGATTCTTTTATTGTTTTTTTGTTGTTTGGTAAAATTGAGTAATTTAAAACTTTGCTTTAAAAAAAATAGGTTTTTTTATTTTAAATATAAGAAATATATATATATATATATATATATATATATATATATATATAATTCTTTTTTATCTCGCCATATATATCAAGGATTAAACTTATCAAATTTAAAAATTTAAAGATCGATTTATTTCTCAATACTCGATCTTCATAACGATCTGCTTTATTTGATAGGAAGAACTATTATGATGATGTAATCGACTATCTTAATCAAAGGCAGAAGGGTCTGTTTCGCGAACCACCTAGAGCCCAGGAATGGGCAGAAAGAGTCCTGAGAACTTACGATCAGAAAAATATAGATAGGAGCTTCAAACGAGCGACTGATATGAAGAACCTCACCAATATAAACCTTACATGCAGACATTATAGTTACCACACTCGCGCTTATTACAGTCTTAAATATCAGAAGATTTTGTGAGATCATTTTCTGCTCTATTAAAAATAAAAATATAATCGTGAAAAGACAAATTAAATTTTACATATTCATACACATATATTTATCAAGTGGAGCATCTATTTATCAATATTTTGTTTTAATATATATCTTCTAATTGAATCGAATACATACATTAATATAAATATAATACAATTGTTTTTGTGTGTTATATATCATATTTTTACTTTGCAATTTTTATTAGATGCTTTCTATAAAATAACAGACATTATTATAATTTAAATGTGATTAATATTGATAAAGTTGAGAATGCAATTATTATGTATCGTAGCAAAATGCAGGATTATAGTGATATATTGTACATTTGTACATTAATTTGATATATGTATCCTGAAATCATTAGAGATCAGTATTATAAAATATACGATACTGTAAACATTTCAAATGTCAAAAAGATTGCTTTTTTAGATCTCTATCGCCTTCAAATCTCTCTATGTGTTTTTCTTTTCAGCTGATAATCAATTTTATTTTTTCTAGGAGAAACTTTTAGGTAAAATCATAGGTTGTTTTATTTAAAATTAAGAGTAGAATCCCCAATTTTTTTCTTTAAATTTTTATATTTAGCATTTAACATTTATTAAATATACTTGTAATTATATTTATCTACCAAGGATTATAATGAAAAATAACAAGTTATTTTCACAGAATATCATATTGAGAATATGACAAATTTTTCATTGCAACAAAAAAAAAATATATATATATATATATATATATATATATATATATATATATATATTATCTTCTTTATCAAAAAATATCTTAAAGTTTTTTCCATGATCTATCTAATATACTTGTATTAATATATTTCGGGACATCTAATATGTTGGAAAAGATTCTTCAAACTTGTTTTAATATAAATTTTGATAAATTTTAGACATTCATTATAATATTTAATAAAGAATACGCTCGGTTCTTAAAACGAAACACTTTTCTTCCTCTTTATTAATTTCCGTTTCATCGGCTGCATCACGAGAGTTTCCAGCGGATCACGAATTTCGCTAGTATCAATCAGTGAATTGATCCTACGCTGTCTGCCTATTTGACCAGTTTCTGATTCCTCGACTGGCAATTTGGACCACTTCATTAGGAAAGTTTTGGGCTTCTTTGGCTTCTCCGATATCAGTTCCATGTTGGCGATTTTGCGCGTTCTATCAAGTTTCTGTGTCAGTGACAGCGCCTGTTCGTCGTTATTTTGATTGTCGAACTTGGTCGCGTGTCGTTGGAACACTACATCGGCTGCCTCCAGCGTGTTCTTGGCTTTTTCGATCTCGGCGTTTAGATCGATCACGTCAAAGATGCGATCCTACAAGAAAGTAAGTCCTCTAGATAAAAATAGTAAAAAAATATAGACAGTATTCTCATATATTGGTTGCTCTATAATTATAGATACAGTTATATGTTCTGAATTATAATAATAAATTAATCTTTTACGCGATGAATGTTTCGACTTTTTTAAAATTTAATTTTTAACTGCAAATTATTGATTTTTTGTTTAATTCAACCTGCATATCCCGTCTTTTGCGTCTCAATTCCGCCATATCTTCCTCGAATGCAGCAGCTGCGCGTTCCTTAAAACGTCGATGATTTATCACGAAATCGTCCTCGTAAAGATCTTCTTGAATGGGTCGACCATGTCCGTCGATTAGAAAGTCCAGCTCTTCGAAATCGTCACGATTTCCCGATAAATTACGGGAACCTAAAATGTTAGTAGACTCTTGTAAGATTATATTGTTAAGATATTAATATTAATTCTACTTTTTTGTGGCAACTCTTCAACTTAAAAATAATTTATTTATAATATTATAATAATTATCATATATATAATTTATGTGTAAAGTTACCAATTATATTATATATGTACACATATATACAGTATCACGATTTAATATTATATATTCTTCAAAAATATATGCAAAGTTTAGTAAAGTTAGAGAGAGATGGATTTATATTAATCTATTAATATATATAATTTTCAAGAATTATATTTATTAATTTTTTACTTGCTTCATAAAATAAATTCTTACCTGTAATTTTTACACAGCTAGAGAGAAGTCTGCATGCGGATAAAAGGAAAACAACAAGAATAAAGGAGACATGGAAACATTTGTAATACACACATGTATCACTCATTGTCAGTTATATCAATCAGCTTCTCGAAAAAGGTTTTCAAACGAGATTTATTCATAAATAAGAAAGATAAAGTATACATATATGTTGAATGCGGCAAAAGTTTTGTAGATTATGTCGCGCCTCTTTTGAAAAATGTGTTCTCAAAAATTTGTATTACAGAGTTTACTCTCTAATAACGAGAAATAATTCTCTAAAAATGGTAATATTTCGGAGCAATTATGACAGAATATGATTCTTGCGTATATAATAGTATATATGTGAAAATATTTGCAGAGTTTCTGAAATGTATGTATCAGAGTTTCTAAATGTATCTCTCTTTCTTTAGGAACAATCAACACTTAAGCTCTCTCAAAGGTCGAGGAGCAAAAAAGCGAGAAATTATCACGATGCGAGGAATATCACCAGAAAATATATATATATTAAATTTTGAGTAATATAATTAATGTAAAATCAACTAAATTCATTCGTTGAATTTTATATAATCATAATTTAATATAAAAATAATCTAAATAAAAATAAAATATTACATATAAATGTTTGTCAATTATAAAAAAAATAGTTTCCAGTGAATAAAAAAATAATTTAATTTATTATGATAATTCAAACTGCATATACATTTTCTACTTTAAAATATCATAAAATTATTTAGTCATGTAAAAATAGACAGATTAAATATATTTTCGAAAGATGTGCCTCGCATATTAATGTATTAATACAATTACAGAGTTTCGCAAAACGAACGTACGCATTATATCATAAAAATATAAGGTACACATATTGTCAAAATACTATTATGTTAATATAACTAATGTGTACGTTCTTTTTACAAATAAATTAACGACACATTGTAATTGCACGACCGCTAAGAACGCAAGCACACGATCGTTATTTAATGTTATATATATACTGGAAAAAAATTCTATAGTCATACATTCAAATACAATAATGTCTTAGCGTTATAGTCGTAATATTGTAATTGTGAGATTGCAACAGATAGTCAAAAATTTCAATTAAAAATATTATTGCATAAAATATATATGTTATATATATTTTATAATAATTAAAAAATTTTTTTGGCATATATATTCAATTATTTAAGGAATAATTTAACAAAAGATAAAAACATTTAATAAGAATCGAGAAAAGTTACTGTTAAAAGTTTCTGCTCCATTTTCCAAAAAAAAATCTTTCTAAACAATCTCTCCGCATGAAAATCATGACGGACTTTATATTAAAATTTCTCTTTCACGGCTCACAAAACGGAAGTCTTCAGGATATATCTATACGGCTGTAAAACACCGTCGTGAAAATTAAAATAGATCGCAAGATTCTTCTCATCTAGAAATTGACGTGCTTTTCCGCTCGTTCGGCACTGCGTACCGACACCTTCTTACTGAACTGACTTGAGGTTGACGATTGTTGAACGATATCGGTATCAGCGGCAGTTTCGTTGACTAACGCTTTGAGAGCTGCCGCTCTACGTTCCCTCTTGGCTTTCCTTTCGGCGAGCTCCTCCATCTCTGACTCGAGATCGTGGAGGCGAGCCTTCGTCTGTTTAGCTCGGCTGGCTGCTGCGCTAGCAGATATTAGATCGTCGTCCTCGTTGATCAGTTTAGTCCACCTGGAGAACATAGGTTTACTCTCGTCGGCGCGATCGATCTCGTCGAAAAGCTTTGAGCGCTTCTTAAAAGTGCTTTCAACATCCTCGATCGCCTGCTTGGCGCTCTTCCTGGCGGTTATCGCGTTCTCCAGGAGATCACTGGGGCTTTTTTTCGCCTGATTCGCGGCAGTAGAGGCCTCGAGCTCGTCCTCGATATTCAACGCAGCCACTCGAGCTCGAAAACGACGAGTCGTTGCCGTCACCTCGTCCGCAAACTCATCGCCCATCCTGCGACGCGCCGATATGCGCTGTCCACGGCTGTCATAGACGGTGTCCTCATCATCGAAGGCTAGCTGAGGGTCGGTCAAGGGCGATAGTTGGGAGGCGCGATTACGGGGGTCGAGGTCGAGGTCAGGGTCGCGGCCAAGGGAACCGGTGCGGGGACCGGAGAGGTCGCGCGTTCCTGCAAAAACCGATATCAGAAAAAAGCGTTGACTTGTGCGAGTAGAGACGAGCGATAATGAGCGATGATGAACGATGAGCGATGATGGACATATCGCCGAGAGGCGAAATATCAAATGATCGAAGTTGCGTCAACGATTTCAGATGGAAAATGATGAAAGTTGATGAGAGATAATGATGGGTAGAAAGGAAAAAGATGGAAAATCTCGCAATGTCGCGATTTAATCAAGTCAGTTATAATAAAAATTGTAATCTAAAAATATATTCATTATTATTAATAATTATGTTTGTATCACATCAAGATAAGTCATAATTTAAGTGTTAAGTGTGATAACACACATTTTAACTGTATTCTCTAGGATAATGAATTATAACCAGTGATGGTATCGAGGGAAGGTGCAGGTAAAAGAATATCTTATTTGAAATGTCTTTATTTAAAATTATTATGTTTCACATTATATGCGATATATAGATAAATATTGATATATAAATCGCTCAACTTAATTCAATTTTCTTCTTCTACAGAATTAAAGATTTTATTTCCAGCACTGGTTATATATATATATATATATTAGTTTAAAATTGTAATAAAAATATAACTTGACGTTAGATGTAACAGCAATGGAAGTGCATTAATTATAATAAAAATTTATAATGACAAAAAAGATTAATAAGTTATATATTTTAAATTATATAAAATATATAAAAAATATATATTATGATAAAGGAAATCTATGTTACCTACTATATGTGTGATAAAAATATTATGAATTAAAAAATAATTTACCTATTTAATTTTGCCAAAAAAAACTTATGTAAATATTATATAAAATTGAAATTACATTGTTACCTGTGAAATTATTATTCATAAGATTTTATAAGAAACTGGCATCGTTTTTGTACCGGTTCATTGCAATGCTTCTCTACTTACAATGATTCAGCCAAGTAAATTTTATACCGTGCGTTGCACATATTTTTAGTCGTTTGACAAAAATAAATTCGAATGCGCATCGCATTAACAATCTGGCACATCTACAAAATTCCATTAATATGCCTGACTATGCTAATAAACTAAGTTGTATCTAACGTCAAGCGTAACGCTTATCCTCCGCATCACACTATTTGCGATAATTAGAAACATAGCGTGTCTCAAATAAGTAAATAATTGTGACAGGTAACATTGCATTCGCGTCCTCTCGGCAGAAAAATTAGAGTTATAATTTAATTAGATTTTATAAAATTATTAAATACTTAGAGCTTTTATCATGCTAACTTTAGATATTACAATTTTTTAACCATGTAAGAGTTTCTTCTGATAGATCGTTTTCAATCTTTAAACAATTCTTAATAATATAAAAAAAAAATACAAATTAATCATGACCTAATTTTCGCTGAAAGATTAATTTTCTCTGATGACAACTGAGTGCTGGTTTTACTTTTTCTCTCTTTTTCTGCTGAAATATCCTATAAGATCGAAATCCACAAAATCTACTATTCCTTGCAACCGATAATTCATGCTGATTTTGTGCGATTACGTAAAGTGCGAAGACGTAAATTTATTCGTCGGTAATTGAACGATTACTGCCAATTTTATTGCAGACGTATTACTCAAGAGGACATGTGAAATATATCTCTATAAGTCGCCTCACTATAGCTGTGTCGATGTGAGTCATGAGTATATGTGGACTATATGCATGCGTGTAAATGTTCGAAAATCAATGGCGAAGATAAAGTTCCGCGATGTCGAAGTGTAAGTCCCGAATCGATTCTTGAGAAGCTGGCGCGTTGATTTACAGCCAGTTGATCTTGTGGACGATCGTCGCAGCAAGCGCAACATACATACAATAATCACACCACCCAAACTTATCGCGGAAAAACACGTGTACTTAGGAAACAAAACGTTTATTCAAACAAGATGATACATCAAGAAACTAACTATAGACGGCAGGCAAGACAATAAAGCCCGATGCACGCAAAAGGGTGACATCAAAATCTAATCAAAACGTTAGAATGTGAAGTCCTCGTTCGCTGATTACCAGGACAACAAGCTTTAGTCTTGATAATATTCAAAGAGAAATTGCGAAATGTCTCATTATTTACATATCTCTCGCTACAATACTTCATCATAATCTATTTTAATTTATTTATAATTTTTTTCTAATCTCTAATAAATTGATTATTATTGATTAATGCAAAAATAATGCTTGATTCACATATTTTGGATCTAGTATTTAATTTATTTTTAACGTATTGTGATATTGGATATATATAAATATATGTTATACAACACATTTTTTTTTTAAATTTTGGGAAAGTCCTATTAGGATTAAATGGCAATAAATATTTTGCTTTCTTCTTCTACACCTATCTCTAAATATTAGATAAAATAATATTTTTTACTATATATATTTTCTGTATCTCATCTCTTTTTATTAATATAGATCTCAGTTAACGGCGATAAATCCTGGGCAACGATTCTCCATTCACATCCTAATTTCGAATTTTGCATCACGATTCCTCTGATCAGAAAATTGATCGAGGATAATCGAGGCGAATGTCAAGGCGAGTAATCAGTTGACAATACCTCGCCGCAAAGTAAATCGATCATGCGAGTTGTGGAAATTGGAACGAGAGAGGACAGGAAGGGAAAGGGGGGGAATAAGAGTTTCTCTCTCAAATATTTGATTTGCATAGCGAATTTCTATTTAGCGCGAGCCTCATCGATAATCTCTCGAGGAGGATCTGGCAAGTCTTTTTTGCAACACTCCTTTAAAACCACTTCGGAAAACGACTGAACAGGTTACCGATGTCGCTACGGCGCGCCGCGATCTCGTCGGCTAGAGAGTTTCTCGGCTCCGGGAACAACGGCCGCGAGCTATACTTCCGGTCTAGGTGATCGACCATGGGCTTGTAATAGGACTCGCCCTTGTCGTAGTTGCTGCCGTAGATGAATGTGCGCGGCCTGCTAAGGATTGGCCTCGACATCTCGATTAGGCTGCCTTTCTGTTATCTGTAAATTAGACACACGTTTGTATTGTGATCTTCGATGTACATTATAAGAAGAGGGTAAAATTTAAAAAAAGATATGGAAATATGCCTTATTTTCAAAATAATTCGAATTTTAATTAATAGAATTTTTTAAAGATAAATCGTTTCTTATAGTAAATATGAGAAAGATTAAATGAAATAATTAAATATGATAATCGTCAACAAAAGAAAATAAAAAATTACATATACGTAAGAATAAAATGAGAAATTGTATTATTTTTAATTAATCAAATCATATTATTAGTTAGTTTAGAAATTCTATTCTAAAAATGAGAGTGCAGATTGCTTTTGTGAGAAAAATAATATCTATCTTTTGTTTTAATAAAATAATATATTCAATAGTCTATAAAAATATTATATAAATTATTATTTTCTTTATATACTTTATCATATTTTTATCAAGTATGCTTTTTATAAAATAATTTTTACATTTTTTATTAAACTGATTATTTATAAAATATTCGAATTAATTGTTATATACTAAATGAATATTATGTAGCCCGCAGATATTACATTTAGTCATATAAACTTTATATATGTAGTGATACATGTCTGTTAATTGAATATCTAGACATTGATATTTCGTGTCAGTGTTATTATTAATATAAAGTTCTAATTTAATTCTAACATATGAACAAATGTTTCAGTTATTCCATCCACGTGGAAATATATAACGAAATAAGACCACGTGACCACTCGAGAACCTCTCTTGCCTTTCGCCGTTCTCCACGTGGCTTCCAAGAGACGCGGGCTATACCGCGTGTAACAAAAGTTCGATGAATTTTCTCTTGATGGTTTAGCTCGTCATCGTCGGCAAACTGGAGCGAGCGACTGTACCGCCGATCAAAAATAGCCCGTGTCTAATTTGGTGCCCGTGAACTGAACTGGCACGGTGTACACGAGGCCCGGGCTAACACAGCCTCCCTGAATACGAGGCGTGAATCCCTGCGCGCCCACTCTCTCCTTCAGGGCCGACTTTTGTGTCTGTGTTCGCGGTAAAAGACATGGTTCAACGTGTGATTTTAATTATCGCATTTTCAGCCTCTAATTCTGAGGTTGGAGCTCAGAACGGCGAGATCCATCAGGTACTATTTACATTGTTTGTTCTCGATTAAATCAACTTTTACTTGAAATAGACAGACACAATAACATCGTTGTGTCGCAAATTTTCAACCTACGTTGAAGATTAATGTTCTTCGACCGCCTCCGCTCACATCTTTTGTTTCGAAATTATTTTTAAGTTGTGCAGCCATATTAGAGCAAGAGATATATTATTGCGAATGTAGGCTAATGAGAGCACTATAAGTCGGTCAATTTATTTTTGTTGACTATTAAATTATCGGAGCTATATTAAGCAAAGAATTTCTTAGATATAGTTCAGGTATAGTAAATAATTAATAGTAACACATTTTTCGTGTTCGAGTGTTTGCACTTAAGTAAAGAAAAAATTCCAAAAAGTCAATTACACTAAACAAAGAGATTTCATGGCAAGTTCTTAATTATAATTAATTAAAATTACTTTGCAGATTTAAAAATAAATCCAAACTTAATGGATAAAAAGAAATACACATATATATATTATTATTTTACTCTTTAAATATACGCGTATCCTTTTTTTAAATAATTAAAGATACAAAATAAAATTGAAATTATAAAAACTAGTCAATTTATAAATTCGCTTATTTTATTTATTTTTTTTTATTTAATTTGATCTAACAATAAGTGTAAAACTTATATGACTTTGCATTTCGAATGCTGACTTTTACTGAAATTAATTAGAATTAAATAGAATTCGTGAAAATTTTCAACGTTTTAGTTTTCAACGTTTTATCTTTATACCGCAGCACGATAATGATGAAACTTTTTTGACAAATCATAGCTTTTAGACACTGGCAAATTCATTTATCTATATTCCATATACAAAATATACGTATTTTTGCTGGCTCATGGATATCACGGATCATCGACACAAATATATCCAATAATAATGGTCGTTTGAAATAAACATTACGTCTCGCGTGTCGGAAATAAATTCACAGCTCGGAATAAACAGCGAAAATGATATCTGCACTGATACATCCTTCTTCGGTCGAATACGCTTTTCCGTCGAATTGCACGTGCCAAAATACGACAAACTATAACTGGCTTCTTTCAATTAGATTATTTGGTCGACTTAATTGGCTTGTATATGTCTGGCGTCCGTCCGCTAGGAAAGCAGCTATGATTTAGAACGTATCGGGTCATTACTCAATCATTCGTTCATGTCTTCTCCTTCCTCGGTATCTTACTATGCACGATGAGTAGTCATCGTATTTGTACGTTCCAAGTCGTACGATCATTCAGAAAAGTATGTAGCATTTAAAACCAACATGTCTATATGTTTAAGAGACAAAATTAAAGTTGTTTTAATTTAAGATTAAAAATAATAAATATAATAATAATAAAATTAAAGAAACTGATATTATAAAAAATATATAAAATATGCGCGATTAGTTTGTAAGTGACAATATATAGATACAGAAACAAAAAAAATCAATTAGATTGCATTTACAAATTGAAAGGCATAGTAAATTCTTGGATTTTATTAAAACTAATTTCAAATTTAGTTACAATATGAATATTTAAGTATATAACTCAATATAAAAAAAGTGTGCAAATCTGAAAATTTTTTATATTAAAATATAATAAAGATATCAAAATATTATATTTATTATATATATTTAAGTAATGTAATATATATAATTAATATTCTCTTTAATTTGTAAAAAATCACACTGAAGAATTGAATTTGTTTGAATAATTTTTTAAAGGCTCTTGGCATTTTTGAAGAATTAAGAATTACGATCACGCAAATAGTAGTAACGAAATTATGACGCTATTATTGACAACCGCAATGATACATGAAATATTTGGCCCGTTATTATAGTGAGAGTGAGCGATGAATTATCCCGGGATTCACCACAACTCACTTTATGCGATTTCGTGTAGAAAGCGTCGGCGGCAGTGAAATGGATCAACGACAAGCCGGACACGTAAATGCGCTTATGAGTTACTCGGATATAATGCCAACTGTTTTAGATTCTGACTCAGTAACCCCGCTAGATCTCCATATAAATTATTTAATCCCCGAATTTTCGCTTAGACCACTAGACTTAAATATATCGTCGCCAATTGCGCCGCCTTCTTGTTAATTCGTATCGGATGTCTGTACGCATCATATAGAAAAACGAAAGATTGCAAATATAATAAGAATTTAATAGTCAATAAATAATTTCTAATGAAAAAATATGTTATAAATCTAATATTAATTTTTAGCTGCGATAGAAAATATTGTAAACATGTAATATTTTCGTAATTTTAGATGTAACGAAATTTTATACGAAATTTTTACACGAATATTAAAATAAATCATTACACGTTTTATGAACATGTGTATTTGTGTAAGTAACGTTTTAATTAATAATCTGCGAACTATTAAGTAACAAATAATGGTATTAATTGATAAATAATTATTAATATAATATTATAAAAGATATGCTTATTATCGCATTAATTATTATTTTACACGAATATGAGTTATTAATTTCCCGAAATTTATATAAATTTTTTTATATGTTTTGCGAAGGATTGCAAGTACAAAATCGAATTTTTAGCTAATAGAAATGGCACTCATGGTGTTAGACCGCGTTAGTTCTCTCTCGTTGCGTAAGTCTGCCAAATTTAGCTGGTACAGACGGCACTTAAAAACGGTGATATCGATTACCAAATAATCTCCGCGCATATAATTGACTCTATAGTTTTTCTTAAATAAGCTACACTTTTAAACGCAATGTTATTTTTTATTTAACTGATGTTTAAATTTTATATTGTTAATGTTAATACTAGTAACACACATAACACTATCATATTTTTAATTCATTAATATCATTTAGATTAGGTTATTAAATTAATGATATTATGAATCTATATCATTTATACTAGAAAACACATGATTTTAATACTGTAAAAAAATACATTTTAATATTTAAAAAAGTAGAAAATGTTAATGAAATTTGCAAAATAGTAATTAAAAATTGCTTGATTAACTTAGATTCGTGAAAAAATTATATACATTTTGCTTGATTGATTGTTAAAAAAAAGAGCACATTTCTTATATATGAAATTAAATATATGTATATAATTGCAAAGTAGTTCAGCTTAATTGCGTGATTATAATCTGATAATTTTAATTATGATAAATGATATCTTTAAGCGCTCTATTAACGATGCCAGCTGATTAGGAACGCAAATGGCATACGATGAATGCTGTTAATTTCGTTGCACTATGCGAATGATCATTCCATTACATCATGATTGTGTAAGAGAGAGAACTTCGTTATATGTGCAAAATAGAATATATGTTCAATAAATTAAACCATTTGTAAAATTGTCTCGTACAAAAATTATTTTTCAGGAAAAATTATATTTTAATTTCAAAAATTTATACTAATTTTTAAGATAACTTATTTTTATAAGAATATGAAATAAAAATATGAAAAGAAAAAGGAAAAACTATCCGTAGAAAAATCATCTTAATATGTGTTTTATCGATGCAATACACTGTAATACGTGCAGATATTTGCGAAAAAGAGAAGATCCGTGTTCCCGCACTATTGGCAATTTGTACACATGATATATCCGCACGCGTGACGATTGATTGATAACGCGATCGATTTTTTTTCCTCGAATCAAAAATCGCGGCGCGAAAATCGGGACGCCCTTACCTAAAACGATTGTCACGAGGTGTTATCCCTCAGGATGCTGTTTCCTCGAAAGTAGCAGCGCGACTCCCACATCGTCGTTGCGTCGTTCGAATTATTTCCCACTCTCTCCGTGGCTCTCCCTACTTATCCCTATCCTTCTGGTAGTAATTCGGATTTGCGGTCGTATAGCTGAAGAGTTCCCCGGTAGGGATGCATAACGGGTGACCGATACTTACGTCGGCATGGTGACCACATGGCAAACAAATATGAATTGCACCCGAAGTAGTAGTCACAATCGTCATCTGACGTTGATTGCGATCTTTTTCTCGACATTCGCGAACGCTTTCAATGTGAATAATGAGGTACTCGAGTACTGGGAACCGAGTTCGTGTAAATATGATGAATACTTCGATACCGTTTCTTTATCCTGCTCGCGGTGCAACACCAGCAAGAATCTCGAACCAGCCGCGAATCGTGAGTTCATTAATTTTTTCGCGATTTTATTATATTATTTATTTTATTTCCATATGTGTTTTTCTCTGCTAGGTTTGCGATGTATGTGCGACAAGTTCAGTAAAACGGTCGGTTTCGAGAACGGCAACCCCCTTTGCGTCACCTGCGGTCCTAACATGACCGTGACCGCAGATGGAGGAGATTGCATCCTGCGTGCAAATGCAACGTGCAAGTGTTCTACAAACCAAATAAAATGTAATCTTAATAATTTCTCTTCGAAAATGCAGTTTCATAAAAATCTAAAATATAAATGTAAAAGATCTATGTAAGAAATATTCCTCGTGTGCAATCTTTTATCATTTTTGTAACAAAGATGTAACATATTCAAAAAAAGTTAAAATATTCAAATACTGAATACTATTCTTGTTTTTATAATTTTATACTAAATTACTTGTACGAAATAGTTAATTTTTTAATAACAAATATTTTAGATTTGCATAAAATGCATTTTCCCTTTAATCATTATTTTTAATTTATTTTGTATTTAATTACTTTATTTCTTTTTAATCACAAATTAATATTGATATAATTATAATTGTCTTTTGTTATTTTATTTTTTATTTATTTATGAATTAAATTTTGTACCTTTTTTCCTATTATTTGCAGTGGACAGAAATATTAATGGCATGCTGCTGGATAATGTATTTTGTGTAACATGCGTCCAAGATACGTATCCATCTCCCGATTGTTCCAAATGTCTGCCATGCGACAGTCGCGAGTATAATGGTCACGTTAATTGCGTATGTCCAAGCACAACGCACATAAGACTTCGAAATTATTGCCTGCATAAGGATGACATCGCTGACTGGCCAGATATCAGAAATACATACTTGATGAAATTTCGGAGTGAAAACGTAGACAGTTATTATTTGAGAAGCGAACTGCAAATAGCAGTGCATCTCTGCAAAGTACGTGATTAAAACACTCAAATTTCCTCCAAAATATTAAAATAATATATATAATGATTAAATTGTATATAATTCTACATAATTTATTAGAATATTGTATTTATAATAATAACACTCAATCTCTTAATAATTTTTTTTAGAAAAAAGATAGGGTAGCATGTGAACATTTGTCAAATATATGCGCCTTAACCCTTTACAGTGACGGTATAGCTTGCATGTTTTTTATGCACACACCTATGGCGCCTGTATGGTTGTTTTATAGTAAGCAGAATACTATAGCAATAATGAACGACACGAAAATATCCGAGAGATACAGTCTTAAAAAGGGAGATAATGTACAGTATAAAAATGTGCACATATCTTACGCTGTTTGTACATCTTGAATTTTAATATCTTGAACTTTTATTGTATATTTTTAGAGCAGCATCCTGGATTTCACAATTGCAAGATTTGCGTTGAACGGTGAATTCTTATCTATGAGCAGGCCGACTCTGCCGTGTCAATTTTTGAGAAACGTGAGATTTGGCGTAAATTTTAAGAAGAAATGCAAAACGACTGCTGCTGAATTATTAAACGCACAAATGGAATTACTGTCACCTTATTTGATATTTAGAGAGGACAATAAATCTTTTATACATGCATTGCCTGTGATTGTTAAATCGACGGATCAGGTAAAATTACGTGGATTACAATTTGATGATAATTATAATAATAATCAAAAATTTAAATACCTTTTTCGCAGAATATTAAAGAAATTTTACAGCAACAACTGGTGCGAAAGTTTTTTTTGGTCGATAATGTAAGCGGTTTCAAAGCATTATCAATATTTATGAACAATAACTTCACGAAAGCGTCAGAGCTCTCGGTGCTTCGATACATGAAATCTCTGACTATTTTGTAAGTGATTTTCATAGAAAGCGCTTCCTATAAATAATAAGAAAATAATACGAATTAATAAAATAAATATTTTCAGAGTAAATGTTCAAAATGGAAAAGACCATGGCAAAATTTATGCGCCCTTTTTAATCGTGGAATACGATGAATTAACATATCAAGATTTCCTCGACAACTCCGATGTTGTAATAGATTACAAAGTTACATATGTATTAAAGGATAATGATATAGACTATAATGTTGAGGTAAAAATCATAGCCATTGAAGAGAAACCTTCCATGCACTATTCATTATATATCTTTCTTTTTATATTTTTTTAGATAACTATCGGAGTTTTGACGGGAATAGCTTTGATATTTGCCAGCATCAGAGCGTGGAATTACTACAAGTGGAATTACAATGGCAATCTCAACATAGCAGTGTTATTGTGGTTCTTGATCTATGCTATGGGCGCGATTGGAAATATGATTACTTTCGTATGCATCAGCGTGTGTATATATCTATTCGTCTTTTATAAAGGCCAAACAGTACCGTACATTCTACTTCCCGATGAAGATAGTGAAAAAAGAATCCAAACATACATTATCATAGCGTTTAGTTTTAAGGTGAGTAACGCGATATTTTGAAATTATATGAAATTGATGAAGAAAATAAGATTCTATTATTTTATATATGCATAAAAACTTAATAATATATATATATAAAAAATTAATAAAAGAGCTTAATAATAATAATAATAATTATATATATATATATATATATATATATATATAATATTAATATTATAATTATTAATATTAATATTAATATAATTATAATATATAATAATAATAATAATATATATAATATTTTTTATAGTATTAATCTGTGTGATTTTCTTTCAAACTTAGATTATAGAAATGATAGGATTTGTTTATCAGCAATGGGGTTTAAGTATATTTTTCATCGACTGGGAGCAACCGAGAACGATACGTAACGAATCGAAGTACGATTCTCCGCATACCTCTCTACGAAAATTGTACTCCAATAGATTTCCGAGGGGCGAAGGCAAATCGTCGAGAATAACATCGGACATTATCGCGTCCAAGCGAAAGAGAAGATCGCACAAAACGAACAAGAACACAAGCCCGAATGATACGTTCAAGTCTTCTTCGATTGACAAATATACGCCGGATTTCTCTTCCGTCTATTCGCTCGCGAGATCTCCCTTACGAGAGACAACTGAGCATAATTATACGCATAATTTTCCGATCAGCGTTTGGAGAACATATTTCGTCGCGAACGAATGGTGCAAATTGCAAACCAGAAGAAAAATAAACGTGGCATTGCAATCAATTTATACTCTATGTATTTTAAAGGTCTCGAACATGACATAAAACATTTTCGCATAATTCATCTGTCGCATATAAGATCCGAGAAATGATAAGTTCATGTATTATTTTAGATATTCGACTTGGAATCGTGGATGCTGGCGGTACCAGAATCGACTGCTATAGATAAATCTTCCGAAGCGGACAATAATTTTACCTTACAATATGCGATTTGCACGTTTGTATACGCATTCGTATATTTCGCACAATGGTTAATCCGTGTTACATTTTACGAAAGATATATCAGAAATAGACTGCAAAAGTTTGTAGATTTATGTTCGGTCGCAAACATTAGCGTGTTCGTCTTAGCGCACAATTATTATGGTTTTTACATCCATGGAAGGTAATTTAAAAATGTTTTGCAAAATGAAACATCATTTGATGAAAGATGTAATTGATATTTGTTACTTGTTTAATAGATCAGTACATGGATTCGCGGACACTGATCTTCCTACTCTGATAAACGACCTGAAAAAGGAGGAAGATAACTTGTGCGCACATAGAGGTCTGGTACCTGGCACAACCGATCAGACTTTTATAGTATCGTTGACCCATTCATTTAAATCTTTGTACGATCAACTCATGAGACAAAAGGATAATGTATGCTTCAGATTGTTACATAATCTGTATTATTATGGAAAAAAGCATAACAGAATTAAAGATACAATTTTTATGTTGTAATATTTTTAGAACAAGAATCCATTTAGTTTCCACTTTCCTCTTTATATATATATCCGTAAATAATTATTTTACATTCAATATATATTAAAATTTTTTTCAGGGAAGCATAGGAACTTTAAAAGGAAGTAATTCACCTTCAAAAAGTTGGAAACAATTATCAGAAACGAGGTCAAAAGTGAGATTATTTCTAATGCAATTTCTGGATCATTATTCGGAAAATGAAGATTATATAATCAAAGAACAGTATATATTAGAGAAACTATGTGACATTCTTTTTGTGAATGCCAAAGATAAATCCGTCTTCTATATTGGTAATATAATATATCAATTTCTGATAATAAAAAAAATTAATAAAATGATTTTTATTTTAAACAATTTTATTACAGATAACAATTATTCCTTCAATAAAATGATACTTTATGGAAACGAATGGCTACTAGCAACATTCGAGATCACCGTATTTGCCTTCTTTTTGGCAATGTATAATTCTTACATTTTTGCCTGCATAACGACTGTTCTCGTATCACAACTATTCCTGATAGCTATCAGATGTAATGTTAAGAGAAATCTGTGCAACAAGTCGTTACTGGATAAAAGATTCCTAATGTAACCATAACAATAATATAAACAATATTGTTTATTTAAACAAATATCAACTATTATTTTTGATCACTATACAATTTATTTTCATAGCTCTGACAATCTCTCCTTTACAGTGAGATATTTCTACTATTCCAAATCATACAATATTATATAAACTATATTATTAATGATATTAATGATGACCTTCATCATGATGTCCATGACCATAATCAATACCAAAATATTGTTCAATACCTAAGGTTATCAAAAATGCTGGTACACCAAGTTTCCAACCTCTAGTTAAACATACTATGTTACGCATAAAAACTGATTGAGTACTTTGGTAGCGCCATACATAATTTCTCAGCCAAGGATCCTTCAGTCCCCTCTTGGCCAATTCTTTTTGAACATTTTTCAATTCTGACACATCCTCTATCTTATAAATATTAGGATCGGGTATTTTGTACGGTTCGGACTTATGACCTCCCATCTGTAGAACATACATATACATCACACATATATTACATTGTAACTATTATAATATATTACTATTTATTAATTTCTTCCTGTCATTGTTGATCAACAATGATCTTGTTAAACATCATTGATATCACATTGTACATCAATGAAAAATTTAAACGGTGATATAATATTCATATGTGTTACTACTTCAATCATATATTTTATTCTTGATATGTTTGTTACATGGAGGTTAATTTTTGTAACTATTGATTTTGCAAACTAGAGATCAACAGTGAAAAGAACTTATCCTAATATTACATTATGAAAAATTACTTATTATCTATGTACATAAACACCTGATTAATATTTATTCAATTAAAATTACATAATTACCTTTTGAAACAACTGTCTTTAAATTCCACCAACAATAATAGACTTTTACCGTGATTGATAAAATTAATTTAGAAGGTCAAGTACTTTTTTTTAGAGAAACTTGCTCTTTTCATTCTGATTGGCCAATAGATTAGCCAATATGCTTCGGGATTTGGATAGATTTAAAAATATACACCAATCACACACATAGTCGTTCATTAATAGTGCTATTGCATAGACATATAAAATACATAGACGGACAACCTACATAATATATAGTCTACGCCTGTAAAGGCATATTTATATTATTTTTCATATAATATAATCAATATATTAATTCCGTGTCAGTAGCCTCGATTTTTTAAAAAAGATTAAAAGCATCGATACGGGAACATATTGATTATGCTTTGATTTTGATACTCTTAACAGAGACAGAGAGAAAACTGAGAGATGTCATGGCCCGCTTTCACGGATCTATTAATCTGTGATTGGACACTCGCCCAGCGCTTAAAACATTATTCCAAAGCGAAATATGTCATCTATATATCTTTCTACTTCATCCGTGCATAAAGACTACTCTTCCTATTTCTCCAAGAAGATTTTATGGCGCCGGAATGGAAATTTTGAGTTGAAGTGAGCTCTGAGAGATCGTTGGTTTTATGAAAGTAACGAGTTGCAAGTAACGACGATAACAAACAGCAATCATGTTGGTGCTATTTGAGACCCCGGCGGGATACGCGATCTTCAAGGTATATCAAATAGATATTTGATGAAAAGCGTAAAGCTTCTAACCTAAATAATCCACGTGGTAATCATGTTTCATTTATCAGGCAAATTCAATAATGCGCATGAAAGGCTATCGTATGAAAATTTACGCAATAACATAGATAACTAAAATAGCGAGATAATTTATTTTATATGAATCATTATTTGTGATATTGAATAACAATAACTTGTAGTATTAATCTTATTTTTTTAATCACATGTGCTATGTTTAATTTGTATGCATTTGTACAGCTAAACGACTTTGCTATTACTTTTCAATCCTGGATATTCATTAGGTATTTTTCAACAAAAGAATTGATACAATGTAACACAGTGAACTCACTTCATCCTTATTGAGTGCAGGATAAACAAGGATGAAATGATCCACTGTGTCCTTTGTGTCCCCTGTTGAAAAACACCCACCATCATGAATCTCTAACATTGAGAAGTAATTTGTTACTTGTTACAAATTTTAAAAAAATTCCAATTTAATTGAAAATTGAACAAATCAGTACTCATTAAATACAAATACAAAGAATCTTTATGATTTTGTTTTCTCTAAATTTGTAAATGTATGAATTTATTTGAAAAAAACAAAGCAAGATCAAGATGTACGCATTAAATACAAATACAAAGAATCTTTATGATTTTGTTTTCCCTAAATTTGTAAATGTATGAATTTATTTGAAAAAAATAAAGCAAGATCAAGATATTTCTTTTCATATATTTACTTTCGTATTTTTTCTTGGCAATAAGAATAATATAATAAAATATTTAATTCAAGTTGTAATATATTAACATATGGCTTGTACTAACGTCCTTTAATTTGATTATATATGTATCAGATGATAAAATTATAATCATAAAGTTTTCAATGCACTATTTTTTCTTGTTTGTAGTTGCTGGATGAAAATAAACTCACTAAGTCGGAAAATCTTTACAAGGACTTTGAAACTCCTGAAGATGCCAGTAAAATGTAATTTTTATAATTTTTTTTTACAAAATAATTATCTTGTTGTCCAGCAAACATGATAATGTCTAAAGACATCTTAATGGTATTATGCGGTATCTACAATGAGATTTTAAGGAGACTTAAGTCTTACGCCTTAAGTCTCTTTAAAATCTCATTGACGACGCTTTATACGTCATTAAAACGTTATTAAGACCTTTTGATGACGTTTTATGACCTTTTATGACCTTTTAATGATCTTTTAATGACGTATATAATAATAACGTCATTAAGGCTGGTATTCATAGTCCAGTCTTACATTTAAGATCATCTTAAGCTCTCATTCCACCAATCAATGACTGTATTGTAGCTATTTGATTGGTTGAATGAGTTCTTAAGATGATCTTAAATGTAAGACCGGACTATGAATACCAACCTAAGACGATTTTAGACGTTATCATGTTTGCTGGGTGGTTGTATCACAATGTATTAATCAGCAACTTTAATTTTTTACATTTTACAGAGTTAAATTAGAACACTTTCATAAATTTGAAGACATTACTGAAGCATTAGCTGCTACAACAGCACTTGTGGAAAATAAAGTACCCAAGTCTTTAAAGAAAGCACTAAGACAAAGTCCCATTGACCATCAAAAGTTGGCGGTTGCTGATTTAAGACTGGGCCATGCTATTAAGGATAAACTAGATGTGTCCTGCGTCAGTAATAACGCAATACAGGAATTGATGAGATGTATCAGGAATCAAATGGATAGTTTGATCACTGATGTGACCAAGAAAGAAATGTCGGCCATGGCATTGGGTTTAGCACATAGTCTTTCCCGATACAAATTGAAGTTTTCGCCTGACAAGATTGACACTATGGTAATACAAGCGGTATGTTTGCTGGACGATATAGACAAGGAGCTTAACAATTACATAATGCGAGCGCGTGAATGGTACGGCTGGCATTTTCCTGAGCTGGGCAGAATTGTGACTGACAACATTCTGTATATAAAAACGATGCAGATAATCGGCCAACGAGAGAACGCTGTCTCATGCGATCTATCGGATATTTTGCCGGAAGATATTGAAAAGCGAGTGAAAGATGCTGCGGAGACCTCGATGGGCTCAGAGATTTCGGAATATGATGCCGAACATATGCTATACTTGTGCACGGAAATACTCGAGCTTCACCTGTATCGAGCGAATTTAAACAGCTATTTGAATGCTAGGATGATGGCACTGGCACCGAATCTGTCTATCCTCGTCGGTGAATTAGTCGGCGCGCGTCTAATATCGAAGGCCGGCTCTTTGACAAATCTCGCAAAACATCCGGCATCCACTTTACAAATCCTTGGCGCAGAGAAAGCGCTATTCCGTGCACTCAAGTCGAAGAAGAATACTCCCAAATACGGTTTGATTTATCACTCTCAACTCGTCGGACAATCGTCAAATAAAAATAAAGGCAAAATATCTAGGATGCTGGCGGCGAAAGCTTCTCTAGCAACCAGATTTGATGCATTCCTAACATTAGACTCTAATGAACAAAATGACCATTATCAAGATCTTGGTACACAACATAGAGCAAAACTAGAGGCACGACTACAGCTACTCGAGAGCGGTAATATACGTCGAATCAGCGGCACTGCCAAAGCGCAGGCAAAGTTCGAGAAGTATCACAGCAAGAATGAATATATGCAGTACTCAGCATCTATCGATTCAACTTTACCGAATAAAAGGCCATTAATTGAGGAGATTGATAACAACGAGAGTGAAGAAGTGCCTAAAAAAAAGAAGAAAAAGAAACATAGTTTAGAACCCATAACAGAAGAAGCAGAAGAAGTTTCTGATGTGCAAAAAGAAGAAGTCAAAGATGAACAAATAAAGACGGAGATGGATGCTACATCAAAAAAAAAGAAAAAACGTAGCACAGAATTTGAACCGGAACAAGATTTGGATATTTCACCAAAGAAAAAAAAGAAACGTAGTACAGATAAAAAAATCAAAACAGAAGATACTGGTGAATCATCTCATATACAAGAGTTTGTAGATAATAAAAAAATCAAAACAGAAGATACTGGTGAATCATCTCATATGCAAGAGTTTATAAAAGAAGAAGAAGACTTGGATATCTCACCGAAAAAAAAAAAGAAACGTAGTACAGATCACAAACAAATCAAAACAGAAGATACAGGTGAATCTTCTGGTATGCAAGAAGCGCAAACTGAAACGGATTTGAATGTATCAAAGAAAAAGAAGAAGAAAAAGATGCAGGAATCAGTTGAAACAATAGAGACAGCAACGGTACAAACTGAAGAAACTATAGAAACAAACGTTTCAGTCAAAGATGAAACTTCTGAAACTAATGAAGGTACAAAAATTTAATAGAACAAGTATTGAATGATTGAACTCTAGTTGTAAATAATATTTTTCTGTTAAATGCATAGATAATATCTTTCTTTTAATTTTGTTAAATGATTTAAATACAATTTTACTAAAAAAAATTATACAAAGAATATAAAAAAATACTTAAAATTTTCCAACACTAATGGATAATAATAATAATTGATTTTTTTCAGTACATTTTTAAGACTCTTAAAATACATTTTTACATTTATAATAAAATTATTCTAACAAGACTTTTACTATCGCAACTTATGATAAATTATCTCTCATTCATATGAATTGTATATAAAAATATTAACTTAAGTAAAAATGTATGATTTAATATAAATTTTTATTTACAGGGCAAAAGAAGAAAAAAAGGAAGAAAGATAAAAAGAAGAAATTAGAACAAGATGAATAAGATATTTGTTTAAATAAAAATTAGATTTTAAATTATATAATGGATTTGATCTATATCAATATTCTCTTCTGTCATGCACACTTCTCCTCCATATATATTAAAGAATCATGTAAAATATATATAATTTTTTTCATAAATATAATTTTTCTTCAAAAATTCAACATCAATAGCAATTTCTTTAAATAAGCGATCAAATATAAAAGTGTTTTATTATGACCATAAAATTAAATAAGCTCCAGCAATTTCGAATTTAGCTAATTTTGTTTACTGTATTTATATTTAATTATGTAATCATATATTTTTAACATATATATATATATATACTGTTTATTTTTTATTAAAAATTAAAATTGAAGACTAGAGTGTTTTTATAACAGAATCACTTTATTTACCTCACAATATTCAAATATATATTTGTGAAAGTCTACTAAATATTTATTCTAACATTTATTTATGACTTGCAGGCAGTTATACAATAGTTACGCAATAGCTTTGAAAGTATAATTACGTTTTGTATATATATTAATATATACTTTGTTTTGCCATTTTATATTTTTCTGGAAAGATAAACTATAATTAGATTGTACAATATGATTATTATATATACGATAGATTCCGCGTGTAATTATGTCATGAAGAAGGATATTACAATTAATAACAGATTTACAAAAACTAATCAACTAAATATCTTGCATTACAATATATGCTTATTTGGAAGAATGAAATATTTTTATCATGATTAGCACGATTGTATTTCGGTACAATTCGCAAAAATAAGAGTGAGAAAATGATAAAATGTTTTTTTACGAGAACACAATGATTAAAATCTGAAATTGATATTACATGATAATAGATATTAGTGCACATAATTTGCAATATATATTCCAGACTATTTTTTATATATATTTTTTCTATACATTTTCTATAAATATTTGGATTTTTTATTTATTAGATCTTGATGCATGACTACATACAATACATCATAGATTTAATAAATTTCTATGTCTATGGATATCAATATATACTAGAGTCATTTCTATATCTGGTTAATCAATATATACTAGTCACACATTTTGCACAAAAAGTAAATATATCTTTTTGAAACATGAGATTTTTCTTTATCAAACAATTTTCACATTTGTTAAGAACACAGAACCGCAAACAGTATCATTTCTATCAGATACATGAAACCATAACAAGAAATATACAATAAGCATTGATTGATGATAAATAAGATATTGATACTTGAAAATATATATAAATAAAAAGGTTTGATTTGTTTTTATATTTCAACATATATTGATTTTAGAAAAAAAATAATTTTATTTTTTTTGAGAATGATGTCATGTTGCGCGCGTTGTAATAGGAAATAATCTCTCTCTCTTCTCTCTCTATAAATAATTAATTAAAGAAAATATATCAATAAATTTATATCGAGTCCGAAAAAGATTTGACTAGTGGACTTTTATTTACATTATATCGCGCACGTTAATCTCTCATTTTTCATATTTTTTGTCTTTTAATATATATTATAAATTTTGTGAAATATTATGCTCCTCAATTTATACACATATTCAGGTACATTTTAGATATAATAACAACTTACAGTGTTCCTCCTACATATAATCCATTTTCGTACATGATACTATATCTAATAGAATTGATATCGTTTGCGGTCTCATATTTTATCTCATTTTCATTAATTATATAAGTAAAATAATTCATTATTTCAATTAATACATACTAGAGTCATTTTTTAATTACGCATCCGAATAGAAAACTACACATTTCTATTTCTATCCAGACAGCACAAGAAGGTCAAAAGACATTTCAAAAGAAGAATGATAAGATATCTTTAAATCATTTTTTAGATGTTTTTTTTAGAGATATGTGTGTTGTCTGGATAATACATAAGAAATTTGGGTACATCTCTTTTATCGCATTACAGGATGTATCTAAATTTATACTAGAGTGTCTTAGACTTGATTAGATTTAATGACGAATCTGAAGTCGATTTTCATTAAAAAAAAGTTTCTTAATAGTGATTGACTGTCTTGTTATGTAAAAAAAAATCAAAATTTGAGTCTCTCTTTCTCTCTAAGCAAAATAATATAATAATTAAAGTTAATAATAAAAAGCAAAATATAAAAAAACGATTTCATTATATTAAATCTCAAGAGAGCTCAATTAATATTTTTACAACTTTAGAATATTAATAATCCGGTCAACAAAGAAATCGACATCAGATTTGCCATTATTAAAATAATGCTTTTCAAGACGCTCAGTGTGCACAAATATATTCACAATTCTAGCGATAGTATAAAAATAAGTGTATATAAAGTGCATAAAAAATATGAAGCGTCTCGCAACGATAGCCTCCGGAATGGATAAATTTTTTTTTCCTTTGTAAAGGTATATACCATTTATATATTCTCTACCGGAGGATAACGACGAGTATTGCACACAAGTACACAATGCATATTGCAAGCTATACGAAGGATCTGCAAACTTATACGTTGAAAATATCGTATAATTCTTATTTTTATGTAGTTCTCTCTTTAAATAGTCTCTGTTCAATACTAATGTTGTTATATATATAATTATTTAAAGAAAACATTATATCAATAAATTTATATCGAATCCCAAAAAAATTTAATTAAGGAAGAGTGGACTTTTATTTGCATTATATTAATGTCGCGCACGTTAATCTCTCCCCTAAAGATATGATAAAAGAGATGCATCCAAATTTTTTACAATAAACAACAAATAGAAATGTGTGCGGTTTCTTTATATTCGGACACGTAATTATAAATTGAAATTATTTATTTACTTGAATGAGACTTGTTTTACTCTAATGAGACGATTTCAGATTTCTATTAGTTTTCTATCAGATATAATATCATATACGAAAATAGATTATATATAGGAGAAATAATGTAAGTTGTAAATTGTTATTATATCTAAAATATACTTGAATATATAAGGAGCATTTCGTAAAATTTATAAGATATATTAAAATAAGAAAAAAAAAAGATATTAACCTGTGCAATATAAGCAAATAAAAGCCACTCAAGTTTTTTTTAACTCGATATAAATTTATCGATATAATATTTTCTTTAAATATATATAAACATTAGTATTAAAGAGAGAATACTTAAAGAGAGAACTATATAAAAGTAAGGATTATGCTGTATTTCCCACATATAAGTTTGCAGATTCTTTGTAAATATTCGAGACATATATATATATATATATATATATATATATATATATATATACATATATATATATGCACATATATATAAATCCTTTTATAGGGAATACTACATATTTATTAATGTGTGTCTATATATGTACAAAATACATAATAAAAGACGACGCCGATCCGCGATACTTTGTTACGATAATTATCGTTTGACGATAATTATATTATATATAATATCGTCATATATTGTATATCGTCATATAATATATTATATATCGTCAAACCATAATTTATCGGATACTCGTGAATAGATTTAGAACGGACTTGTTCTCTTTCTGGCTACGTGCTTTGCTAAAGACGTTCCAGAATCGTAAAGTCTCATCGCCCGCACCGGTGACGATCGCCTCACCGTCTGGTGACATCGCCAGATATAACACCCGGTACGAGTGGCCAGTGAGTTTAGCCACTTGCGTGAGACTCGGATACTTCCACACGAGGATCTGATTCTGCGAGTAACCATGCGTGCTGACCAGTTCGGAGCTGTGCTTGCTCCATGCCAAGTTGCAGACCTGCGAGCCAGTGTCGACGCACTGCATCGGCTGGCCGGTTAACGTGTTCCAGAAGCGGATGCAGCGATCTGCGGTGCCGCCACCGGATGCCAATAGACCATGATGATGAGGCGACCAGGCGATCGCTTTGACTGCCGCCAAATGTTCAGTGTACGTCTGAATAGGTGACAGGGAGTGTAGATTCCACACATAGAGCCGATTGTCGTTGCCACCAGACGCCAGATATTGATTGTCAGGTGACCATTTGAGACCACACACCTCCTGTCGATGAGCACCGAGTCGTCGTTCGCCAACAACGCATGGAGTCCTGACATCCCTCTGCAGTATCAGTCGATCCCTGCTGCCGGATGATAGAACCTCTCCATTCCACGCCAGAGCTCCAACTCGAGCGCTATGACCTTGTAATTTGCTCACCTGCTTATTCACCGCTACATCCCACACTTGTATGTAGCCCATATGTGTGCCTACTGCGACCAAATTGCCTCGCTCGTTCCAGGCGACGGAAGTGACACTGTTGCCATCGCTGGACAAGTCACACAGTCTCGTCACCTGACTGGTGCACGCTGACCATAGATATACACAGCTTCCTAAGCCTACGCTGAGAACATTTTGAGAGGACCAATCGACCAGATTCAGATAGAAGTCGTCTTGTAACTCTGGAGCATCCAGCACCTTGAAAGGTATTCTTGAAATCTTCCTGGTCGCTTTCCTGGGTGACCTCAGTAGTTTCTGACTTTTGGCACTGAGAGGCGACAGAGAGTAAGGCGAGCTCTGATCCAGTAGTGTCCGATCCTTGGTGGGTGTGGTATACTTGAAGAGATTCTTGGTCACCAACGGCGACAGCACTCTACGCTCTTCGCACTGGCCTTTGACGTCTTCTATACTCGCTCCTAGTAGTTCGTTCTTGAGTAGGCAGGAGTACGCGATTCCATCGCGATTACCTTCACCGTTCTCCCGTGTCTTCTTTGCCACCAGACCACCTCGGCCGTTCTCGCTGATCATAGAAAACGTAGTCTGCCAATTATTACCCGAGCGAGTGGGTATGAAACGGTCGTAGCTGTTGTTGCAGGCCGACGTTTTCGTGGGTGAAAAGTACATGGGCGAATAGGTAGCACTAGGTAACAGTATCGTTCCCGTCGTCGTCGATGAGCCATCGCCGACCATTGCCGGCTTCACCAGCCGTTTCTCGTACTCGTGATGGAACATGACACGACAAAAGATGTCCCCGTACACTTTATCGCTTGGAGAAGCGTCTCGACACCGCACTCACATAATTAACGCAAAGTCACACCTCGTTGTTCTCGTTCCACCGTGATCAACGAGCGAGAGACTTGGAGAAGTTGCCTTAGACTTCTCGATCGACTCCCGGGGAAGTCGCTCCTCAAGATCGGCTCATCCTAATCTGGAGCACGTTTCGTTTCGGAGCAATCAGAAGTTGAAGCTTCTGTTGGCCACCGTCCGTCATGTCGCCATTCGACGTCGAGTTCGACTCGTTCAACTTCTCGAGAGGCTCGAGTCGAGAATCGACGCTCGCTCAGTCTGTTCGGATGGCGTTCGGGAGGCGAGCTTTTAACGTTACGAGCGTCCTTGTTTAATTTTCAGTAAGCAACAAGGATAGAGTGACGCTTTTAGAGCGACTTCCCGAACGCAGTCTGTATCCACCAATCAAAATACTCGGCGAGATTTAACGAAGCTACATTCGACTGTAAATAAGGAGATCGAATTTTACAAGATAAAATTTTTAAAAATTTTTACTTTTCCATCATCCCTTTATAAAAGATAAAGATTCAAAATAGAAAATTGATTATACATATCGCGAATATAATTTTCTGTCATTTTTCTTCAAGAAAGTCTAACTTGATTATTTTAATTAAAATCCACGTTTCATTAAACTTTAAGATGCTAAAGGTTAACTTGTTTTTCTTAAAGGTAAGACTATAAAGAATATAAAAAATAATTAAAAATGTTAACATTAAATAATATTTATACAATATTTCAGACAATTAAAAATATATTTTATAATGGACTCTTAATTCATTAGCTTATTGACATTATATTAGCTTCTTATATATTTTTTCCACAATTTTTCTTTTCTCTTTTTTACATCTAAATTTATATATTTGTTTTATTTTAGATACACTAAACCATTTAAAATTAGATATAATCGAAATGACAAGATCTACAAAAAGATGACATTACATTAATAATAAAAATTATTCCATTAAAAGGTAAAGAGCAATTTTAAAATTTCCTTCATTAACAATCATAATTATAAAATAAATGTTAATCTTTTTTAATCGATTTTTAATCTTGTCCAAAGCAATTTATCGTATGCAGTTGCGCATGCACAATGTAGCCATCGATGAATTAAAAGGAAGAAAAAATTCGCAAAAATCGATCGCAGAATGCCATTTTTGAATGTGCAACGAGTGCATTGCAAAACACATTATAATGAAAGTAGAGAAAAAACTACCAATGAGATTTCGATCGCGAGCGTTCGCTATCTTCCGACGTCGTTCGTTGCAGATTAGTCATCTAGATAGTAAACAAAAGGAGAGAGGAAGCTTACTCGATGTGCTGTCAAGAATCGTCACAGCACGACGCAAGTCGGATAGTTTTGTTTACTGTAAAATACAATCAACGATGACGCCAGAAAAGGATGAGGCCTGTGATTTGAGTGATGTTATCTTGCAGGAAAATTCGGATGTCGAAACGCAGGTATATGCGGTTTATTAATGAATCATCGAGGTCCGTTTTAACCTCGCATTTCTCTTTTCAAGCTTTGTATAACTAATATGATAGATAGAAAAAAATTTAGGCAGTTAACTGACCTTTTGTGGAAATGGTTTTAGATATTGTAAATCTTTAGTATAATTTGACTAAATATATATATATATATATATATATATATATATATATATATATATCAGATAATATATCAGGTTTGTGTAGGGACACTAACAAGATATTTGTACGGTTATCTTTATTTTAATATCTGTTGAATGTTGAAAATTTTCATGTTTTCTCTGTAAAACGAAAGGGATTAAGGAATTTCATAATTGATCATTTTTTATACATATAACAGTTATATAAAGTATAACTAGATTTTAATTTTAATAAATATTAATATATAGTGCACACATAAATTAAGCAAGAAACCAAAAAGAGTGCTGCAGTTTTCGGATGGTATAATGGAGGAATATTCGTCGGAAGATGAAGTAGACATGCCCAAAAATTGTAAAACTGTGACACAGATAGATACTGTAATTATATATATATATATATATATATATATATATATATATAAATTTTACTTTATGTAAAATTGGTTATAACAAAAATATAAAATGATATATGATATCTATATTTTTTTGTAGAAAAATATGGATTGGTTACCATGGGCATGGCATCAAACCACATGGATTAGTTCAAAAATGTTAGATGGTTGTGATTATGTTGGCGAATGTTTAGCCAACTTTTTTGGCATAACAGCACCCAAATATCAGTTTGAGATAAATGAATTTTATAGATTACAAGCACTTGAAAGAGAAACATTTAATAAACAGGACTTAGAGATGAATGGATGGAACGAAAAAAAGAGAGATAATCTCATAAATGACAGTATTACATTCTCAAATGAACATAATTAATAGTGTTTTGTATAGATTTCAAAATAAATAAATTTATCAATAAATTTATTTTGTTAAACAAGATTTTAAATAAAGTAAAATAAGATGTCTCATAAATTCCTTGCTTAGAAAAATTTAAAATATTATATTCTTGATTATTATAAAGAAAAAAAAGATGAAAAAATATGAAATTTGTTATTCTGTATTTTATTAAAGATTCATTAACAAATGGAGATAACACGAATAAATTTACTATTTTTCTATACAATATTAAAGCAATTTTTAAATAATATAAAATAACACATGAAAAAATTAAAAATTATTATATGTACAATACATGAAAGATAAGGGCGATTTAAACTCAAATTGACTTTGATTAAGTACTGTTAATATATAACTATGTATGAATGGGCATTTTTCAACAAGCGACACAGAGGATACAGTATAACACAATGAATCATTTCATCCTTGTTTACATTTGACAATCAACAAGGTGAAGTGATACACTGTGTGTCTTTTGTATTGCTTGCTGAAAAACACTATATATGTATGTATGTGTATACATATATATATATATATTACTTCATGATAGAAAAAATGTGTTATTGTTTATTATAAATAATTAACTCTTATGAATTAATATTATTTATTAAATGGATTATATATATTTCTTATAAGATATATGTATGATATTAAATGTGTTATAAAAAATATATTACCTCATTGTAAAATAATTTCAAACTTTGCATTTGCACATATATCCATATGGAAATAAATGATATAGCCATCATACAAAATATATAATCATTTGCCATTTTAATTATACCAATCATGATTCTCACAAAATTGTTAAAATTAATTAATGTATATTTATTAAAATAAACATTTTTCTTTTAATTTGACATAAATAAAATTGCTTTCTCAATAAGTTATTATTTCCTTTATGCATAATAAATGTAACAAATTAGATATCAACAAATGATCACGTAATGAATGAATAATAGTAATCAGTATGATAATATATAAAGGTCCAAGTATATATTGCTCTCAAAGGGTGCTACTTAGCCACTCAGTGAGCGGTTGTACTTCTGAATGCACCCAATGTTCTTCAATTTATCTTGAAGTCCTATATTTCATTTATCATATATATTTGCACATTGCAGTCTTTTATTAATTACTATTTGAAATAACAAAAATCGCTGTAAAAATAAACATTTATGTTCTATAAAATGCTCGATGTAAGTAAAAAATATATTCATTAAAAAAAAAAATAAAATAAAATAAAATTACGTCTCTGGCACAAATCTATGCAGTGCATTAGTTAAAACTAACAAAGAGCTTTGAAGACCCTGCGGCAAGTGCCTTTGCAACCAAGAACCTTTGTATTGCTCTATATGTGCCAACATCTTGTTTGCTATATCAGTTCTGAAAGTAGGCGGCAGGTTAGATACTCCTAGATTGATGACTGCAAGCCCCATGTTACTATTCGGATTTACGCCGACTCCAATCAACGTTCTGCCAATTTTGCAGGCCGTTAGCATCAGATCGGACGTCAGTTGCAATTCCTGTATCTCCATTGACGCAAACTTGGAGGACAAGTTCGCTTCGTACAAGGAATGGGATATTCGTTTAATTTGCTTTGTCATTTTCTACAAACAGTAATTTGTTTAGAACTATGTTTTTGTGTTATTCACTTTAAAAAAAATTAAGATTTACATTTAAACGAGCATACTTACAGCAAATAGATCAGCTGAAAGATACTCTAGAGTCACATTATCTGGATCGGTTAATAATCTATACAATGTAGAACCACGATTATCTGGTATTTGTTGAAGATCTTTAATTGCTTGATTTTTGCTTAATGTTAATACCAATGTGTCCAAACGGCCTAACTCCAGTATCGCGCTACCAATTTTAAACTCCGAATCTTGAAACACGTGTATGTCTAATAATTTCGTGATACATTTTTCTCTACAAAGTGACATAATTAATTTACTAAACACAGTAAATGATAATATATTTGATAATGACAATTATAAATTTTACGATGATTATTACCTAATTGATGCAGATAATTCAGGCATGTCATAATTGTCATCAGGACCCAAGTCTATTTCTGTCATTGGGTTCCAAGCTAAACCAGCTGCCACTAAATATCCGATCCATGCGAAAGGATGCGGCGTAAGATGATGACTACCCGACCAGTGTGCGACAACAACACCGATTGAGTTTTGTTCTAAAGAAGTCTTTATCGCATTCCTTGTGTTAGCATATGTTGATGCCGGACATCCTGCCAAACTATTGTAACTAGCTGTGCCAGAACTTGGTAAAACATTACCGCCTGCGATTCTGAACGCTTCTGTCCATTCAGAGAAATCATAATCAGCCTACAACATAAATATTTAATAAATGTCGCATGTTTTCTATTAATTTATCAATGAAAATCGCGAAAAGAAATGTAATATTACCTGAAATCCATATTCAACAAGTATAATATTAGTGGGAATATTGTGGAATTCAGGTTTAGAATGTAAGCCATTGGAGCATAATAGCAGAGTTGTGTTCGCGCTTAAATTGAGGATATGCCACAGTTCTTGAAGGCACGAATAGGACTTGAATACTTCTGACATGTCTGTTTCGATCGTATCGTTAACAGATACATTCAAATCAAAATTGTCAGCTTGTACCAATAAACTCGCCAATCGCGGACCGACATGAACGTAACTCAAACTGGGAAATACCGCAAGTAATTCTTGAAATATAGGCCACATTTGCGTCAAATGATGCTGGCCGACATTTGAATCGACGTCCAATGTGGGTACTATATCTAAATGCCGATCTCTGAGAAAATTAATGTATTTTCAGTAATTTTAATTATATATAACAAAAAATTTTAATTTTTATATAATCATCGAGTGGAATTATTAGGAGTTAAAAATAAATATTTAGGAAAATACACAATAAACAATAAATGAAATATATATAGAATATATATATAATTATAAAAAAGAATTACTAAAGTGATAAAATAGTATAGTGATAAAATTAAAAAGAAAAATAATAATTCCAGTGATTAAATTTTTTTAAAAATATTAGAAAGTATTTAAGAATAATTTTACGACTTTTCTATTAAATATATAATCGCACCTGCAATATCTATCCAAAGTTACCATTTCAGATTTAGAGTAGCAGAGCTGCCAATCACAATTCGGTATAAGTCTGGAGTAGAGGTGCAAATGTGATACTTTAAACGACGACAATAAATCAATAATGTGTAGAAGGTATTCCAAAGTCGGTATACGTCCTCTGGGCGAGATGTCCAACAGTATACCGCGATGTGTAAATCTCGGTTCGTCTTTTATAAAGACGGGTTCGATTTCGCACAACTCCGATCTATTCCGATTCTTACTTAGACGTAGAATCTGTACAAACGTACAGACTGCATAATGCAATCCTGCTAAACTTCCGGCGCTCACTTTAATGAAGTTTTGCGTAATATGCAACTGATAGCCGTTTGTAATATTAAATAGGTTGTTATTCACAATGCATTCTATTGTATTGTCGTTGAGCAGTTTACCGCAACTAGGTTGCACTTCTCCAATCTTTACATCGTGACCCAATTCGAGTAAATGAGTTCTACTGATTTCCCACACGTCTAATATTTTATGTACAGACTCACTGCCCTATAATAAATAAATTATATACATAATAAAAAATTAAATAAATAAAATAAAATTGCAAAAAAATTAACAATATTTAGAAGATTATTATAATTTCAAAAAAAAAAAAAAAAAAAGAAAAAGATAGTCTTTCCTTACTTGTATTATAGATATAAAAAGCTCCTTTCCGGCAATAAATGGAGCAGTAAAGTTTTTCAGTTCAATCACAGCTTTTGGCTGTGGCCATAACAAATTATATATGCTTCCTTTATCAGTGTTAGACTTGCTAGGACTCTCTGTGCCCGTGTCCCGCGAAGGCACATCGTACACCGGATCCGAGGATTTGTTAGATTCGACTGACAATTGGTTCATATTGTTCGTGAGACTCTTTTGACCAAAGTTTGTCTCCGTGAATGATGATGTGGGACTGTGCATAGTTTCGTTCTCGTTCAATAAAAAATTTGATAGAAATCTTTGAAAGAAACAATGAAGAGATTGTTTCTTTCTCGAAAGATCGTACGGTGTTTTCCCCGCAAACGTTCTGAAAAAAATTAATTTTGCACATACATATACGAAAAAGATATATTTGTATGAGTAATCTTTGTATACCCTTTACTAGCTCGTATGTGAGGATTTGCACCAGCTTGTAAAAGTTCTTGACAGATAGCGACATCACCACGATTCACTGCATCATGTAACGGCGTCGCGCCGCAACCATTTTCGGCATTTACATCAGCTCCTTTATCTATAAAAAGATTCTAATATAATGAAAATATTGAGTCAGCCATTGTATCTAATTATCTGTATATTACCAAGCAAACATGCGATAATTTCTTTGTTTCCGTAACATGCTGCCCAATGCAATGGTGTATTTTTACTACCCTGTGAGTCCCATGAATTAACATCTAATCCAGCATCTAACAATTGTATCACTCTATCTATCCTACAAAAAAAGTATATAGCCATGATATGATACAATTATATTTTTCATTTAAAAAAAAGAAAAAACTATTTTGTGATAAATATCTACATACTCAGAAGCAGCTGTTGCTCTCAACAGTTCCTCTATATAAATACGTCGTATTGCATCACTCGAGGCAACATCTACTGCATTGTGCCCGTTTACATTCTGTACAGCCGGATCAGCACCGCAATTTAAGAGAGTCCGCACAATGTCTGCTTGATTGGTCTAAGTGTTAAAAAACACAATTTAATTAAAAAATCTAAAACCAAAAATGAAGAAAGGAAAATCATAGAGATATATTACAACCTTTGAAGCATATGATAGGAAAGTTCCTTCTTCCAAAACCGGTTGGTTTAATATTTTATCTCTTGTAATACCTTCTGCCGTATTACCATTCTCACCTGTGACAGAAAGGACGATGATGTAAACAACAAAATAGATAATGGAAAAATCGATGATCCAAGTATCAATAAATGTTGTGCGATCACGCAACAGATGTTAATGTGAAACAATAATAAAAATATTCGCATAAACAATCGTCGTATCGACACGTCTGCAATACATACACGCTTCCAAGAGTGATCTGATAATGTCAGTACGTCCGTGTTCGATCGCCGTGCGAATATTTTCACAAATTCCTTGCATCTCTGCTCGAGTTCAGCCTGCAGTTCGCGAGGGTCAGGGCGGCGCGTCGCCTGGCATTATCGAAATATTATTCCGCTGTCAGCTGTCAAAAATCGCGTCAATTATATCCTCGCACAGCATAGCGGTCCGATGCGATATCGGATAATGTGTACGTGTAATAACATGACAACCGCCGTCAGTCTTGCCACATATCTTATTTCCAAGTGCGTTATCAACGAAAATAAACAAGATTAGACAGATTATTTGACGTTATAGATCCTATATTATTTCGAAAGCATTTTTGTATTTCTATATATTATGCCTTATATTGTCAAATATAACAAAAAATTTGAATATGTGATAAAAAACTCGAATAAGAAGTCTGAATCTGATTTCTTCTCCTCGTTTATTTACGCCATGTCATCCAATCTTTTATAAGAAATTCCCTAGCTAGAGGAGAAAAGACAGGAAATCCAACATTACGAAGTTTCCTAGGAAAAATTTGAAGTGTCAAGGCGCATCCACACCTTGGCAGAAAAGCAGAAAGCTAATCCAAACTAATTAGAACCAATCAGAACTCGCGCTGGTAATAAGCAGTGTGTAAGCAATAAATAGATAGGCAAAAACTATCTATCACTAGAAATTGTAATCTGATCTGATTGGCTTCTGCTTTTGTTTTCTGTCAAGGTGAATGCGCCCTCAAGTGGTGCATCAGGACAATATGCTTGTCAAAGTGAGATAGCCGCTCTCAGGTTTCTCTTCGCTGTCACTTGATCGCACATGATTTGCTACTAATATTTACGTGTTAATTTATATCATAAAACGCGTGACAAAACGTGAAACAAGAAAAAAATTCAACGGAAGATCATCATGCAATTTAGCTAAAAAGTTGTTAAATAAAATATAAAAGAAACCATATATACGACATAAATATATTAATATTAAATATTAATATTATATATTAACGAGTATAATCACATATTGTGAATTAGAATTCATTTAATTATGATGACCATGGAACTATTATTTGGAATACAAATAAATTCTCAGATGGTTATGCCGATCACATTGAGCGGCATAAATCTGAAAACAAAAGTGGAGGAATTAAAACGAGAAGCCGCGGGAAGATGGAACCTATCCAAGGATTCATTGGGTAAAGTGATTTTGCACTATTTGAAGACTGGTCTTTGTTAAGATATTTGTAATCTTTGTTATCTAATGTTGACTTTAACAATAAGTTCTTTTGATCTATTATATTCAAAATGTATTTTAAAATTATTTTATATATAATATAATTTATACAGTTAAAAAAAAATAATAGTCTTGTTTTCTATATCTTTTTTCTGATAAAATCTCAATTTTTAATAATTCAAAGATTAAAATCTTTGGTGTAAATGTTTGATCAATGTAAACCTAATTAGACAATAGTAATACTTATTTTAACAATAGTAATACTTTTTTTTCAGAATTTATTTATTGTGGACTTATACTTGAGGATGATGCAACAGTAGAATCTATTGGATTGAAAAATGGATCGATGATACATGCGCTGAAAAAAAAGGAACCAGAATCACCAGCACCAAATAGATATATATCAGAAGATTCCATCTTACAGTTGGCGTCAGCATTCAAGTCATTCAATGAAATGCCTGCATTTAGAAGCGCTCTGCATGTAAGTAATATTTAAATAATTTTTCTATTTATTTTTGCTTTACAAATCATACTATTAATGTCAAATATTAACGACTACGATTAATTATCGACAAACTATACAGAAAATATATATTTTTATATATTTCAGCGTTTAAGTAAAAGACCAGAGGTGATAGACAATATTATATCTTCCTCTCCTGGATTGCACGAGGACTCTGTTGCCATCGCTATGCTACAGGATCCAGATTTAATGGCACATTTCACAGATGTTGATACTGTCAAGAGGTAATTAGATATTGATATAATATGATCTTAATTTGCAACTACACACACACACACACACACACATATATTTGGCAATTTTAAATTTTCATCAGAAAAATATATATTATTTAATGCTTTATTGGTATAAAATTTGTGTAATGGATTTACATTTTTTTTTATATATTTAGAATTGCAGAATTACATCCAGTGTTGATTGAGGCGGCGCAAAATATTGCAGCGGCAGTTCATGAGGAAGCGCAAAACGCTGCTTCCAGCGGCTCCTCCAGCAATTCAGTGGCCAGTTCGCAACCTACGACTGCACGTTCTTATAGCGTGGATAACATGAGTCTGGAAGAGGAGATGGCGCGTGACATCGCACACTTTTTTGCCACACATCCTGTAAACGACAACAACTTGCGTTTCCCTAATATACCGGCCCCAGCAAATTCGCAGACGTTACAACGACCGGAAAATCCGCCATCCTCTACATCTAGTAGTGGTAATCAATCCGGAACTGGCAATCAGAATATCGGCGTGATTACATCTCAAATGTTTATGGAAGCGATGAGACAAGCCGCGATCGCGACTAATCCAAATCCGCAGCAGGCAACTGCATCTCCAGTAGCTTCCTTGCCACCGATGTTACCGCCATTTTCACCACCGGTCACTGATTTGCAGCGGCAGTTGGCGCAGATGCACGAGATGGGTCTCCAAGATGACACGGTAAACATTCAGGCACTGCAATTCACCAACGGTGACGTGCAGGCAGCGATCGAACTCGTATTTAGCGGTTTCAATGATAATTAATGAGCAACAACAACAATAGAACCAGAAATGTAAGTGATTACACTTTGAATAGAGTGTCTTAAAATTCTTAGATATCTCATTTTAGATATCCGTAACACTCCATGTTATTCATCTGGTATGAATCGATTAAACTATATTATATATAGTTGTAACTATATATTATATATTTGTATATAAGATATCAAGACACATGTACAAATGTGAAAATTATTGCTTGAGGAGAGCTTTATTTTTATGTAATTCTTTATATGAGATTGTTATATCATTCACTATCTTTGCTGATATTGCAAAGACTATGAAACTTTTCCATCTTTCAAAAACTTTTTCATCTTTAAAGATTAGCTTAATTTTTTAGATCTAAATATAATGTACAGTCAGCATTTTTTACAAAAAAATATATGATGAGAATATATGGAGAAAGATTAATATTATTTATTAAATAAATCAATTGTAAACTGTTAATTATGTATCAATTATATCTTTGATAATTTTATATCCTTTTTTATGTAAACAAAATATTGACTTCCATTCATTCACTTATTTATTATTGGTTTTACAAATTTATCTTTCTCCTCTACTATATATACTAATATATACTAATGCCATTATGATCTAAATGATCTATGTCATGTATACTACAATTATCTCCAAATTCTAATAATTACTGATACTTTATCTCTTTCTTTTTCTCATTTTTTTTTAACGCGTCTATGTATAGACAACTAGTTTTATGTAATATAACAAAGACACGTGTGACTTGGTGGAAGTTTAACTTAATGATTTGAATAAAAATCGATGACACATACATATAAATTTTAATAAAAATCTTTAACATTGATGTCACGATAATTAAAATGTTAATCGCTATAATTTTCTCAGAATGGTTGAACATAATTCTTGTTTTTATATGTTTATATAAAAATTTTTATTTAATAGAAAAATGTGCAATAGATATTGTAATAGAAATCTTTATTCAGCACATGTGAGCCATGTGGAATGACGTTTTAGTATGTGAATGTGCCAGAAATGCTCGGAATGAATGCGTCATGCGTGTTAGCAGTGACGTATGAATTTGTGCAAAATCAAATAAATTGTGAAAATTTACAGAATTGCGCAGATATGATATATGCAAGAACTGTTAATGTGTCATCGTTTAAGTGTTCTTAAAGTCTTAAGTGTCTTATAAGTGGTATTAGATTAAGATTTATCTGATTGTTTACGCGAGATTTAAGAATGGTTAAATCGAAGAAAATACGTATAGAGCTGATTATTAAGAATTATTAACAATAATTATCTATAAATAATAATATTGTTAATAATCCCATTACTTTTATAGGTTTTATATAGATTGATTATGCAAAAAAATGAACTTAATAATTTTTATCAGTAATTGAAGGAAATTTTAAATATAAAAATTTTTTTTATTTGTTAGAAAAATTATATGATTATCCATATTTTTATCCATATTTAAAAATCATGCAGAACTGTTCTTTCTCTAGCATGATATTCATAATTAAAAATTATGTAGAACTTTCCTTCTCTAGCAAAAAATATATAATATTTATTTCAAAAAATGCAAAATATTCTCGAATGCATTTAGCATAAATAATCGATAATTATAAAAGAAAAATCTAAGTGTTGGAATTTCCTTCTCTTTTTCTAATTCTGGTTTTTTCTCTATTTTTATCGTATATATAATAATTCTATCTATACTCTTACTTATATATGATTTCTTTTCTTTCTTATATAAACTTTAATAAAATCTAACATTGATGTCGTGGGAAAATAAAATTTACAAAATGTTCATTCATAATTAGTTTCGGCTTCTAAAAGGCTCGTACAGCAAGCATTCTTATAACTTGTCAATTATAAAAATCTCTATTTAGCATTTGTTATTATATCTACAGATTACATAAATAGCAAAGGTTGTTTTCGTATTAAAAAAAAGGAAAAGGATGAAGCTTTTCGCTCGGTTTCGATTGCAGAGGGTGCGACATACACGTGACACAATACTGCGTTGCGTTAGTGCGTATGCCGGTTCCCTGGTCCACGCGCGCTCACGCTTCGAAGCCGAGTGTATGCGAGACGCGTAAGGGGACTTGTGCAACGGTCTGTCAGTAGGAATCGGGATTTCGTGTGACTTGGACGTGTTGTTCCGGGGCGTGCTTCGATCTCGCAGTCATAGTTCGCGACGAGTAGCACGTGTTCGCTACGTCTGACATATATTTATATGTATATTTATACATATAAATATTTATACATTTATACATATAGACTGCTAACACATGTCTATCGCTGACGAAGAGGTATCGTAAAAAAGGATCTGTCAATTAGCATTTCTCGTTATTTCGACGCGACGATGACTCTTTCGAAAAGCTTCTTGCCAGAGTAAAATACGTGCGACAGCGAGACAGACTTATCCTTGCTGCGAGAGGTTATGGGAAAATTAAGACTTTAGTATCATTTGGATATCCTGCGCGCTTACAGGACGCGAGTTCAACGGACGAAAAGGTGAACGGTTAAAAACGTGAGTTTTTTCCATATTCAAAAATCGAATGTTTGACCTCCGATTCTTATTTCGTAAACATGCAGTCGAGTACCGGAATATTTTCTCCCGATTCTCCGTTCTTTCGCTTCGCGAATTCGCAAATGACGAAGAGGAAAGAAACGACCAGTTTCTGACAGCGGCTTCGAGAATGCGGCTTCGCCGGCGCGTTGTCTGCGGCCAAACGAGCCGGTCGCGTGCGAGTGCAGGGTCGGTTTCAAAACATCTATCGGAGGTCTTTCACATGCGATAAATTTCTGTAGCTGTCACTTTATATTTTTAACCAATTTTCCATTTTTCCCTTAAATCCTAATACAATTTACTCCACGATTAGAATTATCAGAATTCGTTCCTAAAAATAAAAAAAAATCGTCTACCTTTCATCTCTTTCGAAATTAGTAAAATAATGACGCTAGTAAATGACAGAATTCGCGTGTAAAAATTATCTTAGCAAGAGAAAGTATCTTGTATCGAATTTGAAATGATTGAAAAAAGTGTGTTTCTCGGACATATATATTTTTGATTATTGCCCGCGTATTGTTTGATGAAAAAAAAGATCGGCGATGAATTTAAGCCTTGCACCGGCCCTGCATGGAAATGTTCGCATTCGCAATAAAGGCCGCGACACTGTTCGCGATCGGTCGGCGTTGCTAAGCGCAGTTTTTAAAGGTGCATTCGTCTCTCATCTGCATCCTTTATTATTTATTATTTCACTCATACACGCGATTTCGCAGAGTGATTCTTCGTTTTTCGATTTTTATTTGACATTATATTAAGAAAAATATCAATTTTTCCCCTTTCTCTCGATGAGGAGAGCCTTTACACATTTTATCTTATTATCATTAATTTTTATTTAGAATAAATTAAATATAAAGGTAGAAAAAATAAGATAAAATGAAATAAAATATTTGATATACTCGACATGCTAATCTGCTCTTTTCAAGTTCAATTTCGAGAAACGATATTCTCTTTGATTCTCTCTTTTTCTCATAGATTATTTTAATGTTATAGAGAAGAGATTTACCTATGTCTGTTCTGCGAAACTATATGTCCTAAATTTCTCTCGGCGCTTGGCGAAACAAAATAAAAATTAAAGAAAAAAATATTATATGTATAAAGAATAAAATCATTTCTCGAATACAAGCTTTGAATTGAAATCGAAGGGGCTAAATTTGAAAAGCAAAAGGTTTTAAAGTCGCTTCACGAATCTAAATATACAACCTTCTTTTATAAGACGACATTTTAGAGCCGAGCGAAAGGTCGTAAAATTGCGATGTAGAATAGGATACCGATTTTTTATTGTAGAGGTAACATTCGAGATGTTTACCTACGACAAAAGGAATGGTAAGGACGTAAAACTCGGATCGATGGATTTTATAATAATAGTTCCATCTTAACGTCATTTTTCATATCCATATATCATTCTCGGATTAGCACTGTGTGTTTAGAATTAAATGTCTATCCTGAGTTATAGCTACCTTTTTTTTTAAGTTATGTTTTATTACAATATTTTATGTTAATATCTTTCGCGTAATCCATATTTAGCATAAATTTTCATTATATTTATTTATGGAAATACAACAATAAGTTGTTGACTAATTCGATTAATCATGGTTGTAATATTACTAGAATTTGTCACAATTTTGTTTTACTTACGTTAGCATAAATTTAAGAGAGAAAAATTAGAGAAAATAAATTTTACATATGGAGTTTATAAATATAAATATGATTTATAGCAAATATTAATTTCAATTATGACAGAAGGATCTTTTTAAATTATTAGAATTCTTTCAAAATATTTTAAACACGCATAAATTTTATATCGCATGAGAGATTTTCGATCAGCCTTCAGAGCCATCGCTATAAATTTCGCAAATAAATCGTTCAGAAAAACGCAATCTTTCTTTGTCAAAAAATAATGCAAAAGGAAGGAAATGCAAAGAGCGTTATCACGAATAGAACGGATGATTCCGTCGAGTTCCTTGAACGTTTATATGTTTTTTCTCTCTTTTTTCTCTCTCTTCCAGAAAATAATATTTTCTTCAAGTCTCAAGAATCTCCGAAGCCAATTATACATCACTGGTATAATTAAACCTCTTGAGATTAGGTCCCTTCCATGTTAGAACCGCGTTGATTTTCAATTTTGTATTATTCGATTTAGAGACAATCACACTAAAAAAATAATTTTTATTCTAGACTTAAAATTGCATTATTTTATTTCCTTTCAAATTTGCAGTATATAGTGCTTTACAGTTTTTACGATGTAAATAATTTAGCAATTAATAATTATGAAATTAATTAGTAATTCAATGATTGATATAAAAAATTAAAATATCCTGCATCTCGTGTTTTAGCAATAATGGATTCTAAGGCTCTTGCAATAATGTTAATAAATCGCGATATTATTTTTTATGGCAGATAGGAATAAATTAATCAGCAAAAATGTCTCCTTATATTTTAATAATGAATAATGTTCGCAATGCTTCGCTAATCGCAATAAATACTTTTTTTCTAAAAGAAGTATGCAAATAGACATGCATTTACAAAAGTAGCTGTTATTGAGAGGTCGTATTCGCATGAAAGTTTATTTCAATTACACCATAAATGATTGCTTTACTTGCAGTTCACGGCTAAGAATAGGATAGCACTAACGTGTGTTACGTTATCATCTTTTCTGAGAAAGGTGTATCAATTTCATCGCAGAATGCACTAGAAATTTGTACAAATTATCTAAATAGTAATTAGTTAAAAAAATTATTCTAATAGGATTGAAAATTATCGAATAATTATGGATTAATATGCTTTATTTTGTAGAATTTTTTAACTCTTTTTCTGAGAATTGAATTAAATCTTTTCACAAATTGAAAAAAAACAACTTTCAGAAAATTCATCATGTATCTGCCTAATATTGATTTAAAATGCTAGTTTCGAGAAGCAGATATATTTTATGTAGTTTAACATTATATAATACGTATTCAATTTGAGTTTCAAACTGGTTTATTCAATTTCAAAACGAGTACGAAGGCCAATTCAGAATGAGAACGTGTGATTCCAAACGATTTAATAAAGATTCTCGTCAATTGAATTTGAATTCGAATGTCAACCGGTTTAAACTCGTCAGCGAATTTCCATTTAAGCTCTTTGCACATGTACCAGAAATTCATCAACGTATATTATTAAATAATATTTTTTTATTTAAAAAGTATAATAAAAAATTAAAAATTAAATAATATCAGAATTAATAAAATAATAACTGAAACAGCAATACAATTACATATTATCAATTAATTAATAATTTTTTAATTAACGATGTTCATATATCATGAACATATGTTCATTCAATTAAATCTTTTTCAGGATATTGCCAAATTATACATCTATAATATTAAACTAAATATTATTATGCTAAGTATCTCCGTGATTCATTATTCAGAAATCTGAGGATATTAGATATTTTTTGTGAATCTTTAATTCTAGAACAATGACGATTTTAAATTACGTTGCTATTTGAAAATCACGGATATATAATATATTCGGATACAACGGCAATTTTGTGTATATATATGTATATGGTATATTTTATCATTGATCATCTCCATGATGAGAATACACAGATATAATAATTTCGTCACGTTTATGTTTCGCGATGTAATTATTTTTTTAAATCGATGATCTATTTTTGGATCATCCGATTTTAATCACCGAAATCTATTATAAGACTGCGAATTTTTGCTTATCACGTTTATTTCGGGTCTTTATAGAATATAAAAACTAAAAGATTGGGATATTTTTTGCAATGAATCTCCCCAAACGCATAGAATAGAAGAATTTATTTGCGAAAGAGAGAAATTATTAATGTTTTATTAATTTTCTCGGAAAATAATTTCTCCTAGTCATTGCTATCGTGTATTTTTATAGATATTTTCACAAAATTTTAATATTTTTCCTATTGATCATAATAGATGTTATTATAAATATAAATTCTAGGGTTCGCGTATTTTTTTTCTCTTGATAGTTCATTTTGCATCGGTATATCGCAATGTTATAATTGATACAATACACTAAATAAATCGCTTAATTGTCGACGATTTATTTGATCGCTTGCGTCTCGTAGGCGCCGCGATGGTCTTAAAAAAGCCTCTCCCGGTAATATTTCGCATCCGTTTGTTCAATGTGGTAGCCACCAATAAAAAGGCGTCATTAGTAAAGGTAAATACTTCGATCTTACGTATGTGTTTTAGAGATCGTACCGTTTGCTTAACTGCTAATTAACATATCGGCATTCACGGTTATCTCGTAATCGTCATGATGAAAGAGATTATTGACATCGCGTCAGTTTTTTTATGAAATTTGCGCGATTTTAATTGAAATGTTACATTGGCAGTCTGTTGAATTAATTAGACACACTCATTGTTTGATATACATGATATCATACATAATGATTATCGTATGCATTATGTCGATTTCGTGATGATTTTGTGACGATAAAATTTATAGCAAATAAGAAGAAATCGCGAATATAACATATTTTTTTATAAAAGGATATCAAGTTACTAAAATTGTCACAAAAATGAATATAATATAATTAACAGTATAATTAATAATGTAAATGCTTCATAAGTATAAATATATTTAGTTATTAATTATTAATGTTGAATTTATTTATCAGATTTAATTTAAATAATTATAAAATTATAATAATTTAATGATTATAATTTTATCACTTTCAAATTTTTTAAATAATTTTTAAAGTTCTTAACAAATGAAGAGAGATGGAACTATACTTTTAATTATATATAATATGTGTATATAAGATTAAATATTATAAATTAACATATTGACATATATAATATTAAATATATTATATTAATAATAATTAATTTAATAATAATAAATTAGATCCAAGAATGTGAAGCTCTTAGAATTCATTCAAAATAATTTATATCGTGCAAAATTATGCTTCGTGTTTATGCAAAGAGTGCATGAACCGTAGATCCTTTTACCGTGACGTTGAACGACAAATTACTGACTTGGCAATTATAGTGACAATGAATTGATAAAACTATGATTGTTAGGGCCGGAAATCGTTGTCACATGCGTGTTTTCACGTGGAAATGTGAGACAATGTGTCACGGAAAATAATGCATTAAAAGGCGCGGTTTGTTCGATTAAATAAACTCGTACATTAACCCACCAGGGATCAAAGATAATCTTGTAAATGTTGTTAAATGACGAGAGTAATTTTATAATTGACACACCCACACTTCTTGTTATTTAATTATCATGAAGACAAAGGTCAATGAAGAGATCTGTCTGCTTTGTGGTTTTCACCTTGAACCCTCGAGCCTCTATCTAATCTCGAACCTCACACGGGTCTTTTTAAAGAAAGAAAACTTGTTCGAATAATGTATATGTTATCAATTTTCATCAAATTAATTTCAAATTTCCGTTGATAATGTATATTGTTAAAGAATGTATTTTTTTATTGATAATGTATATTGTTAAAGTTAAAAGATAATATTAGTGATTTTTCGATTGCTTTTCACGATACAGTCTTGCTCTATAAATAATTTTGTCTTATATGACATCAAGACCGTTTCATAAAATCGATAATTCAGTCTTGTCAGAGAATCACTTTGTCAGTCATTCGTTATCGCATCGAAATCTTTACGCTTTCATTATTCCTCATGTCGAGATATTTCAGTCGATCTTCAAACATAAATGTAGATATAATATAAATAATATAAAGCATTTTATGAGTTCACAAAGTATACGTGTTTGATTAATCTAATCAAGCATTACGTCAAATCGAATAAATTGCTAGCTCCAATCTTTAGCAGACGCGATGTACTGTTCTATTTTTAATTTCTAATCAACGTAATCATAGGAGCAAATTTGACTATGTCTGCAAATTTAATATATGAGCTTCGTAACAATTATATTATTTTATAATTAATGAAATATTTTTAAATAATGAATAATATTTAATTGATATTAAAAATACATGCTATTAAATAATAAAATCTTAAAATTACAAGATTACAAAAACCATGATTTAGAATGTTCTTTATGTAATATAAAATGCTTTAAATAAAATGCTTAAAAAAGAATCATGATGTGTTTATAGTGAAATATGTATTTTAAAATGTATTTTAAATACTTTTTAAAATTATTTCATAAGTTAAAAAATCTAAATTTTTTAAAATAAAGAAACAATTAAATATAATTGAAATAATAATTGTTGACAGGTGACCGCGACCGGTGTTATCGGGCAACCGCCTTGACAAATCAATAAATTCCCGAAGAGGAAACCGCAGAGAAATTAGATTGCTGTTTGATCGGCCATTGTATGTACGATCGTTCGAGCCATTGAATCGCAGTGCCTTTTTCAACCATATCAGAAGAAAAGGAAGAATACAAGAACACCTTAGGGGACGAAATTAATAGAAATATGGCACACGAAAATGGGATAAACGGTGGAGACACCGATTCGGAGACAGTGGAGCTAAATCTTGTGAGAAGAACCAGATTTCACGTGAACCGGGTCGACAGTCTCGAAGGTCGAACCAGTCTCCTTGGCGAGCAGGAGACCAAAAAATCCCTCAGGCACATGACCAGAGAAGCCTTGCCCAGGCTAGACAATTACAGGAACATCATGAGCATCCAGGCGGCTCATAGGCCTTCATTGGACGAGTTGCACAATCCCACTCTTCTTAATAAGGTAAAGCTTTTTGATGACTTTTCTGAAGGCATATATCGTCTGCGAGTTAAGCAGCTTTTCTTGATGATTAATCAAATATGTTTCAATAATTGCTTAGTATAATATAAGAGTTTTTTTGATAATTTAAAAATTGAAGATAAAATTAACTGTTTTTTAATTAATTAATTTTATAAATCACAAGTATAATTTAAACTTATAATTTCGAGAAAAATTGTACATTTGATATACTATACAATGAATGCTAAAATTATGATTTATAATAGCGGATGTATTCTCGATAGATTAAGTTTATTTCTATACGAAGATTTGTAAATGTCATACAAGACGCTACAGTAAGATGATTACAATATCGGACAATTTTATTTATATCGTCTCATAATTCTCTGATAAGACATTTTATATGATAATCCAAATGTGTCGTAATGAAGTTTACATACACGATGTTAATATTTCACGTGATTATATTATAATGAAGCGATAAATACAAATTCTAATGATAAAGAGCGACGCATTACAAGAAAAACCCGCGGTTGATGTATCTTTGTTCAGTTATTAATTTATGTAAAATCGATATTTTATATAGATATGAATATTTTACAGCGCGATAAATAAAATTCGTCCCGTTGATAAAGATGTAGGTGCCGACTTGCATAATGAATTTCTCGAAATCGTCCGCGATTACGAAGTAAGAAATATAAAAAAATCGTAAAAATGGAAAAATGACACATTGTAAAAGGCAGATGTACATATATATATGTATATGAATAGATAAATATAGAGGTTAGACAAATGCAAATTTATCAATATCGGATATATTCTCGATATTATACGACACGCATTCTTCAGATATGTTGCGTATACGCTGACATTCACCGGCTTTTTGAATTTTCCACTCGTCATCTGTCCAGTTCTTTCTCTATCTTTCTTTCTCCGATAGAATATCTAAAATTAACCGATTTCCCGTATATGCTGTAATTTAGTACATCCCGCGAAAGTTTCTGGAATAGACACGTGCTCTCTTCCTTTAAAAAATGACTCAGAAAAACGTAGCAGCACCAGTGAATTTTTCACACAATCTTTTACATATGATTTGTTTTTAGAAAATTTAATTCGAAGTTTTATTGTAGAGTTATTTAAATTCGAAAGAAAGAAAAAGATTAAATATAAAATTATAATATATTCAAATTTTTTAATTTATTAATTGTTCAAATAAAATAAAATCTTAAAATAAAATAATTTTATTTCTTCGTTTATGATCGTGATTAGAATTATACCAGGAAACTTTATGAATCGCCGATGTATATTTTTCTTTTCCTTGTTTAACTCACAGCGTATATAATGTATAAATAGCGTAGCATGTGTGCTTCTTCTTTTTTCAACATGACCACGACATACGGTATTAATTACGCAGACGACTCGTAAATCATAGTATGATTACAAAGATGGTTAATTGTGCAATTAACTCGCGGTTGAATGCAAACTTGGCGCCGAAGTTTGTCTCGTGGTGACGTCGCTCTCGTTCACAAGTTGGTGACGGAAAACTTTTCAGTTTACATATCTATCTTTTCGTTCACAAAAATGCTGATGACGGCTGAAAACGTGATGTCGTGCGAGCGTAAATACGGTACCGTTGGAATCTTTATTGCCTTACGTGACAATCTGTTCACGTCGACGCAACTTTACGACACAATGTGATACCGTTATCAAACGTAACAGCGGTGTAACGTGACGTTAAATATTTGCAATGACTAATTTCGAAAACGTAGTTCGTATTTTTAGTAATATTGTTTTGGATACAAATACAACACATCGATACAACAAATCTTACATTAATTGCAGTGTTGCACAATGATAATTAAATTTAGATAAATCCATTTTGGTATTAATTACGTACAATTATTTTTTTTGCCGGTTATTATTAAATTCTTTCATAAGCACTTATATATATACTTACACATATATGTATGCATTTGTAATTTATTAAAATTTAATTTTAATTTTTTTTTAAATGATTGATGCATAAATAATTTTTGGTATTTAGTTAGTAATATGATCTTTTCTATATCAATTTAATTCCAAACGTTAATTCACTTTAAATGTCGCTATAATTGTAATGTATTCATTCGATTCATTGCTTTTGAAAGCGCAATATTCTTTTTCATTTGCGAATCGATCGAAATCGTCAAAAACGTTAACCAGGCGTGAATATCCTTGATATTTCGATACGAAGGCTTCGCCGAGTTTTTCAATAATGTTTGATTTCATGTTCAATGGATAAAAATGACCTATACAAATTTTTATTTGTTCATTAATTAAAGTCTCTTCTTTACAAACAGCAAAAATGAGGATTTACTTGATGTTTATACTTTGTAAATATTTATACTTTGTTATATGTTACACAGTCTCTCTCTCTCTCTTTCTTTATTAGTTTTAAATCTCAAAAACTATTTTTATTTTTTAACATAATTAAAATACATTTTTGTAAGAGTGTAATTTTATACGATTCGTATAAAATATACGAGATTGCTCGATAAAAATTTCAATGGAACAGCAGCGACAAAATGTTTGTTTTAATATTTTGTAAATTTTATGACATATCATTAGACATATATTTAGATAGCTCATATGTGTAAGGAGATTTCTTTTCTCACGGCTAAAGAGAAAGGGGATAAAATTATACAGTCGGGGCAGTGGCCGCTTATATGTGGAGGAATGACACGATTGCATACCAGGTCACAGAAAATTCATTCGTGTTGAAACAAATTTAAAAAAAGAGTCACGTAGACTATTCACGCCTATTTTATAGATATCGATGAGACACTTCGTACAAGTTTATACAAGTTAAGAAATCAATTGGAAAATATTAGTATATGCAAAACTGACATTGCAAAATACCTCGAATGTTATGAAAGATCTATAAATATTTCTCAATAAAAAATATATTTTCATTATATTTGAAAAATACCAGATCATGATACTAAATCATGATAGAAATAACGAAAAATATTAATATAATTAGAAAGCAGTCAAGGAATTTCAAGTTTGAACATAATGCAAACAATAAATGTATGTAGATGTAAACAACAAATAAAAAAGAATAAAGGTAAAAATTTTTACTTTTTGCTAAAAAAGAATAAGTTGCATATATTACGATAGACTTGTGACATAATGTGAGATAAGTACATGTAAAAAGCATTACGTTCAAGATAAAATCGAATTAGCTATGCAATAAATGTGGCGCCGTTAGTCATGTTTCATTAACGCAATCGAAGAAATTTTTCAGAGGATTATACAATATATGCATGTGAATGCGACCCTGTCGCCTTAAATGTTAGGTCAAAATGAAGACCCTCACGTTCATTCGGGCAATTAAAGTCATTCGATGATAAATACCTCCAGGAGGAACTCATCACATCATATGCGTCATTAAGACACGGTATAATTTTTACCCGAGAAACTAATTCTCTTTCAGAAATGTGTAACTCAAGAGATGAAATGAGTCCGTTTATTCTGTGCTACGTCGATAAATATCATGATAATTAAATAAATGAGTCACGAGTTTTACAGTCGTAACTAAACTGCTGATTGAACAACATATCTTATGTATGACATTGTCATGTGATGCTGTTAATTGACTCCAATTAATGAGTCTCTTTTTCAGATTATAAGTTCTGTGCAATAGAAATAAAAAAGTCAATTAATCATTAAGTGCAAATACTATATTGGTCTCAAGTATTGATTGCTTTCAAAAATAATGGGATAAATTTAACAGATTCAAAAAGAAATGTTTATTTGCAAACATTTTCGCATTTCACAAATATGACTCTTCGATAACTATCTGATTAAATCGAATGAAGAACGTAAATTATGATTCCTCTTATTCTTATAATTCCTTTTATTTATGTCGATTGGCCAGTTTTGATTGATATCGATTATTATATCGCGCAAATAATATCAAAGACGTAGATAATTTTGTTTTTATTTATATTAAATATTGTTTATTGTTATTTATATATGAGATTGATTCTTAACATTATAAATAATTTAATACGATTATGGTACATATTGATTCTGCGTGTCAAAAAAATCTAATCAAATCTCGCGACACTAATCATTATAAATAATTTGCGAAGTTGCATGTATAATTATATTGATAAATGAGCAAACAATAAAAAGTCTTAATGGCTATCTTTCACACACATGATCACGATTGATTGCCAATCCGAATCGAATTGATCATAGAGAACATGAAGACAGAATCCTCGTTTACAAATCTGTTTCATCAATCATTTTCATTAAAAACATGTAAAGGAAAAACTAAGATTCAGCTCTTCTTCCAAAAAATTAGAAAAATAAAAAAGAAGCGCACATATGTTATTTAAATCTAAATACATGAGATTTCTTTAACACAAATGTACAAATAATTATATCACATTTTTATTTTAAAATATTTATTACATATATGAAGAATCTTGCAGCAGTAAAGAATTAAAATAAGAATATATAAGAATAGAAATATATAAGAATTAAGTTATATCGTTGAAAAAAATATTATATTATAAATTTCTTAGTAAGTTTTTCTTCTACATTAATTCTTTGCAACCCACATGATTTTGCGAACAACTGATTCAATTGCATGATATGGCGATATCAATGGGGTCAGTAAAACGCGTGCCCCGAATAAATTACGGGTCCCTGAAGGATAAGCGTGCATTATTCGCTTTTGCTCGTGTCATAGTGAAGGATATGTACAAACACACGCGAAAGAACACGTGAAAGGAGATTTATTTATATAGAAGGTCTTTATTCTCTCTTTCCTATATCACACACTACTGTAACCCACTTACGTCTCTTGTATGCGATATGCGCGTTTATACATATGTATGTGCAAGTGCATAAGATTTGATCTACGTGTAACATGAATCAAAAAGTTTCCAGTACTTTTTACAGAGTTCTCGATTGAAATCTTTACGAGTTTTGAAAATAAGCAGCTTTTTTTTGAATCAGCTCTATAAAAAAATATTAAAAATATGAAACTAAAATTTTGAAGAAATTTTGATAATTCATTATTTTCAATAATTCGCATAATAAAAATTTTATGTGGAAAAATAATAATGTAATAACTTATTGTGTACGGAAAAATATATACGTTCTTTTTTATAATAGTATCATATGTCTTTTTAATTTTTTTAAAAGATTATTTTTTAGAAAGAAAAAAGATCATATGTTATAAATTATTTGACTTTAATAAATGATCGAATAAAAGGAAAGATTAATAACATTTATAATTAAAAATTATAAGATTTAGCACATCAAATACATAGAGGACAAATTATCGCGATTGTTTTTGTGAAAATATTGCAGGAATAATTTTGCAAGTATTTGCATAAAACAAAATATTTAAATATGTAACAAAAAATCATATGAGATGAAATAATCATTCGTCTAAGAAAAAAGTATAAAATGTTCAAGAAATTTTGTTCAATCACAATCGAATTAGAAGCAATTTGATTTAATCCAATTCTCGTTATTGATTATTCATCTTGTGATGTAAATTATCCGCAAATATTTCTAAATAAAACGTCATATTTACTTCAACATGCCCGCATTGACATTTAAAAGCTTCGATCCAATTATTCGCATTCCTTTTAAAGGCTTCCGTAAATATTTCAACGAAGCCTTCCGGAAATCATTAATCATCACGATATGTCAATATTGTTCAAATTCTGTTAGAAAATAATGTTTTTTGAAAAAACACATAGAGGTGTAAAAGTTCATATTTTTCATACATTGTATCGAATAAGAATGTTTCCAATTTTTTTATCAAACGATCGTCGCTCAATTGCATGCAATTTGCAAAAAGTTCTTCGACATCGGACGATATCATTGCGGATGTGAGACTTGGTTACGTAAATCGTTAAGACTTCATTGGCTGAGTGACGATCCTTCCTCTAGAGATCTCCAGAATCACCTTCAATGTCTTCGATTATTGTCTCTAAATCTCAATATATCATCGTATTAATCTCACTAATCGCGAGATGTGACACAGGATTGCGTAAACGCGCGCGACGCATTAGGTGAGATCTAAACGATCGTCGTCTCGTCATCTGCGAGAAATCGTTTCGATCCGTTCAAAGCGCCGACCTTGAAGTCTCTCCGTACGTCAATTACCCATCGGATTGATGAAGACATCCCGACGACACGATGGAGCATAATTTCTCGCGTAATTACGAGCAGACCGCGGCCAGAATCTTTATGGGCGCGATTACGCGATTTGCATGGAAGAAACAGTCAATTTCCGATGACATACGAGATTGCGGCATTTTGAGACTTCCTGAAAAGGTTCCGTCAATCTCCTGTCTTCTCTCTTTTTCTTTTCACCTCAAGTTAAAATCTCACATAATTACACGTTTTCGTGATGCACACGTGTGACAATCTGCAAGCTGCTGATGCAGTGAAATACGAGAAAACTAATTGCAAACGCCAAGAAAGTAGATATCATTTTGTAGAAATTATAAATGAAAATGAAATTAAAGTCAGAAAAAAAGAATTAAATGAAAATTGATTAAATGATAATTGAGATTAAAATATAAAAATATAAAAATATAATTAAGTGAAACTTAAATTAAATTGAATAAAGAAGGATATATGTCAGATTGTTATAAAATTCTATCTATTCATGAAGTTATGTATTATGATTAACGTGTGAATATTTATGTTTCGAAATATTACTTATAAAAGGATAATTTGTACTTATATTTACTATAATTTTCTTTTATTATATAATTTATCAAAAAATATTATTTTTTTGTAAACGCCGATTTCAACCTGCAATTTCTTACAACACGGTTTTTGGGATAAAATTATTTCTTAATGAATCGACTTATCGAAATGACTATTTTGCAGGACCCAGGATCGCATACATTAACCGTTCCACAATTAAAATCCACGGCATCCGGAGTGAAATTTGGATGGATTCAAGGAGTGCTTATGCGATGTCTCCTCAACATCTGGGGAGTGATGCTCTTCCTGCGACTTTCCTGGGTCGTAGCGCAAACCGGAATAGGTGGGTGCTCTGTTGTCGAATGATTCTTCAATTTAATTGAATTCTTGAGATTTCAACATCATTGATGTCATTCCAGGTCAAGCTATTTTATTGATTCTCACAACGACGGTAGTCACGACGATTACAGCTTTGTCGATGTCAGCAATCAGCACGAATGGTCTTATCAAAGGAGGTATGAAATATACAATATCGAGGACATTAAAAAGAAAAAAAAAAAAACAAATAAGATATTTTTATAATTTGATTATATAACTTCAAAAATTAACGAGAAATATATTTTAAGAATTATACTTAATTCTGAAATAGCTAAATCATTTTAATATTTTTTTATCATTTAATAAGGAATTTATATATAGTTTATATTGTAATAATTACGCGTGAAAAAACTGATATAAAAATGTCATTCTTTACTAAATTATGTCACATATATTTTACTGCTCACACATACATATATCAATTATAATATAGAAAAATTATATTCTTAAATATAAATACTTCAAGAATGAGTAAGAAGAAAGATGATTAAAGCCGACAGTCCTCTTATCAATTCTTTTATGTGATCGATAATAGTAATATATTCTTGGCTAATTAATAATTGTCTTTTGTAATTGTTTGCACATATGTAAATCGTTTTAATGAATTATTGAGTCGATACGATGGCATAGTATGATCGATCGAAGCTTACACATTGCTTTTTGTTGTTTCTTTTCAGGTGGAACATATTACATGATTTCCAGATCATTGGGACCTGAATTCGGGGGCTCCATAGGTCTCATATTTTCTTTGGCGAACGCTGTCGCTTGTTCTATGTATGTGGTCGGATTTTGTGAGAGTTTGATAGATTGTCTTAATTCCTTCAATCTTTGTATAGTCGATTGTGGAATCACAGATATCAGGATTGTAGGTTTGTAAGCTTTAAAAGTTTTATATATTTATATATTTATAGTTTTATATATGTTTTTATATATTTTATAGAGAATTCACATTTTAATTCTGTTTTTCATTCACATTCTAAAATAATATAGAGCGCGAATAATACGGTGTTATATTTTCAGGCTGTCTAACAATAGTCGTACTCCTAATAATCGTGGTAATCGGCTTGGAATGGGAAGCGAAGGCACAAATATTCTTGTTAATAATCCTCCTCTTGGCTATTGGCGATTTCACGATCGGCAGTTTTATTGGTCCCAAAAGCAACGAGGAAAAGGCTAAAGGATTTATCGGATACAACGGTAACATCCTATTAATATTCCTCATGATACATTTTTCCTCGATGTTTTTATATACATCTCATAATCATAACAAGTATGGTATTATCAATTTAATAGTTTTATTTGTGATTTGCAGCCGAGCTGTTTAAGGAAAATTTGTATCCGAACTATAGATATAGCGAAGGCGTGGAACATAATTTCTTCTCGGTCTTAGCCATTTTCTTCCCAGCGGCAACAGGTATCCTGGCAGGTGCGAATATATCTGGTGACTTAAAGGTAATTTAATTCTTTTCCTCGTTCATATGTAGAAGATATTAAATATCGACAATTCTCGATGCAATTATTCGCTTATTTAATTATTCATTAGTTTGCATGAATTGTGCTCAAGGATATCGTTTTTACATAAGTTTTGTTTTTATTAAATAAAAAAACGATAAAGCAACTTGCGTATTTCTTTATCATCGCAATTAATCGCAAAAGTCAGCGAGAATTTTATATGTGATGCGAAACTTCCATGCAACTTTGGAATTTTATCTTGTATTCGACAGGATCCGCAAACGGCAATACCAAAAGGCACTTTATTGGCGATTCTGCTGACATCGCTGTCATATCTAATTATAGCGATCATAGTTGGAAGTACTGTTATGCGAGATGCATCTGGCAATGTTAATGATCTATGGGCAATATATAATTCTTTTTCGACACTATCAATACTTGGTGCAGACAATAGTACCGCGATCGAAAATAATACAAATATTATCGAGAGTGCCAATCGCACTTGGAGTGTATACCAAACAGCTTTTAACTGCACAGGAGGCAGTTGCAACTATGGCACTCATAACAGCTTTGAGGTGCTCACATAATAATTATTAATGAAACTTGAATAAATTAATCCTTGAAAATTTTAATTAAATCAAAATATGAAAACTGCTTGCTAAAATGTTAATTAAATTGATAATATTATTGATATTTAAAGATTTATAATATAGATATAGATTAATATTATTGATACTTTAAGATTTATGAAAGTAATTATCAATTTTTTAAAAATAAAATCGAGTGCAAAAATTGAAATAAGTAAAATGTATTACAGGTAATTCAATTAGTTTCTGCTTTTGGTCCTTTTATCTATGCCGGTTGCTTCGCGGCTACAATTTCAAGTGCTTTAGCATCGCTAGTCTCAGCACCGAAAATATTCCAAGCACTTTGTCTTGATAAACTATATCCGGGAATTGCGTGGTTTAGTGGAGACAAAGATAAGGAACCGATTCGTGGCTATTTACTCACTTTTATTATTGCTGTCGGTTTCATTTTGATCGGTAAGTAATAAAAAAATTCTATAATTTAACAAAGAAATTTGTTTCTTTCAAAAATATATGTAAATCGATTTTTTTCAGGTGAATTAAACGCGATCGCGCCGCTCATTTCGAACTTCTTTTTGGCTGCTTATACTCTCATTAATTTCAGTACCTTTCATGCTTCCCTTGCTAAGCCGATCGGATGGCGACCAACTTTTAAGGTATAATATATATAAAAATGTACGCTCGTGGCATTATTTTATTATCACACATATCTTTTTACGTTATCTGTATCTAATAATAATCGTTATTATTTTTTAGTATTACAACATGTGGCTTAGTCTTGCTGGCGCTATTCTTTGCGTTTCTGTGATGTTCCTGATCTCATGGTGGACGGCTTTAATAACTTTAAGCGTAGTTTTAGCGTTATATTTAATAGTCTCATATAGAAAGCCTGGTAATATTCCAATAGAATTTTATTTTTATTTAAATGTTGGTTAAAAAACGGAAACGATTATGTAACATTTTATTTTGTAATGCATATTCGTCTAAACGAAAATATGTTACAGATGTAAATTGGGGTTCAACTACACAAGCCCAGACATACAACAACGCGTTGACCGCTGTGCAACAATTGGATCGAGTGGAGGATCATGTGAAAAATTATAGACCGCAACTCTTGGTTCTCACTGGCGCGCCAAACACGAGATCCTCGCTCGTCGATTTTGCTCATCATATCACCAAACATCAGAGTTTATTTATTTGTGGCCATATTATCGAAGTACCTATCGTGCTGGTTTCTATTTGCTTTAATTTATTCACGTGATATATCATAACACATTCGTTTTCGTATGCTTCAGACATCCATTTCATACAAAACGCGCAATAGCATGCTGCAGAATTGTTCTTCCTGGCTCAGAGCGAACAAAATCAAGGCGTTTTATTCCTTGGTGGACGGTGCGAGTTTCCAAGATGGAGCTACTTCGCTTCTACAAGCTGCCGGACTCGGGAAAATGAGGCCTAATATTCTGTTAATGGGTTATAAGCAAGACTGGGCTACCTGTCCCCAAAATAATTTGAATATGTATTTTAACACTATGCAGTAAGTTTTCGTATATAGTTTTGTGTCATATCTTAATCAACTTAAAACTTTTCGTAGAAGTTATAATTCTTCTCTCTTTTTTTTTTCTCTTTTTTTATTAATTGTCTGCCCATTAATGAGACAAAATATATATTGCATTTTTATTTTCTTTTTCTGTATCTTGTAGCAAAGCTCTGGATATGCACATAGCAGTAGCACTTCTTCGGCTTCAAGAAGGTTTAGATTGCAGCGTAATCGGAGAGGATCAAAAGAGACTGATGCCTACATCGATACCAGGCAATCAAAGTTTCTCGCAGCTTAGCCAAGGTTTTTAAAAAATTACGTTTTTTTGTCTTTTTAATCCCTTTCCTTTTTTTCTCTAAGGATTGATAAATTAATGATAATTATTACAGCTAGTAGCGTATCCGACATTTCAATTCCTGGCAGTCCCGCACCGAGACGTTCGAGAACGATTAACGAATATCCCAATCCGTCCTCCGAGGAGCAGCGCGAAAATCGATCAAATATAATGCCAATCACAAATATACTTAATGTAGTAACGAAATTCCAAAGGAAGCATAAGAAGGGTACTATTGATGTGTGGTGGCTATACGATGACGGTGGCTTGACGCTTCTCTTGCCCTACATTATTAGCATGAGGCGTAATTGGTCTAATAGCAAATTAAGGGTATTCGCACTCGCCAACAAAAATTCTGAATTGGAATATGAACAAAGAAAGTAAGTTTTTTTTCTAGTGACAGTTTTGACGGAAAATAATGTTTTCGATAATTAATATTCGTTTTTTCGTAGCATGGCGAGTCTTCTATCGAAATTTCGGATAGACTATTCCGCGCTGAAGGTCATACCGGATATTTCGAAACCGGCACAAACTAGCACAAAGGCATTTTTCGATTCGTTAATAGCTGGCTTCCAGGAATCATCAGCAGATTCGAAAAATTCAGACGATGGTATTGAGTCGTTTCTTTATGAATTTAATCCAAAATACAGGCTGTATATTAATCATAATCTTTTCGTTTCAGATATCATTAAAGATTCGGAACTTATGGCGATGAACGAAAAAACCAACAGACATCTCCGTTTGCGTGAATTATTACTTGAAAATTCCATGGAAGCAAATTTAGTCGTTATGTGAGTATTTGCATTGCATATTTTGTTATATATTTGGACGCATTTTAATTAATGTTTTTGTTGGATTTATGCAGGACGCTTCCAATGCCAAGGAAAGGTGCTGTGTCAGCGCCTCTTTATATGGCATGGTTAGAGACACTTACGCGTGATATGCCACCGTTTTTATTAGTGCGGGGTAATCAGACGTCAGTTTTAACGTTTTACTCATAATAATCGAGATATTACATATAAAAATATGGTTCTCACAGTTGGTGATAACCACAGTATTATAAAGACAAAAAAGACTTAATCATCTGTATATGCAGAAAAAATCGATTTGATTATCGCAGAAATTTATAGTGATACATATATAATGCTAATGATCTATGCTTTATTTTATCATTGCTTTTATCATTATTATGAGAAAATGCAAGTAAACTACTATTGAAGAATGTGTGCCTATCATAAGTAATCTCTTATAAATATTTATGTCGTGTTTTCTTAAATGACTAGGATATTTTTCTATTCCAAAAAAAAAAACTGACAAATTTCTATATTAAAAAGCAATTATGCTGCATAAATAGTTGAAGTAATGGTAAAAATATGACAAATGTAGTTTGTAACATTATTTATTTGTCATGCAATATTTCTCTCTGTGCATCTTATCTTAAATAATTTAAATTTTTCAAATATGGGTGTATTTAAAAATTAAAAAAATTTCTAAAGGTAACATATTTTATAATTGATAATTTATTAATAATTTAAAAAATTTCACATAATCTATATGTTCAAATAATTTTTGTCAAAAGTTTATATCCCTGTATATATATAATATATATGAACTTATAAGTGTTTGACAATATTTATATATAATACAGAATATAAACTATTATAGAGATTCTATAAATACCTTACAATGTCAAAAGTTTATATCCCTGTATATATAAAATGTATGTGAACTTATAAGTGTTTAACAATATTTATATATAATATAGAGTATAAACTATAGAAATTTTGTAAATACCTTACAATTGACTGAATTAAAAGATGTGCCTATTTTTGTATGTGTTGTTTTATAACCTTATAATCTTATAAAAGCATTTTCTATCAAGAAAAATAATATAAAAAATAAATGCCAATATTTCTTTTCATTAAATACAGAGCAAATATACATAAGTAAAAGCATTACATATGCAAGATTATAATTATTAATCTCGTTATTGTTGTATAAAATGCTATAACTTGTCATACCAAATATTTCATATTTTTTTAATTATAATCCAGTATGATGATTTAAGGATGATTCAAATATATATGATGATTGCGCAGTATCTCAAATGTGTTCTGTTAAATTTTAAACAGAAATTTTATATATTGATTTCTGTGCTTAAACTTTTAATTATGTAACTTTGATATATAACATGATTCCACTGTAACAACTATCATGCTTTTACATATCGATAACTTTGCGATACAATTATTAATTAGGTGATAGATATATATTTATTTGAATGTTTTAATGTGAACACGTTTCAGACTAGTTGCAGATGTGTTGCAGGAGTCAGAATACTGATAATTTATACAATATCTTTTCTAAATTTTTCATATTACAAATAATTTATTATTTCAATTCAATTCTGTGCTATAATAATCAATATTCCAACTCCTCACTTCTATATATATAAAATTGGATTTGTGCCATATTATGGTATGTGTGCCATATCAATGTATTCATATCAAGGACTATGAAATGTAAATATATTATATTTTTTAAGATATCATAGAAAAAAAAGCTGCACAAAATAATACAATAAATAGAACAAAAATCTAGGAAATCTAAATAAAGATCTATTATATATATTATATTATATATATATATATATATATATATATATATATATATATATATAATAGATATACACATATATATATTGCATTTAAAAATAAAAACTATAAAAAACGAAAAGCTTAAATAAATGGCAAGTGTAGAGAGTTTCTTTGCAAAAAGCATATAAAATATAACTTAATATAAAATTCGAATATATATTACATTTCTACTCTCTACATATATAAAAATTATGTATATATATGTGTGTGTATATGTGTATATATTAATCTTTTCAAATACTAAATTTCTCTTTCTCTCGTAAGAAATATTAAAAATAATACAATAACTCTTTAAATTAGTTAAAAAATACTTATCAGAATGTTGGAATGACGTTTCGTCATTGTCATGTCATGCATTGCATCGTATTTTTCTTCCATGGACTCGATAAGAAAAAAGAATTTAGTTTTACGTTTCATGTCCATGGATAACACTGGCGATGTATATAACTTGCGATTAGGAATCGCGGAACAGATCTGATTTTCTGTTTCCATTTAAATGCTACGAATATGTCGAGGTCTGCGCACCAGTAAACAACAGGAGGACAATCCGGAACTAACCTTTGCCAATTCGGATAAACGCAGTGATCTAGTCGGGAACTCTACCTTCTCGGCGAAGACTTTACTCGATTGTGGAATCTCGTCCTCCGATCGGTGAATGAGCGTGCCGTTCACATAAAGCACATTGGCGGCTACGTCCTCGGGCACAGTCAATGTTTGATAACTGTATGTTGCCTCCCGTTCGATTCTCTATTTTAAATCAGAGATAAGAATCGTAATTTTTTTATACATGGAACCACTAACTTTAGAAAGGACTTTGATCCAAATTTGTAGAAGGAATATAATATTTGTTATATGAATTTAAAAGTTTTGGAACAATGCCCTTTGCAAAATAATTTACTAATATTTTACATTATAATATATAAAGATCAACCTTGAGAACTTCTTGAGATTCCTTTCCAGCTCCTACACATATAACATCTGGACCAGCCATTGTAACCAGTGATTTCAAACGTTTGGATTCAGCTACCTAAGCAGAAGATCATTATGAGTTATTATCTCAAAAATTATAATGGAAGATAATTATTATTAAACTATTCCAATACACTGCATAATCATTTTACTATATTTCACATATCATATATTCTTAAGCATTGTCAATATCATTTGAATAAACTGAAAATTATTATATTTAATTTTATAAACAATAATTGTAATCTCATGAATCAAATTTTTTTCTTGTTTTTCAATATTTTTTTATTATGATTTTTCTAAATATTTTATATGTATAAAATTATGTATATCATAACATGATTTTTTAAATGTATCATTATAGTCCAATTATTATTATAGCCCAATGATTCTTATGTCAACTAATTATGCATAGTGTTTTGTGTAATAAAAAATACAAATTTATTTAAAAATTGCATACACTAGACTTATACTCGATTACATAACATTTGTACTATGATTGAAACAAAATGAAAAATACTCTTAAATATTTTATTTAAACTTAAATAAATTGTATGCATGCTAAGGTGAGTGAATAAGTTTTGCGATATTGTTTAAGTGCACAGCTCAAGTGCTTAGCTAAAATCTGCATAATCTGTTATTCCCAAAGCAATTTATAAAATTCTGAAATAATTTTATGCAAAAAGAATATTCTTCAAAATAAGTGCAAGTTTGCATTTATAGCTTGTGAAATCATTTACTTTCTTTTCTTTTTCTTTTTTATAATTAATAAAATATTACGAGAGAGTCACAGTTTAGTGCACCCAAACCTGAAGAGGAGCTGAAGTAAGATTTTCCACTATCACCTCTTCACCACCATCACCCACCTTAAATGAACATTAAAAAAGTAGGTGAGTGAATATGATATTTTATCTATCAAGATTCAAAGCAAGTCTAAAAGGCACATATTATTATACATATTATTCTATAAATAATATGTCTAAAAGACACATGTTATTTTATAAATAAATCATAATATGAAAAGATATATATAAAAAGACATAAAATTGTTATTACTAATAGAACATGCATCTATACATATTATGATATATATAGAATATTTCAAAAAAGTTGATATAGTACATATAATAATTGTATTTTAATACTGATTTGATTTTTACAGCAGTTTATTAATTATGAAATTCTATATATATGTGTGTGTGTGTGTGTGTGTGTATGTGTATATAATATAACTAAGATACACGATATAAATGCTTTAAAAAAATAGACATAGACATTATATTATAAAGTAATATTAAATGTAAGTTTGAATCTTGTAAAGTAATACTGTATGTAAAAGTGTAACAGAAAAAATCTCTCTTGTTTCAATATTTTACATGTGATGCACATTCAAATTAGTCATCTTTGTACACAAAGTTATATACACATTGAGTATATATTATGACTCTAATAATAACTCATTCACATAATTTAATGATATATTGATTCATGCAATTTAATAAATTATAGAAAAAATTGTTTTAATTATAAATGAAACAGTAGATTAAGTTTTTAAATATCATGTAATATAAATATTAATTTATAAGATTTTACAAGATTGAAAATTGTTTTACTGACCTTAATAGGTACACATGGATATTCTGGAAATGCTGCAGCGACTGCTCGTGCTCCCGCTTCATTTGTAAAGTGAGAGAGTCCAACAAAAAATTCTCTACCTGCAAGATTTAAGAGATTTATTTATACATTAACAAATTAGAAATTTTAAAATGTTTTTGATATTTATAAATCAAGTACAAGTATTTATATAATATAATATATATTTAATATAAAGTAGAGAATTTACCAGTAAAAAGGACATCTCCTCCATCCAAGCGAGCATTCTTATCACTTATTTCTATGAGCGGTATCTCTAATTCTTTCTTCAAAACAGCTCTGATGATGTCAAGCTGAGGAAAGGATATAAAAATAGCTACAATTCAGACAGGAACAATAATTAAGTCAACTTTAATTCAAAATATATCACTATTAATATCATTATTATTAACAACACAACAGGAGAATTATATTTATATTTTAACAGGTTTTTTTGTGCAACATTCATAATTATACATTAAGATTAATAATCTTCCAATTATCAATGAAATTCCAATTCGAATCTTAATAAAAGGGTCCAAGAGGATCTAAATGATTAAATACCTCCTTGAGACGCGAGGGCTCGCTTGGCCGCGCGATCAAGGCAATGCCGTTGCAGACAACGGCGATGTCCTCGACGAAGACGCAGAGCGGCGAGTTCTCATCAGGCGGCATCTCGACGACGTCGATGTCGAGCTCGCGCAGGAGCTGCGCCAGGGCCAGATGCTGCGTCCTAGCCTCGTCCAATGTCACCTCGCCCCGTGTGCGTAGCGATAACGGGATTCTGCACAGGATCGCGTGCGTGTACCGGTGCAGCGGCATCCTCGTGACAGATGTACTATTCTTGCCGAAAAAACGCGCGGAGAAGCGACGCACGGCTAAAGTTTGACGTTTGACGCGAAATGACGGCAGTGATCAGGCCTGGCAATCGCGAATCGCGACCCCCTGGGGATTCTGAGAGGCGTGGCTAGGAAATTGAAGTTTAGACAGCATTCGGAAATACTGCTCGTGGGATGACAGCTGGGATAAGTAGCGTTGAATTGACCAATCAGGATAAAGAAATCTTTATCCCTTTCGTGCTAATTCGATCTGATCGATATACCAGTCTATATACATATTACGTCTATGGTGTATGAGACAAGGGAACGTCATGTCACTTGATATGTAAAATCACTAGACGTAAAGGTGCAATTTCATTGACGCTAGAAACCAGCGGCAAATTAAAATCACTAGACTTTCTCTAGATATGGCGTCAATAAAATAAAGTTCAAACAGTTTCAACTTTTTCAGTGTGTAAAGCGGCCTTTTCATTGACGCTACTTTTTAGCGTCAATGAAATTGCACCTTAACAGTTGGCAGCCCTACGAGATAGGCTGTGCAGCACTGCGCGTATATAAAATAAATTTGAAATCGCTTCTAGCCTAACCATCTTCACGCGATCGACTTTATTTGAATTGCACGGCATCGCATCGAATTATGATGCGGCGCCGATTTGTTCGAACGTAATTCGGGACATCGCGATGCTATATAAGCGTCGAATGAGCACGAATTGTCACGCAAATATGATAAATCACATCTACTCACCGTTCACCGGCTGTTCCACAGGCCGCTCCACTCGCTCGCCTCGGGACATCCCATTCCGATCTTGATGCACACGATATCATCAACGCGAACGCGCGACACTTTATTCGGCACTCCCGATATTCGCTCGCATCCGATAATCATCATCAAGGGCGCAAATAACGCGACGCAACTTCGCTCCATCTTCGCGATGACGCCATCACTGAATGTCGTCAAAAATCGCTGTCGCGCGTTTCCATCGACACACTATAAAAGTCGCGCGATCATCCTTGGATACTTTCGACGCTCTTTCACTCGCGATATTCGTTTAAAAACGGTTAAAAGACACGAAAAATGCGGACGTACGACGATCCGTGTAACTGCGTATGACTCCGAGTCACGTATGACGCGTGTGACGTCACGTGCCAACATGGCGGCCAAACCAGTGCGCACTGGTTCGGCCGCCATGTTGGCGCGTGACTGCTACGTCATACGCGTCATAGCTACGTCATACGCGTCATACGTGACTTGGAGTCATACGCAGTTACACGGATCGTCGTACGTCCGCATTTTTCGTGTCTTTTAACCGTTTTTAAACGAATATCGCGAGTGAACGAGCGTCGAAAGTGTTGAAGAATGATCGCGCGACTTTTATAGTGTGTCGATGGAAACGCGCGACAGCGATTTTTGACGACATTCAGTGATGGCGTCATCGCGAAGATGGAGCGAAGTTGCGTCGCATTATTTGCGCCCTTGATGATGATTATCGGATGCGAGCGAATATCGGGAGTGCCGAATAAAGTGTCGCGCGTTCGCGTTGATGATATCGTGTGCATCAAGATCGGAATGGGATGTCCCGAGGCGAGCGAGTGGAGCGGCCTGTGGAACAGCCGGTGAACGGTGAGTAGATGTGATTTATCATATTTGCGTGACAATTCGTGCTCATTCGACGCTTATACAGCATCGCGATGTCCCGAATTACGTTCGAACAAATCGGCGCCGCATCATAATTCGATGCGGTGTCGTGCAATTCAAATAAAGTCGATCGCGTGAAGATTGTTAGCTAGAAGCGATTTCAAATTTATTTTATATACGCGCAGTTATATGCTGCACAGCCTATCTCGTAGGGCTGCCAACTGTTAAGGTGCAATTTCATTGACGCTAAAAAGTAGCGTCAATGAAAAGGCCGCTTTAAGGTGCAATTTCATTGACGCTAAAAATTAGCGTCAACCATTGGTTGAACAAAGAATTAAGTAGTTGCTTCTTTGTTCAACCAATGGTTGACGCTACTTTTTAGCGTCAATGAAATTGCACCTTTACACACTGAAAAAGTTGAAACTGTTTGAATTTTATTTTATTGACGCCAAATCTAGAGAAAGTCTAGTGATTTTAATTTGTCGCTGGTTTCTAGCGTCAATGAAATTGCACCTTAAGCGTACAAATGCCGGTATTCAATACACAAAAGGAGGTCAAGGATTGCTTTTTCCAATAAAGCGCAATTACGTTAATTTGCATTCGGGATGCGTTTAATCTATAAATATTCTTTAATTACGTCTAATCACATTTTTAATTAAAAAAACTTTCGACTGACATCTAACCTAATTAATTTTGCATTTTTAAAAAAATACTATTACAATCTATTCCAAATTAAGTAACAGTTCATTAAATATATCTGTTAAAAAACGACTGGTTACAATTAACGTATATAAAGTATGTTAAACGTTATTACAGTGTGCAGGATGAGAAAAAAGGACAAATTAAATTTAATTAAACTAACCAAGTTGGTACCTAACCTATAAGATCGATCGAAACGCTTCATAGGCGTCTACCTGCACCGAGAAATAAAGCTTCGTTTAAGAACTTGTTAACCTTGTAACCGCAATTTTACTGGGTTAAACAAAATGACCTTCGCGTAAGTTCAATTGGGAATCGCGTCTCAGCATGACAAAAATAACTCGAACTGTCAGACGCTCGCGGAAGCTCGACACCGGAGTGATGTAGATACCAGCTGATGACATAAGATGAGCATGCCATAATAATAATGCGCCTCAGATTTGTTAGGGCGGTTCTGGTGCTCGCGTTGTTGGGCAACATCATCGTCTGGCATAGGATATGGCGGCTTTTTGCGGCGCAAAACACCCTGGGTCTATTGACGCCGAATGTCGGGACGAACGAACCCCCGCAGAAGCTTCATCGACGTTTAGCCCGCCTTGTCACTATTGTCATCAGGCAATTCGAGAATTTTGAAAACGATGTAGCGTCCATGGTGGAGTCAGTTTTGAATTCCTTCCCTGAGATACCCGTCCTAATAGTTTGCGATGAAGTACCATATCCACCACTGGAGTTAGACTTTGCCAATGAGAGTATGAAGAATGTCAAACTGATCAGTTTACGGCCTGAGTTCAATAAATCCTTCGACGAGAGAAATCCTCTCTTCTATATACGCACCAAGTTTGTCCTGTTTCTGCCTGATGCAACAAGATTCTCGACCAAGCAAGTCATACAGGTATATATATATATTTATTATGATACATTTAGAGGAATATTTTAAGGTAGAAAGTATAATTCATTTTTTTTTATGCATATTTTGCAGGAAACTGTCTCGCAAGTGTCAAATTTAGGAGTAGTTATTGTACCAGTAGGGAAGATTGCCTTGAATTGTCTTGAATTAGATTTAAGGGTGAAAGAATGGAGTTTGAAAATAACACGGATTACAGGGACAGAATGTGATAGTGTAATGGGCAAGCATGTAACTGTGCTTGAAACAAAAATTTTAAGGAGATTATCGGATCCATTTTTGTTACCCTTCACAGACGCTTTGTATATCCAGATGGCAGCTATTGGTGTAAAGGTATGCAATCTGTTTTTATTAATTTAAAATAATTATTTATTGTTTATTTGCTTTATTTTTTTAATGACAAATTCATTAATTTACTTATACATGACATTGTCATGGTTTTATTTATATCTAATTGAATTTATGTATCAAAGTTGAAATACAGACATTTATATCTATGATTTATATACATTTTGTGATTATTTTGTGAACATATTATTTTTTTATCTTGTTCTTATCAATAATTATCAATACATATTAATATTATTAATATACAAATTTATGTTTAAAAACTATTTTAATTATGTAAATATTTTTTGTACATTATGTTGTACTTTCTTTATAAAAATGCAAAAGAATGTTAATATTTTTTTTAATATTTTTCTACTAGGGAAAAACTCTTTTATTTTATTTTAGCATAAGTATTTACTGTGAATAATCAAATACTTATAATGATATGATACATGTTATTAGGTACATATATTGAAAAGTTATCACTTCAACGAGGGAAAACCGTTATATAGAAACCAACAAGCACAATCTAAAGTGCAGCAGTTGTATCGTACACGGGAGCGATTGATGTTTGAGAAATTGGGGATAAAGAAAATCACAAGAACTTCCGGTTCCATGGAGTGGTATGGTTGTTCACGCGAAACTGCGAGGTGCTTTGGTTCTGTAATAAACGGCGTACCGTCGTACCTCCATCTACATCGATATACGCCGCCTTGTTGTTTGGCTGGACTGAGAAAAGTCGCCCATCACGTTATCGACAAATTGGAAGAAGTCGGCATACGATTCTGGTTGGAGGGTCAATCGCTGTTGGGAGGAATGAGACACGGTGATATTTTACCATGGGATCATGAAGTACAAATCGGATTGAACCGCGACGATTTAGCGAGATCACCGTGGTTAGTCAGAGCCAGGAGTAAACCGGTTGTCGACGATGATGGTTTCATCTGGGAGAAGGCGACGGAGGGCGAGTTCTTCAAGGTACAGTACTCCAGGATTAATCGTTTGCACGTGAACCTGTTGCCGTTTTATGCGCGCAATGGATCCATGACTAAGGACGCGTGGTTCCTGAAGAACCGGGACTTCCCGGAGCATTTTCTCCATCCGATGTCGAGCATCGAGTTTGCCGGTAGACAAGTGCCATGCCCAAATAATATTAGGGACTTTTTAGAGCTTAAGTATTTCAAAGGTGTGATAGAGAATCCGGAATTACCTGGTAAATTTGTTTTTAATTAATCCGTTTTCGAATAACTGCGCGAATTATTCGCGGTAGTTTATGGCAATATTTGTTGTCTCACTTTATCATGAAATTGGTACTTGTTGCGGCTAAGTCGCATTTATTGTTGCTATCGAATTGATAATATCGATTATGCATGTATCTAATGATACTAGGAACTATTTATGCATGAAGATATTAAGATCTGAATAAAAATTGCAATTCGACATTTTTGCAATGTCTCCCTTTTAAGGGAATGTTGTTTCATAAATGCATTTCTATTTGCCTTATTCGGACTCTATTTCAATAAGGAATAATGACAAATAATTGTTATCTCTAGATTTCTGAATAATTCAGCTTAGAATAGTGAAATTCACAAGCTTTCTTCTTGCATGAATTGACCTGTTAATATTGTGCCAAATAAATTAGTATTTTTGATTAGATCTTATCGATATAGATGTGATACATTTTTCAATACATTCCATATAAATATTAACTTTTAACTAGCTTTACTATTGATTCATCAGTAGATGCCATATGTAGTCCATTCTAGAAAGAGAGAGAGAAAGAGAAAGATTTATAAATATTTAATATTAACGATTTTAAACAGATTTAGAATCGCATGATATTTTAAAAATATTTTATTCGATTAGGAAGACATTTTTTAATATATCTTGAAAAGTTCTACAAGATCAGAAATATTTCGTAAATATATTTATATAGTAGAAATTCAATTGTTCCAGTTCTGCTCAATCAAAATCGTAATTTTAAGAAGATATAAGGAAAAATATTAAAAATAAAAATTATGTTACATTAAATTCAGGAAATTGTAAAATAATATTTTATTTAGATTATTTAATTCAAATTAATTTATTTACTGTTATTGTATTAGGTCAGTGACTGGGAGAAATTGTTTTATTATTATAATATTTTCATGCAATAAATTCAAGTAACTACTACAAGTAAACTACTTTAAAAACTATTTGACATCTATTGCATAATTAGTGCCAATTTATTTGTAAAAATATAGATATGTATATGTGTATCCGTCTGTTATAGCAAATATTAATAAAGTACTGTTATTTATAAAAAGTTATAATCTGTTTATATGTTTGGCATATCAGTTTTAGGTGACTGTTCTTATATCTTTAGGTGGAGTCAATATTGGAGGTTCTCGTACAAAACTGAGCAATTTTTCCAATTTCATCGATTCCAACTCTGTTTGTGACAAATGTAATTGCTTCTTTGTTGGTTTCACTTTTATCCGTAAATTTGGAGATAGTTTCAGTGTATTCACAGTACCTCTGAAAAATTAGATATTAAATATAAACAAACTTTTATAAATTATATATAAAATATATATCCGTTAAATAAAAATAAATTAATTTAAATAGATAATATGCAAAAATTGACAGGTATCACTTACTTATCATCGCCGACTATTATAAACGGCAACGCGTTATTAAAAGCTAATCGGGTCAATTTATTCTTTCGTTTACTGACAATTTGTTGACTGCAGATTGGTCTGTACTTGTTAACATTTAAATCGAACACCGTAATTTTGCCATCGTTTGATACACAAGCGAGCACTGTCGAGCTGTACGGCGCCCATTGAACATCTCCAATAGGAACACCCAGATCAAACATGAATAAAGGTTCTCTATGTATACATACACACATTATATAATGTAACGTATCACCATAATTAAATTTGTATGCGGATGTTGAAGATTTAACTTACGGTCTTTCATCTTCCCAGATTTTGATTCGCCAATCGCCCGAGCAGCTAGCGAAAATGCTGGAGTTGAATTTGTTGAAGACTATTCGATACACTGGCATAGTGTGCGCCTCGTGATACGTCCTCATGTAAATACTGCTATACGCCGTATTGCACTTGTACATGGTACCTTCCTCTGTGCCTACCAGGAAAACATTCTTATCGGCGGGATGAAATGCAATGCACGTTCCGCATCCTGAATTCAAACAACCGTATAATTACACATCACATTTGACAAGATCTTATTCTTAGGTTTTATTATTATTTTTATTTTATTGTTATTTCCATTACCTTTGAGCGTAATCATCGTGCCGTCTGGTCCCGGTATAGGCGGCCGGTCCAGGAATAACGTCATAATGGTAGTGAGCCCAAGATCGTTCTGGTTTAACACCCAGTGATTTATTTTACCATCTATACTGACGCTGAAGAACGCCAGGTTTCCCTCTTCTGTATCCGGCGCCCAGCGAATCTAAATAGAGTTAGTATAATTTTTTTTAATTTAAAGATTTCTCAAAAATATTCCTCAATTGTGTGTTGAAATGTTGGAATCAGAAGATTCAACAGACCTCCCATACTAATCCTCCATGCTTCTGTACAACATCGCTACTCTTGTATTGTGGCATGGACGGTGGTAACATTATGTTATAAACTGCTACTGCTCCGTCCATGGTACCTTAATATTATTAATTAATATATTAGCATATGTATAATAATACAATATTACAATAATATTACAATTTGCAGATTGCAAATTTGATTTCACTCAAATATCTTGTTGAAAAAAAATTTTCAGGGGAATAATTTATATCATTTAATAAATATGTGATTCTATATAGGTAAAATAAATGTTTGATACATGATATTATTATATTACACACCAATAACTAAAAGATATGGATGTTGGTCATTGAAGTCTAGGCACATCACGGGAGCTTCTGTTGAACAAATCCATTCTGGATATGATGGATTCTTCAAACTGAATAAGCACACCGTACCATTTGTTATTGGACTATTAAATGACACTGGAATATAAGTTTTTATTTACAATCTATTGAGGAAAATACGAATAACAATATATATTTTACTAACGTGTTCCAAAAGCGACTGCAAAGAGATCATAATATCTGCTATTGAAGCACATGTCCGTGATATCGTGTTTTTTAGTTTTTTCGTATGAAAATTTCCATAGAGGTAATAAAGAGCCTTCACCGTCTTTAAATTCATCGCTTGGATCGTCCCAATATCTATAATCTAAATAATAATTGAAGAGAAAGGAAAAAATATGTATTTTGAAATATCACTATATAAAACTTCATTGAAGGAATTGCAAAAGAGCACTCACCTTGAGATATGTCATCGAAAATATTTTGATTCACCATTCGTTCCAATGTCTTTGCTGCTTGTAGCATTCTGTTTGTCATTGCTAAAGATTCTATTTGAGCTTTTTTCTTCACATCCTCTTTCTTTGGTTGCATCAATGGCGCTCTTTTCTCCTTTTCTTTCTCGCGTTGTTGTTGAGCATAATCTTCCTATCAACAATAATGAGAATATCGAAATTTATGTATAATATTTTTATTTATATGTTTCAGACTAAAATACTTTTACTTTCTGTTATTTTTGATAGTGTTACTTTCTTTGTTCATTATATATTTGATTTATATATGAAGTAATATAATATAAAAGTATTTATATTATGTATATTCCATATATATTTATATTTATATTTATATTCCATATATATTTATATTATGTGTATTCCACCGAATATAAAATAATTTATATTTAATCAAGAGGTGGAAATATTTGTACCTGATACTCGTCAAAGATGGTCCATTGAAAGACACTAGCATTGAAGGTTGCAGTAGGTGGAGGTATAGTTTGTGTATTTATGTCCTGTAAAATATTTGATTTTATTTTATACATATTATTTCTAATATTTTTTCTTTCCAGAAAAACAAAATTTATAATATCTCTACATTTCTACATGCTTTTTTGTACAAATAGGACTATACATACCCTCATAGGATTATCATATGTCAACGCTGCCCTCTCGCAGAAATTAAATTGATTAGGTATTTTCTTAGGCTTTGCTTTTTCTATTTCATCTTCCTCAGGTTCTAACTCAGCTTCCAATTCAGCTTCGGCTAGTGCTTCTACTGTTTTATCTACCTCCTCTGCTGTTCTTGTGTAATATATATATATTTAAAAAATACACGAGAGTCACATGTAATTTATTAAGTAACTGTGTAATTATATTTTTTGTGTGCCTACCTTCTTCTTCATCTTCATATTCTTCTTCTTTAGCTTCATCATACTTTAGTTTTTCTTCTGTTGCTTCCTCTTGATCATCAGCAATATAATAAGATTATTTTATTTAGTATATTAATTTTATTATATTATAGTAAATGTAAGGTAATTTTATTATAGTAAATGTAAGGTCTTACCAATAACACCTCCTGCCAATTGCATTTTGGCCTCTTCAGAGTCTTTATGTAGTATAGTGCCAGTTACATTCAGTAAAGTTACTAAATGCGGTGGAGGAGGTAATCTTATAAATTCACGTAATTTCCATGACCATTCAACTAAGGAGTCTGGAACCCTCGTATTTTGTATAGTTAATACTTTGGCGAATTCCTCTTGTAATTCCTAAATTACATACAGATATAGAACTATTCAATAATATTTAAAAGAAATAAGTATTCAAGAATCAAACATACAGCTTCTGTTAATTGCAATTGATCATCTGGTCTTAGTAAAATCTTTCCTCGCATCCAATCCATATCACCAGCACCCAAATCCTGTCGCGATATATGACTTCTTGCTAAACTTATATGCTGCAAAATTATCAAATGTTACTTTTTATTAATTTAATTACTTTATTAAATTATTTTTTAGATAATTATATATATATATATATATATATATATATATATATATGTATATAATGTAATCTTATTCTAATAGAATATGAGATTTATCTTTAATTAATTTATCTTTAATTAACATTATTATAATGACAAATGATATGTACTTCTTTACTTATCTCCGATAATTTGGAAGATATCTTTTTTGGTATTGTTGGTGCCATTGTTTCTTTTATATTAATCAAATTATATCAATGCAATTATGCAACAGTTTAACGAATAAGTTGATACTAAATCACTCCTTTATATATTGTTATTAATAAAATATTATATTTGATATATATATATATATATATATATATATATATATATATATATTCTCTTTGACATCTATGCTGTATGACTTATTATTCAATAATTAGAGAAAACTTAATCTTGCAATGTGCACAATGATTTGATAATCAAAACTATTTTATAGTTTAACAATATTATCCTTCAATGATTTGTAAAAATAGAGAGAGAGAGAGAGAGAATATAATAACGTATATATAAAGGGTAACAAATAAAAAATCTAAACATCTTTCACTTATGTATCATTTAATACTGAAAAGTCTGTTACGGTTTCCTAGGATACGTTTGAGTTTGATGTTTGATGTTTGATGTCATGTCAATCTATGATATTAGTTTGAAGTAATTTTTCCACATTTTAATATTTAAATATACAATCTTTATTTCAATAAAAATATAAATAAATTTACAATTATTTTACAGTTTATTTAATATTTTTATTCTATTATATAAAAATTACATAAGAATAGATATATATAAAAATCACACTTGTGATTTATAGAATTGTCAAAATGTATAAAATGTTTGAAATTTGTGTTATCTTTTTTGACATGATATTTTCGTCACTGTTTTTCTTTTATATACTGTCGAGACAAATACGGTTATATTTTTGTGGATATTTAGCATGGAAAAAATCAATAATGGACTATGCCATGGTAATGTGAGCATTCCAACAAGTTGCAGGGCAATTATTGTATAGAATCGTGCAAATATTATTAGCTGAAATATATAAAATGTATTATTCTACCCAATTTTTATATTAACAAATGATATGTATTATTAGATTTTGCAAATTCCAAAGTAATATGTATGAAATTCTGTGTGAATAAGTATTGATACATTTACACAACCTCTATATTGACATTTAAATATTAAGATTTATTAAAATTATAATAGTGTTATTAATATTGCAATATATGTCTACATGTGTATCAATTTTTATGCAATCTTTTCATATTTAGTTAGTGAAAAGGTAAAAATATTAATGCCAAGGTTTTTTTCTATTTTAGATGAGTTAAAAAGCCAAACTTCTTTATAAATGCCTTAAAGTATGGAAGATAGTGGAATTGATAGTGATCCTAAAACTGTTAACCATGTGGAAGATGAAAGACTCTTTTTGGTAAATGTTTACCATGATAAACATATTGACTCGTTATTGGTTTTGTATCATAAAGGATATATAATTGTAATATTTATATATAAATAATAATATATATGAGAGAAAGTTTAATGATATACAAAAATATTTTATAATATAATATAATATCTTACAGGGTAGTGATAGCAGTTGCAGCAGTAACCACACGCAAGCTTCACAACGGAATACAACCAAACAGTTGCAAAAGAAACTTGGTATCTATTTTTTTGGAAACTATATCTATTTCTACATATTTTGCAAGATTGCTTGTAGTAATTAATATAATCTATATAAATTTTTAGTTAGCTTTGTTAGTTTATAATTATATTATTTGCATAAATCATATTTTTTGCAGAGACACGTATTGAACAGGCAAAACGAATTCAACGCAATTCAGATTATATAAAGCTTCCAAAATATGACAATGAAAATACAAGTAGTACTAGTTCTACTGGATTGATATCAATCCAAAGATTGCCTATACCGCATAAGAATAAGGAGCACCTTCCTCTAGTCGAATACTGGCATAGTGAAAGTGAAAGGTAAAAGATTAAACAATTATGTATACAAAGAATTGTCAGATATTGACATACATTATTATATTTAAAAATTCTTTGTCATATATGTTTTTTTCTATTAATAAAATATAATAAATGTAGTTTGATTATTATACAATATAAAATGCATGTTTATACAAAGAGTTTATGTAAAGAACATGTGATAAAATTTAATTAATGCATTCTATTTGATGTACAATTATAGTGAGGATGAACTGACTCTCTTTCCTGCAAAATCTAAGGATCCTTCAAAGCACAAACAAGATCTCACGGATACGTTTAGCATTGGAGAGTTAAGCGATGAAAGTGAGGACTCTTTGAATCTGGATCCAGCGCAGCCACCACATCCATTTATGCGAACTTATGTACCTAGTGGATGTTTTGCTTGCCATTGCCATATATTGTAATATAATATAGTATCTCCATTGAACTGATTATTCATTCAAACTGATTATTATTTAAGTAATAATATGTTGTTGAACAAAGAGAGAGAGTACAGATATATTTGTGATATGTTTTCTATGAAGTTATATTTTTTCTAAGTTTATTTTATGTTAAAAAATTAAACAATTTTGTGTTATGTTGAATTATACATTATTTACAGAGAAAACATGCTTAAAGTTATTTTATTAATCTACTGTATAAAATTTGGTTCATTTATAAAAGTCCTGTTATTATTTAACATTTATCAAGCACTTTGTACAGAAGTGCAATTGTGGAATGATACCTAGGCAAAAGGATTAAGCGCTTCAATGAATGCAACGATTTATTGGAAACAATACTTCCTTCTTCGTAACCAAAGCATTTATTGTTAAAGATATTATTCAAATATCGTTTCTCAACATTTACAAGCCATCGGTAACATTTGTAATAATACATTTGTAATATATTTTGCGTGAGATCGCGGCAAGTATATGTTGAGTTTTGCGCTGCATTGCTTAAATACATTTGTATTTGAATTGAAATCTGAATTAATCAAAATACATTTGTATTTGAATTGAAATCTGAATTAATCAAAATAATAATTTAATCTATTCTCTATTTCTACCTAATTAAAATTCTATATGAAATAATTTCATCAAATTTTTTGTAGAGAATATTATTCATATATTTAATGCTGTTATTGTTTTTAGATAAATGTATTTTATTTTCTTGTTTATTAAGAAAATAATAAAAATTATATTTTATTATATTTAATTATAATTTTCTTTTTTCTTTAGGCAACAAAAGTTTGTTTGTTTGCAATATTATTTTATTTTCTATTTTATATATAATGAATATATCAAAGATTTTTTTATAATAACCAATTATGCAATATTTATACAGTATCTAGATAGTACATTATAACATCATTAATATAATTGGAAATAATATTTGTTTAGTGATTTTTAACTGCATAAGAAATAGTTAATTTTTTTCTTTCATAAGAGTTTGCTCCCTTTGAATAAAATGTCGTAATTTAAAAGAATAAAGGATTGACGTTAGATTTTGAAAGATCGCCAATAATATGGAATGTGGAATTATAAGTTCGCTATGTTATACTTTTATTAAATTGCGTTAGGAAGACTTGCGCATCGAATGAACGCAATACAGGAAGACGTTTCGCGCACGACGAAAAAAAAATTACCGTAATTAAGTACTACAGTTGAACATGAATAAGTAACTGATATTTTTCTACAATTCTGAGGATCATGAGGGGGTCTTTGACAATAGCGTTGCTAAATATCGATATGGCCTTGCGGAATATTCGTATAACCCACAGGAAATTACGGGTTCGACAAAGATCCTCGAATAATTGAAGATTTCCTTTGTTGCAAAACATACGATCGCTTATAGATTAAATAATCCTCAATAAAGGTCATTACTTCATTTTCTACTTAAAATAATATTTCTTTTTACATCTAAGACAGGTATATTATAATTTTAGTCAGTTTATTTATTTAATTTTAGCCAGTTTATTATAATTTTTTATTAACACAGAGAGATGACCTCTTCGTCTTTTCTTCGAAATTAAATTTTAAATATGAACATATGTAAAATGCTTTAAAAAGTGCATTACATATTACTTGGTCTGTATATAAACATTGGGACAAAAAGCAACCTTCGACTCCTGGCGACTCTTAAAAATGTAGCATTCTAAGCGCGCTGCTGCGTAAATCATAGTTTTTCGTGCATATAAAATCAGATGAGGCGAGCGAAACAATGCTGTGCACGCTTAAGAGAATTTTTTACGCACGCACAATGTGCGCCAGATCGTACCAATGAGATATTGCGTGTGGAGAATACCGGAGAATGCTGCCATAAAACGCACTCTGTTACGGAATCCTGAGAAACGATTTTTTTTCAACGCCTGATCTTGATCACGAAAACGCACATTGCATATGCATTTCTTTTAGCTACAGAAATTCAGCGATTTCCTTGGATAAATTTATTAACGCTGGCGTGCAATTTGCTTAATCGTTTGCCAGAATATCTAACATTTTTTTTCTTCGTCTTTAGAAAGCTTTGAATAATTATATAATTAAAATGTAAGAGATTTTTATTTATTTTTTAGATTTGATCATACATAATGCATAATGGTATTTCCCATAATTCCCTTCTCAAAAAGCTCCTTTGAATCTTAAATGCAAAACATAAAAATAAAAATATCTGTAGCGGAGAAAGCGTTTTAATTAATGGCTTGTGCATCTCTCTTAAATTTATTTCACGGTATTCCAGCAAAAAAATTCGATTTTTAATTAAGCTTCTATCCGTTGCGAGAATTAATGTTTGTTGCGTTGAATTTGAAATAACAAGTGCCACAGCAGGTGTGCATCACAAATAATTTTTTTAAATATATCTAAATGTGTCTAAATATCTTTTATTTATATTTAGGTCTTAACAATATGGAATTTAAAAATGAAGCAAGAGAAGGATCAAAAGAACTCATCAGAAGATGAAAAAATAGTAAGTCTCTTCTTTTATATTTCTTTGTTATTATATTTATGTTATTATATTATTTTTTATATTATTTTATATTATTTATTATATATTATTCTTGCATAAAAATAAATGATACATCATAGATGTATCTTTATGCAATATAAATTAACGTATAATTTTTTATATTATTTACAGATTATTATTTTATGATAAGACAGTCAGAGTAATTAAAAGTAACACATGAAAATATATTAAATAACATATACATTTATTAAAAATCAAATTAAAACACAATACAGACAAACAATATAAACAGAAACGAGAAACACAAACAAAAACAGAAACAAGGATAGACTATTTAGAAAATATTTATATTAAAGTACAAAAAGTAATAATATAATTAAATTATTATAAGATGTCTCCTATTAAATCATTTTTTTCCTTTATTAAATTTTTAATTTTTTTCAGATACATTACTGTACAAAATGAATAATGGCGATTGCAGTTTCAACGTGAAACGACATTATGTATGACAACAACTTATTAACATAATTTATTATATGTATATTAAACAGATGCGCTGTATGATACCAAGCATAATCGATAACTGCTGGATTTTTGCGGTTTTTACTCGATTTTTAATTAAGCCTCCACTCCACATTGCGGGAATAAATATTTTTTGCTTTAAATTTTCATATCTCCGCATGCTGTGCAGCACACAACGCATGATGCATCGCGTATGAATATTTAGTTGCATCTTGATGCGTTCCCTCGTATATTCCATGCATATCATAAAATGGCTCAGGTGTTCCACTCCTTCCCTCTTTAGATGAATACAAAATTAATTTATTCTTTGTGACAACAATCGTAGTAACATAAAAAAATTTTTTTTGTATAATCTTTTCAACTTTTTATTTGAGCATAAAATTAAAATTAATTGGATAAGATGTAATATATTATTATTATATTATATTAAATTATTATTATATTATTATATTATTATATTATATTAATTATATATTCGATTCTTTCGTGTATTTATAAATACATATATAAAATAAGAAACAATATTTTATTAATTTTTATTTAAATTTCTCAGCTGTCCTTTTAACTGAGCAGTTATTGATGTCCGATATTGTTAATCATGCGCTATTATTCTTAATACAATAATTTTTTTTGTCAGAAAAAGAGGCAAATTTGACACACCCCATGTAACATTGGAGAACTTGTACCGACGTCGACAGTATGGTCGTAAATCGAGCGAGACTTATAGCATATTTTGTAACCAATTTGATGCAATAAATTTCATCCTCTGCGGACGAGAGAACGTGATAATCCGTAATATGTAAGAACCGCTAATGTCCTTTCATTTATTCATGGAAAGCGAATCGACAACGAAAATGCGAAATCCTTCGAGCTCATCGAACGATCATTAATCAGCATGTATTATGGTAAGAGAAAGGATAAGAAAAGAAACTGTTTTGATTTCGATATTTGTTTATTCGTCAATCGCGCGTGCGCACGATTTTTTATCTACAATTATCATGATAATAATGCCTTCTGATAAATTTTTGTTTCAGGATTTAATCTCCAAATCTATAAGCGAATCTGTCGTAAAAGTAATGTAGTGACGACAACCGATGAAAGTACCAAATTCTCTACCACTGAGATAACTGTGATCACTGAGATAACTCCGAATCTAATTAAAAAACCAGTAAAACCGGCTTTTGTGAGAATTTATTCTTCGATCGTGAGAGAAAAGGAAAAAAATTAGATCGTAGAAAACAGAATCAAATACATATTTAGACAAACTGTGTGTTTGTAAAATTATTGTAAAACAAATGCGAGAGATTTTTAATTTTTCGCAACAAAATCGGATCAATCAGGATCGACTTCAAATAACTGAGAATTTTTGAGCTGTTCAAATTTAATTAACTGACATATCCTAAAAGAATATTAAACTCGGATAAAGAACTCTATCCTTAATTTACGAGTATTTGCGTGTCCCTTAGCCGCAGGAGTCTCGCTCGTGTGCATATCGTATATGCGTTTAGATATTACGAAAGATTCTCGCATACGATATCTTGAATATGTACGAGCCCCACGCTGTCACAGATCAGCCGGCGAAGCAGAAGAAGACGCGTAACAAACAGACGATGTTGTTTTCTTCGGGCTCGCGTAGTGAGAAACACGCCGCCGAATATTTACGAGTATTCGACGATCACATGATGTACCCCTTTTCGAGAGACTTTGCATAAACGAAAATGTATTCGCGATGGAATTAAGAGATCACCATTCTATTAGATCAACGTCGTTGATTATGAATAGCACAGTATCTTGTTAAAGGTATTGAAATTAGAAACGGCTGCTTTTAACAAGCCATTTCCAGCCAAATCAAACAAGAATAAAAAATTACATACATATTTATACGCATTTATTTATATATCAAATGTTTATATATCAAATTTTATATATCAAATGTTTATTGAGTGAATTAGAGAAAGATAAAAATACATAAATAAATAATTATGTATAATTATTTTATCTGCGTTAATATAAATTAAAAATAAAGAATTCTAGTGCGCAGATGTATGTTAAATATGTTATAATATTATTAAAAAATATTTTTAAAAGCTGATAAAAAATAATAAATATTTTTCCAATTAGTAGTAAGTTAGTGAAAAATTAAACTTCTTTAATTAGAAATTAATTTATATATTATTAATTTATGTATTATCGATTAAATTTTTATGATAATTTATTATAAAATTTGCATATTTGTCACACATACATAACATCAGCAAATTTATCAATTTGCAAGCATTCATATCATCGTTCATAAATGTCACGAGAGACAAGCTTAATCTTTCCTGATCTAAATTATCTAAAAAAAATGCAGGTGTTATAAATACATTTCCTTTATTTTTTTATCATATATCATTTATTTCTATTATTATATTCATGTCTAATTTTTTTAACATTATAGTAATCAATAATAATATACAAACAATTTATTTTGGAACGAAGAGGAAAGAAAAAGAATTTTGTCTAGGTTTATAAAAATTAGGCTGCGGTCAAGATTGCATTATGAATGCTCATGGAATGTAGAACAAAGATAGAATGATGTTTCAAAGCATTCAGAGCGTCTTCCCGACCGCAGCCTTAATCTAGTACGTAAATCATACTTATTAAAAATATGTTCTCGCATAATGACGAATCCGCACAAAAGTCACTAGGGATTAATGACCCCCGCTGCGGATTCGCCATAATACAAATAAGGGTGATTCGTGACAAATATCACGCGTATAGTCGATCGATCCGCGATCCCAGGTGCATCGACCGCGCATTTTTTCTTCGGGATGAAAAACCGCAGACCACTTGTCCGTTCGCGGTCGACAAGGACGAGGTACAAAGAACGAAAAGGGAAGAGGAAGAAAGGGCAATCGATAAGATATATATCTCTGTTTGTTACATTTACGACGAGAAATTTTTTCAGGTTAGTACAGATCGCGGCTGTATTAAAGAGTTTTATCATAAAACTGCAAGGATATTTCATTTCATCTTTATCCTTGTTTTCTCTTGAGCAAAATAATTAATTAATCAATTGTCAGTTTTGAAAATATTTTAAATAATTAACATAAATTAAAAATTGTGAAAATATTTCAAGTAACAAAATGCGAAATTGCCAGCAGCCCGGCGATCCTGCGCTTTTTGAAGCACCACACTTCAAGTCGATCGAGATAACGCGGCCGATCAACCCGTAGCTACGTCATTATGTTGTCCCGCGTAACGGAGTTCCAAGTATGGCTCGCTGCTCGCGTACATACACCAAACCCATCGCTTCCTGCATCGACAGCTTTTTTCTTCCGGGTTTAATTAAATACCAGGTAGGTACATGTTTGCAAGTCCCCCACGCCGAGAGAAATACAAGGTTATTGCATCGCGCGAATCCCGTTCGTTGCTGCGAATCGATACGACGTGCCGAGGAAACGCGAATAGGTAAATTCTTACATTTTCGAGATATTGATTAAGATTTAGTACTAGTTTTTAATTTGTAATTATTTGACTTATCTCTAATGACTATCTCTATTATTATTTATGCAAATATCATGAAAATATTACATTAGTAAAAAAACGAAGTTAGCAATAGTTCACAAAATGGCAGTTTTTAAAGCATCACAAATCATATCGATTACGGTCCGATGCCTCGATTCGAATTTTTGAAGCAAAATTTTTATATCGATTTATTTTTCGATTAATTACATCGAACGTTAATTCACATTCTTTATATATTTTATTCTTTAATATTATTTTATTTTTACTATAGTTCCGGTCTTTTTTTGATCATTTTTTATATGTTAAATGCGCAAAAATTATTACGATCGACACGTCATAATAAAAATAGAATTAATCCATTATCCTTTGTATATCGAGATCTCATAAATATATATCTGATTTTGTACATATTTCGAAGTCATTGACACGTCACATATTGAAACAAAAACAATAACACGTGCGACGCATCGATATGTGACGACGGAGCTAGCGTATACATGAGAGAAAGAGAGAGAGAGAAAGAGAGCTGAAAAGCGCGTGTCTCCATGAATGAATCGGTGGTGGGGGATCACGTGTCGCGCGGGGGGAAGGAGGTGAGCGTAGTAAGTGCGCGGCTCACGTGACAGTCGAGCGAAGTGTCGCGGGCGTGCGCGCGATTGCTTCGGCGAGCGTCCGAAAGATGTCGCGGCTTGATCACGCGACGTCGGCTGCTTTCAAACACCTGACGGCGGCGTAGCAGTGCGGCATGGACTGGTGCGGTGGGCGCACACTTCTTTCAAAACAGGTAGCACGCGCTACCGGCTGACACAAACGACGAACTCCCCTCTCGTCCTCTCGTCCTTTCTTGTCCTCGTCAACTGTCGTTCGCGCGCTCGACATGTGACAGTGCGATTACAAGTAACGCGCTCGCGATTCTTCGCCCGATTTGCGATTAAGTTCACATGGAGCACCGACGCCGAACATCGACGTTCGCGTTTCGAAGTCGTCATCGTTTCGAAGTCGTTTCGTCCGGGAGTTCGTGTGCGTCCAGTCGCGAGTTTTTCGAATAAAATACGCGCGCAGTGAATTTGATATATCGAACTTTCGAATCGAAAGAAGATGTGATCGCGACACGGTACGCGGTGACCGCGCTGCGACGACGACCGGTCTCGAGTGTGGAAAGGTGTTGGTTGAAAAATGACGCTTATAGGTTTGACATCGGTGAGGACAGTGTTACTGACGTCGTTGCTGTTGACTTCCGCGGTGCTGGTGGTATTGGCGCGCGCCGAGGATGTCGCGACCTTGGAGGATGACCTGGAATCCCTTTCGACGTCAAACGAGCGGCCACGTCTTGATACAGGTGAGTGAATTTCATTTGGTTTCTTTAATTCGCTCTCGATTGAGTATCATCGAAATTTTATTAAACTCTATTTCAATGAAGAAGTAATATTTTAATTTAATTATGAGATATTGTGAGGTATATATATATATATATATATATATATATATATATATATATATATAATAAAACGTGTGTTGTGAAAACAAAATGCAATCAACTAAGAGTAAGAATTACAATTATAATCTCATTACTGATGTAAAAATGATAAAAAATAAAAAATATATAATTCTTTTCTGCAAATATAATATCACGTTATTTCATTATTGATTTAATGTTTAATTTAATGTTTAATGTATTTAATCATTTTGCATGATTTAAATTTTTAATGTTTTACTCCTTTTATTATATATATATAAGATTGCGTGTGAAGAATGAAAGCAGGAGGAGCTTTTATAATTGATCAATTAATTTTGTGAGCGTTTATATATTCATAATTTTTAATCACTTACATAATAATTTAATGCAACAATATTAGATTTAGTTAAATTTGAAGTGGCTAATAATTAGAACATTAATAAAAAAATTAAATAAAAATTCATTTACGACATTAGATATTAAATTTGTGAAAGAAATAATAAAAGGAGTAAAACATTAAAAATTCAAATCATGCAAAATGATTAAATACATTAAAGATTAAATCAATAATGACATAACATAATATTATATTTGTAGAAAAGAATTATATATTTTTTATTTTTTTTTTATTTTTTATCATTTTTATTTTTTATCATTTTATTTTTATTTTTTATCATTTTTACATCAGTAATGAGATTATAATTGTAATTCTTACTCTTAGTTGATTGTATTTTGTTTTCACAACACACGTTTTATAAAAAAAAATATATATATATATATATATATATATATATATATATATAATAAGAAAGGTAGAGATATAGAAAGGTAGAGAGAGAAAAGAGACATCCAAGACATTTCGTCGTCATTGCATCCTTATCTATCGACTTTTCTCCCTTTCATTCTCGCATGAGGACCGCACTCTCCGGCGATTATTGCAATGACGGTGAATGCCTGAACTTTGTTGCTCCTCTCGGCTTTGCCGATGAAGAACGACCTTTGCACTCGCTTGCTTCTGTGAAAGTACGCTCGCTCATCTTCCATCGCGTCGTAGCAAAATATTCCGTAGAAATTCTCTGTAAATTGCAAAGATTGCAAAATCCATCAAATCTTTTTAAAAGAACGAGTCTATTAATTTTATTTATTTATGAATAATTACATTTACACTAAAAAATATATTTATGATAATTATCAATGCATACATGTAGAGCGCATTTTCACAAAGTATATCAACGATTTGTATATATTAATTTATAAATTTCCACTATTTTTTTATACAGATTTACTGAATGCATTTTTTATTTTTAATCTTATTATGCAAAATAAATATTAATCAACTGATTTCACTCATCGGATACTCTTCAAAAGCTATCTATGATTCGTTGCGTGTTTGTGATGCGTATATAGTGTCGCAATTAAATTCAGTAATAGAATAGGATCGGTTTCCTATAGCGTTTAAGAATGCACGACGCTCATTGTCGAGCCGCATCTGTCGTCCCGATCTCAAATCGATTAATTTGCATGCACTTAGAAAGGCGGAAGCACGTCGCACGCGAGTGTCGACGGCGAAGCTTGATGAATCCTCTCACCCTGAAAGGTCCCGTTTGTGAGTACAAATTATTTGTGCGATCGCGTTTTTCATTGGCAGCTCAACGCGATATAAATTCAACAAATAAATTTTGACATGACCTGCATGTCAAACCTTTTTCCGCGACGATGTTTCGCGTTAAATCATCAGTACTTTAGCACGCTTCGATGCATCATGGTGTTTAAGAAAATATGGGCTTTGCGCATTGAAATTAATGGACTGTGATCCTCTGAAACGACAAATAGCGGTTTAGACATTTTCGCACGTATTACAACTTTTTAGGCGCGATTTATATTGATTAAAGAGAAAGCAACTGATTGTGAGAAAAAGAACGGTTTCTTCATAATTCATTGAATTCAGTGCACAACGAATTAATAATAATCTGATTAATCTCTACGCGATCAAGTTTCACTGATGATGATGAGTTAAGTGTTCATTATTTTAAAATATATGTACATAATGAGATGGAGAATTTTCGCAATAGATCGTTTGAGAAATTTAAAATCGTTTTAAAAAATAATTTTTAAAAAATTCTCCTCATATATAAATATTTTACGTTATTTTTACAAGAATGTTCTTAATAAAGAAAGTAAAAATTTTTTGTATTAAATTATTAGAGTTTATTATTATTATTTTTCGTATTAATTATTTTACAATTATCTAATTATATATTGATCTCCTTATATTTGAATTATTTTGTTAAAAAATTGAAATAACTGAAATAGAGAGAAAATTTGGTATTCTCGAGAGATCGCCGAGAGCGAATAACTTTCCGCGAATCGACAGATCGTTCTTCAACGTGTGACAATGCGTAGTACGGCGAATGCATATGCATGCACTGGAGGGATGCGCGCGGAAAACGTTCCTGGCATCAGGCCGTGTAAAATCCTCTTCCAACCTTGATGCGAACAGTATGTACGTGTCGAGATTGCTACGAAAAGGAGAGACCTCGTGCCAACATGGTCTAAGGATAACTGTTTGCCGGCCGCGGGCATTTATTTAACGACCGCGTAGTTTATACTTTCTTAATGTTATTTACAACTCGTAAGAGGTAATGCCTAATGAATCACGCCATAGTAATTGTATGCAACTCTGATCAATTCATAACACATCCGGTTTATTCGCGAAATTTGACAATTACGTGATTATTCCTTTTTTTGCGCCGTCTTATGGATTCGCATCAATGTCAAAATTCTTTAAAGAGAGAGATACTATCTTATTATTTTGCATTGTACTTTGCTTTATGAATGGCAACATTTTTTTGTTGTAACAAATAAAGAAATGCTACTCCAATGTTTTTGTGAAATGTTTTGCACATCACAAATTCTTGGAGCATTCTCCAATATAAACTACATTGAGATGTTGCTTACGATTTTAAAGTATTATATATCTAGAGTATATATCTGGATATATATCTGGAGTGATGGAAAGATTTTAATTTTATAAATTAATTTATAACTTACATACTTTTATTTAAAAATTCTAATTTTCATTTAATTCCATTAAAAAAGGATGATTAGTTTTATTTAATTAGCATTTAGAAATAATAATCTGACTAGTCTTTATGCGAACGAGTTTCACTGATGATTAGTAAAATATTTATTATTTTGAAATATAATGATGAGGACTATTTTAGCGCAGATCGTTTAATATATTTAAAATTTTTTTGATGAAGACATTTTTTAATGAACAATTTTTTAATTCTATTCATATACATACATATACATACATACATATTTAAATAAACAGTACAATAACAGAATTAAATAAAACTAATTATTTTTTAAAAACGATAATTAGTAGAGGTAAAGGTCGAGATTTTTAAATAAAAGTATGAAGTTAATTTATAGAATTAATTTAATTATCGTATATATTTCTTACGTATATTTTAGAGTTTCAATTCTAAGAGTAATTGTATTAGAAAATCAATAAAGATAGGTTTTAATTAACAACGCAAAGAATCAAGAGATAATTGTATAAATGCGGGAATTTGATTTATCTCGGATAGAAAGCATTACACTTCGTGTTGCAAGTGCAATGCGTGGTTTTCTTCCGCGGTTTTCGATAACAGGATTTATATTATGAGATACAGTCGATTTGAGCCTTATCAGGACTACCGCTGCGGCATTCACTTGCGTAGCTTGCTAAGATCGCCGCGAAGAATAGGTTGCAATAGGATGCAATTTTCTAAGAAGATTCAGAATACTCGGCGTACACGCAATGTTAGATAACCGTGGGAGATTTAATTAAGATTAAATTGCTCTCTCGGCAGCTGTTCGATCCATCTTATAGCCGCGAAATCATCTACCAATCCATAGTATTTTTATTTACCCTTTGCAATTTCGCAATAAACAGTTCTCGAAAATATCAAAGAGTATTAGTGAAAGCAACTTATTCATAATGCTAATTTATTAAAAGAAAAAAAAAATAAATTTCTACGATAGATTAAAAAAAATTATGGATATATATTTATAAACTTTTAGAAGTAAATTTCGATTAAAAATTAGATTGTAGAGTAAGCAAGACATTTAATATCGAAAGTAATGCAAAAATACATTATAATGTAAAAATATAATTCAAATTTCGTATTAGATTTAATCCGGGATAGAAAAGAGTTGATTTCTTCAAATATATAATTTACCGGTAAACATTTTTTGAACCTAATTTCACCGCAATTTGCAGGAACATTGCAAAATTATATTACGCTCAGAGATATAACGCTTACTTTTCTTCCAAGACCGTGTCAGCGCTGCTTCTTAATTTGCGCAATGTTTACTGCTGACGCTCAGTATTCGCGCAACGTTTTTCAAGGACGTGCGTTTTGAGGAGGAACCGCGACGAAAATTCGCGAGTTGATTTACTCCAAGTGAATCGCCCCGGAGAGATTTAAAGACTGATAATATTCGCGCGCGGTGCAAAATGTACTTGAAATTCTGGCGGCGACGATGTCGATCCCCTCTTTCTCCCTTTTCCCTTGTTCGTTTTTAGAGGAAATTTATGATCTGACCAGAACGCGTTCGGTCACTCCTACCAAGTGCGAAGGGTATAATTTTATAACCGGTCATAATTAGAGATATTAACTTGCTTAGGATCCCTTGCTCGTGCGTTCCACCGCAAGCGTTTTCTCCTCTTTTTAACGTCGCGCGGCTATTTCGCTCCCATTATTATCCCAGAACAATGAATAGTTAAAATCTCTTTACTATCGCGCGAGAGCCGACGAAAAAGTCAGAGCAACGAATGAGCTGTCAGTAGAATTTATGGAAGCAAAAAATTCTTGTGTGTGTTTCCCGTTTTT